ACTTGTGCCCTGTGCGTCATGCCCCATCACTTGTGCCCTGTGCGTCATGCCCCATCACTTGTGCCCTGTGCGTCATGCCCCATCACTTGTGCCCTGTGCGTCATGCCCCATCTCTTGTGCCCTGTGCGTCATGCCCCATCTCTTGTGCCCTGTGCATGCACGGTGCTTTCCTTGCATGCTCCGTCAGTATCACGTGATGCTATTGAACTCTATGTCATGCCATGCCATGTCATGGTTCAAAAGCCTCAACAACTCCTTTTCCTTCCCATCCCCAACCGCCCCCCCTTCCGCATACCATCGCATCGCATCTCCCCTGCACGGCGATATGGGGCTACCAGAATCTGATATTGGATGCCATAGCGGACCTGTACCTGTGGCCCAGGATGCACATGCCCAAGATGCACATGCCCAAGATGCACATGCCCATGATGCACATGCCCAAGATGCACATGCCCATGATGCACATGCCCAAGATGCACATGCCCAAGATGCACATGCCCAAGATGCACATGCCCATGATGCACATGCCCAAGATGCACATGCCCATGATGCACATGCCCAAGATGCACATGCCCATGATGCACATGCCCATGATGCACATGCCCAAGATGCACATGCCCATGATGCACATGCCCAAGATGCACATGCCCATGATGCACATGCCCAAGATGCACATGCCCAAGATGCACATGCCCATGATGCACATGCCCATGATGCACATGCCCAAGATGCACATGCCCATGATGCACATGCCCATGATGCACATGCCCAAGATGCACATGCCCAGGATGCACATGCCCATGATGCACATGCCCATGATGCACATGCCCATGATGCACATGCCCAAGATGCACATGCCCATGATGCACATGCCCATGATGCACATGCCCATGATGCACATGCCCAGGATCGCTTCGCCAACCCCACCCCCAACCCCACCCCCACCCCCACCCCCACCCCCACCCCCACCCCATGCCATCATCCCCACCAGAATCTGATCTCAGACGCCATTGCGGACCTGTACCTGTGGCCCAAGACCATCGAGCTGTACCACGAGGAACCCAAGTGAGTGCGCCTCTCATCACCCCCATCCCCAAGTGAGTGCCTCACATTCATGCCCGTGCTCGCTCCCTCACCCCCTCACATCGCCCGCGTGGCCCAGCCGACACTGACCTCTTGCCTGCCCCCATAGCAGCCCTGTACCTGTGGCCCAACACCATCGAGCAATACCACGAGGAGCCCAAGTGAGTGCCTCTTGTGAGCCCTTGCTCCTCCAGCCGAGTGCCTCTTTGCATCACCCGTGGCACAGCCAGCACTGACTACTCTCCTGCCCCCATAGCGGCCCTGTACCTGTGGCCCAACAGTATCAAGCTTTACCACGAGGAGCCCAAAGTGAGTCCAAGGGAGGCCCACGTTGGTGCCATGACTTGTAGTCATGGCAGCAGCTGACTGGTAGTAAGAAGCTTTTGTTAGAGTAGAGTTGGTTGAGAAGAGAAGAGCCTTTGTGGCCCAAGACACTCAAGGTGCTCCCAAGCGACTGCCTCCTTCTCACCACCGCCGTGCTCGCTCCCTCACCCCCTCACATCCCCCGCGTGGCCCAGCCGATACTGACCTCTTGCCTGCCCCCATTGCGGGCCTGTATTTATGTCCCAAGACCACTGGGTTCATCCCCCCGAGCAGCCTGGGCAGCCGCGAGTCGAGTGTGAGGGACAACCACCTCAACCCCCACTGGGGGGACGAGGAGCTGCGGCTGATAGTGCTCGACCCTGCCACTCAGAAGCTTCATGGCTCATGGCTGATGGCTGATGGCTGATGGCTGATGGCTGATGGCTGATGGCTCATGGCTCATGGCTCATGGCTCATGGCTCATGGCTCATGGCTCATGGCTCATGGCTCATGGCTCATGGCTCATGGCTCATGGCTGATGGCTCATGGCTCATGGCTCATGGCTCATGGCTCATGGCTCATGGCTCATGGCTCATGGCTCATGGCTCATGGCTCATGGCTCATGGCTCATGGCTCATGGCTCATGGCTGATGGCTGGCAGCGGGCGAGCCCAAGGATTGTGAGAGCCAACGCTCACACCCCGCTTTCCCCTTCCCCTCTCACTCCCCGTCTCTCGACCCTTCCCATTTCCTGTGCCAGGGAATTGCGGACCGGTTGATGGGCGCTGAGCGAGCTGGTGGCGGGCGAGGCGAGGGACTTTGAGCTGCGCCTGGCTGAGAGCCGACTCTCACACTTTCCTCTTCCCCTTCCCTCTTCCCCTCCCCTCTTCCCCTCCCCTCTTCCCCTCCCCTCTTCCCCTCCCCTCTTCCCCTCTCCACCACACCCTTACGGGGCCTCCCCCCAGGGCAAGGCGGACAGGCTGATGGGCGTGCAGGTGGTAGCGCTGAGCGAGCTGGCAGTGGGGGAGGAGAAGGACTTTGAGCTGCGCCTGGCGCCGCGCTTCAGCGACCTGGGGCCAGGCCAGACGGGGGGGAGGAGCCGGCGCGACATCGGGAGTGTGTCTTTCCGCCTGCTGTACAAGTGAGTGCGTGCTCCCTGCTCTTCCTGTTGCTTCAGCGACCTAGGGGCAAGGGAAGTGGGGGGGGAGGAGCCGGCGGGACATCGGGAGTGTGTCCTTCCGCCTGCTGTACAAGTGAGTGCGCACTGTTATTCCTGCAGCATGCATGTGCCATGTGGCAATGGCAACGTGTTGCATGTGGCGTCAAGGACATCGGCAGTGTGAGCTTCCGCCTGCTGTGCAAGTGGGTGCATGTATGCTCACTGTTGTGCGCGTGTGTGTGTGTGTGTGTGTGTGTGTGTGTGTGTGTGTGTGTGTGTGTGTGTGTGTGTGTGTGTGTGTGTGTGTGTGTGTGTGTGTGTGTGTGTGTGTGTGTGTGTGTGCATGTGGCATGGGCTTGAGGCATCCACTTCTGGTTCCTTGTCCCATTCCTTCTGCTTCCGGTTCCCCTTCCTGGACTTCTTCTCTCGTGCTACTTCCCACTGTAGTCCGCTGGGGGAGAACGAAGCCCTACCCCGCCAATGGACGTGGAGGAGATGCAGGAGGAGGAGGCGGAGGCGTTCCCCTTCTTCCCGCCCACTCATCCCCATCACCCCTTCTCATTCCCACTCCCTTGACTTGTTCTCTCGCGCCACTGTTCCTGTAGTCCGCTAGGGGAGAACGAGGCCCCCCCGCCAATTGACGTGGAGGAGATGCAGGAGGTGGAGGCGGAGGCAAAGACGAGGGGGACGAGGCCTGACAAGCCCCTCTGTTCCCGTGCCTGCCCTCATTCCCACCAGCCCGCTGGGGGAGAACGAAGTACCCCCACCAATGGACGTGGAGGAGATGCAGGAGGAGGAGGCGGAGGCGTTCCCCGAGTGGGTACCGGTGGGGGGCGGGCTGCTGCGCGTGATTCTCAAGAGAGGCGAGGGGCTGGAGGCTCGGCACCACGCCAACCCGTTCGTTGTGCTGCGCTTCCGCAACCAGGAGTGGCAGAGCCAGGTGGGGGGGGAGAGCAGGTGGGGGGGGAGAGTGAGGTGGGGGGGAGAGGCGGGTGGGCGAGGGGCAGAGGCAGGTAAGGCCAGGTGAGTGGCCGAGCTACGTGTGTGGCAAGGCAACCACCTGTTGTCCATCCCCGCTCTCTCATTTCCTGCACTACCCTCCTCCTTACGTCAGTCCCTTCAAGCACACTCCTCACATGCACCGCTACACACATCCACTCCTCCCCCAATATCCCTCCTTGTTTCCCTTCTTCCCCACTCTCTCTCCCTCCCTACCAGCACTACAAGTTGCAAGCGGACGTGGTATTCGAGGAGGAGCCGTTCGAGGTGTTAACAAGGTTTTTTCCTTGTTCAACTCACCCCTCTCCACCTACACAAAACCCTCCGGTTCCCCCCAATCCCCTCATGGCAGCACTACAAGAAGCAAGCAGACGTGGTGTTTGAGGAGGAGCCATTCGAGGTGTTTTTAGAGAAGCCACCAGTGAGCGACACACTGCACATCAAGGTCTTCTCCAAGTCCCTCTCCTCCTTCTCCGTCCTCTCCAAGGTACGCCTCCCTCTATACTCCCGCCACCTGCTTGCCTTTCTACCTGTCTTCCTGCCTGCTGGCCAGCCTGCCTGCCTGCCTGCCCACGTCATCCTTCCTTCCGCTGCACATCAAGGTCTTCTCCAAGTCCCTCTCCTCCTTCTCCGTCCTCTCCAAGGTACTGCCCCCTCACTCCCTCTACCCTCACACCCACCTTCCTGCCTACCTGCCTGCCGCCCTTCCCACCCGGCCCCCCGCCCGCCCGCCCGCCCGCGTGCGTGCCTGCCTGCCCGTCCGCAACTGCGTGGAGCCAACGGCACATGTCTTGCCCGTATTGCTTCTTCTGGTCAGTTGTTCACGCCTAGACATTTCTCCACCCTCCAGCTCACACACCTGGATCCTCTCTGCACTTCAACCCCTCATCCGCACTCCTCCTCTCCCTCCTCCTCCCCTCCCATCCTCTCTCCACGCAGGAGGCGGTGGGGTACTGTGAGATACAGCTGAGCGATGTGGTGATTAACGGGCGAATCAACGACCTCTACCCCCTCATTGACTCCAAGGGCCAGCTCCAGCTCGAGCTACAGTGGCACCGCCGCACCGACGCCTCGCAGGTCGCAGAAGAGACGTCGCTCGCCACCCGCGTGGGGCAGATGATCCAGCAGACAACGGTGGGGAATATAATCTCGCAGACGGTTAACCGGATGGAGAACGCTTCAGAGGAGATCAAGGCACGCTGGCAGCAGCCATAGAGTCCTTTGATTTTATATACGGCACAATGATGTGATTTGGGTCGGCACCTTATGCATCTGGCTGCCATATGTCGTTTTTACTGTAATTAGAGATTGTATATTTATTATCTGTTTTATCTGCTTTTAGAGTAATGTAGGATAAACTTATCCGAGCCTGTCAGCCTCGGGCCTAGCATACATGGACATTCTACACGTCGCAGCGACCTACAGTATAACGAAGCCGGGGTCGAAATTCGCGCCATTCAAACGAGTACGAAGGGGCGCATCATATCATTGTCTTCGTGATCCAGGATGTGGCAGTGCAGCACGTATCCTGGCCCCTCACGCGGATCAAACGACAGCGCCTTGCCCTGCCACGGCGCAAAATCCACAGCCACCGCCGTCACCCACCCAGGCGGAGCCTTGCTCGTGTCCTTCCGCCCGCGCTCCGTCCGGTGCGGCGCGACCGCGCGCCCCACGAAGCAGCTTCCGCCCGCCATGCTGCATTTCTTCGCCTCGACCAGCGTCGTGTTGAGGCGGCGGCGGAAGAGAATGCGGTGCGGCGCAAAGTGAATGTGGACGGGATGCGTGTCCTCTGACAGATTAACTATGTACCATACCTCCGTAGTTCCAAACTTAGGTTTAATCGTCACGGGCGCGGTGAAATGCTTCCCTTCCATTAGGCCCGACTCAGGCGCGCCGGAAGCGGGATCTTCAACCTCTGTCAGGCTGATGATCCGCGGAGCCTTGAAATTGACAGCTTTGGTGAGATCGACGGCTGGGATGCTGAGGAGCGTGGCTGGCACGCGCGTCGTGTCGGCGGACGTCGCGGGCACGACGTCGAAGCGCATCACGAAGCGGAGATCGCCCTGTGGAACAGCGCCCCCCGGGTAAGGCGCGGGCGCGCGGTTGGTGAGGTACACCGCGGTGCCCGCGGGGAGTTTGGAGAAATCGACAACGATGTCCGCACGCTCGCCCGGACCCAGGACGGAGCGGCGGAGCGGAACTGGCGCGTTGAGGTACCCGCCGTCCGCGGCGACTTGCACGAAGGGGAGTTGCGGTGATGCGGAGAGCGCGTTCCGCAGAGTGAGGTCGGTGTTGGCGGGGGCTGCGCGGAAGACGAGCTCGAGGAAGCGCGCAGTGCCGCCGTTGACGATGCGGAAGCGGTACTTGCGGCGCTCCACGCGCATGTAGGGGGTCACCTGCGCGCATTGCATGGGGTGTAAATGCGATGGCGAGTGTGGTGCTTAGGCCAGCGGAAACAATCGGAAGCGCCATTGCAAGTGCGAGAATAGCCAAACTGCCTGTGGTTTTGGCGCAAGTAAAACGAGGGTACGGGACGATCGAAGAGGGACGGACCTTGCCGTTGACGGTCATGAAGTCACCGAAGTGTTCGGGCATCCAGTGCGGATGCACCTTGGACACGCCTTGGCTAGGCAGGAAGGTCCATCCGTTCTTCACGAACGCGCGGTCCTGAATCACCAGCGGCACGTCGTACCTGCCCGCGGGCAGGTTGAACTTTTCCTCCAGCGCGGGGTGGCGGATGATGTATGCGCCGAACATGCCCGCGAGCACGTTGAGACGCGTCATGCCGCTCGTGTGGTCGTGGTACCAAAGCGTGCTCGCCGCGTGCCCGTTCGGGTACGTGTACGTGTTCGATGCGAACGTCGGGCCGCGCTCTCCCTGGTGCGTCCACCACGCGAACGGATGGCCGTCGGATTTGCTCGACACCTGCGCGCCGTGCACGTGGACGACTGCGGGAAGGGGGGGCGATACGGCGGGAGGGGGAAAGAGAGGCCATATGAGAACATGCAGGGCCACAAGCTTCCACATCGCATAGACGCGTCACGTGCAGCCCTCCCACCCAAAATAGCACTCAGCGAAAGCCATGTTCCGATTTAACAAAAAAGCCCACTCACCGATGGGAACGCCACCGAGCTTGAGTCGGGGCACCATGAGCGTGCGGTCGAGCGGCAGCATGTGCTGCTTGTCCGTGATGTTGTTCACCCACTCCACGCGCAGCTCCTCCCCATGCTGCGCCACGATCGTCGGCCCCGGCACGCTCGCCGTCTTGCGCGACAGCCCGAACGCAGGTCGCGGTGAAACTTCTGCTCGGCGGGGGGGAGGGGAACGGGGAGGAAAGGGCCGGCGGGGGGAAGAGAAGTTGATAATGTAGAATGCAGTGAATGTAGGAGGAAGGCGGCGGAGTTAAGAGACTGGGGAAGGTGTGTGACTTGCCAGACTTGTTACATTTTCCGTTGTGCCTGTTGCCACTAGCGGGTGGCAGTGAACAGCGACTCACCCGCTTCACATTGTACACGCCGATCGTGACCTTGGGCGACTGTCCGTTGCGACGCGGCAGCTTGGACGCATCCACGGCTGGCGGAATCGGCAGCGGGTCCACGAAGAGAGCCAGGCGGCTCAGGTTGGGCGACGTCGTCCGCTGCTGCCGCTTCGCCACTTGCTCTGCCTCATCCCTCGCCGCGTCCGCCAGGTGGTGTCCTATCGGGCCATTCGCGGTGATGCCTCGCGGAGCCTCTGCCTGTTGCGCCGATGCGACTAAGCTAACGCGCGAAACCACCAGCAGCCCCGCGAGTACGAGGATGACGCCGGTGCGCATCAGTGCACCCCTGCGCGCTCCGCGCGAAGTCATGTTCTAGCTTTATAGCTGAAGTATAATTTCTGTAAATTCTGCTATTTTTTCTATGTTCTTTGTGAAGGGATTCAGGGCGAACAATGAAAATCAGTCATATGAGTAATCTCCAAATTGCTAACACGAGGTCCTAGGGAACCAACTAGACGAATCCTCACTCCTATATTTTGCCGTGCTCAGCTGTGGTGCCCCTTGGTGAGTCCAATCCCCCCTTCGGTGCAGCGGGGGTTCAAGTGGGTTGATGGGCACAATACGCCATAGACATCCGAGTCGCTCACGAACAAGAGACTGCATTTGCGCGCCGCGATAGCCGAAGAAATATTCCGCTAGCATTGTGGGTTTGGGGACAGAAATCGTCAGCACTGAGGGCTCGACATGGGAAGTTTTCGGATTACGTGGCAAGCACCAAAACGCGGCTTGCACCAAAACGCGGCTTGCCACGAAGGGAGCACAGCGCACGTTGTTCATTCCATGAAGTCAACAGTTACACCCCAGAAACACATGCGGCTGTTGGATTGTTGTATTCCGGGCCTAGACACCGACAATCGTGCTGGCTGAGGTGACGAGCGAACCAGTTCTCGCCAAACCAAGGGTTACTATGTGCGGAACACATAAAACTACATTGACCAGAAAGTTAAAACTCAATTATGGACCTACAAATAAGCCTGTTTTTGCAACCTCTACATAAGAAATCGGAACTATTACTAAATTCTATTGCTAGAATGCTACTGAATCCTCATCTTCTTTGACCTGGGGCAAAAACGCAGAAGCTAACCTATCCTCCCCATTCCCCCGGTTCCTCAACCCAGCCATACCCAACACTCCAGCCAACACTCCCCTAACCCCACCACCACCTCCATCCCCATCAGAATCCGCACCAAACCCTCTCCCTGCCGCCTCATCCCTCCCACTCGCCCCATCCACCCGACCCCCGACCACACCATGAGCCATCGAATCTGCCCGTAAATCCGCGGCAAGCCTCCTCTTATTATGATGCGGGCGGCTGCCGTGCGCAAACATGGACTCGGGCAGAACGAGATTCGCGAGAATGAGGCCGATGGTGATGGCGAGTCCAACAGTGAGCATCTCAAAGACGAACCCGATGCCCGACATCACGTCCTGGTTGAGGATGGCCGCCACGCCGCGCACGCCTATGCCGCCCGGCACCAGCAGCTGGATCCCCGAAATCTTCATTGCGAGGGGGAACTCCTGGGCGTAGTGTGAGAAGAGGGTGCCTGGTGGGGGACGGGGGGGGAAGGGGGGGAGAGAGAGGAGAGTGAAAGGTGTAAGAATGGAACGCACAAGGTGGGGGATGGGCAGAGAGAGGTAACCGGGCAGAGAAAAGGCATTATTAGAGTTGCAGAAATATTTTCACCTGTTTTCATGTCTTGTGGTGTCAGCACAGGAACAAAGTTATGATTCCAACCCACCTGACGTGCTGACGGCGAATGCAGCAACCACAGAGGCAGTGTCGTTGCCAATGGTGCGGTAGGCGAGCTCAGATACCACGTAGCCCACGAGCGCCACGAGCGTCATGCCGTCCCACTGGTCCAGCCGTGCATTGCACCTTATGTTGCTCGCCACCACGTACATGGCGAACCTGGGGTGAGGGAAGAGGGTGGGGGGTTGGTGGGGTGGTGAAGTGGTGGGGCGTGGGAAGAGCATCGCGCATGATGCAGTGGGAGGAGTGGGCGAGGCGGCCCAGAAGCAGAGCCCCATGCCCACGGAGATACATTGAGTTGAGTTGATCGGACGAGCAGGCAGGGAGGGGGGCGGGAAACAGGTACATGGAGGAGCGCAGCACAAGCACGCACCAGAAAATGTTGGTCCAGAGGGGCAGGTGGGAGGGCGGGCAGTCGGAGAGGGCAGTGGGCAAGGCAGCCCAGAAGCAGAGCCCCATGCCCACGGAGATGCCGAATCCGATCTGCAGCGACGTGAATATTGCCGCTGCCACTCGTGCCGTGCCCGTCACCTGTGTTCTTGCTACTAGCTCGTTCACACCGAATGTCAGTGTCACGCCTGGGATGGGAGAGACGGGGGGGAACGAGAGTGAAGGTGGAAGAGGGCAGCAGGAGCAGCAGGAGCAGCAAGAGCAGCAGGGGCAACAGGGTGGGGTGGGGTGGGGGCATGGAAGAAGGGTGGGCAGGTAGAGGGGCAAGGGGAAAGATGCGGATGGAGTGGAACACTGTGGACTGTGAACGAGGCTTTTATCAGGTATTCAGCAAGCTGCATGTGCTACCCCTGCCAGCCTGTATACGAGGCAACAGAGAGACTGGAGGCAACAGAGAGACTGGTGGCAACTTTCAAGCAGGGCAGCGCACCTGGGAGGAACCAGACGAGGGCGCCGAAGAGAGTGGCGAAGATGCAGATGCGGCCGCTCATCAGCGTGGATGCAAGGAGATTGGCCGTGAAGGCTGCTAGCACCGGCACGAGGAACTCGAGAATGGACGTCACTGCCTGGTGGGCGGAGTGGGGGAGGATGGGGAAGGAAGAGTGTGAGTTGCGAGGCGACCATTAGATGGGCCATGAGGGCTGCTAGCACCGACACAAGGAACTCGCTCATTGTTGTTAATGCCTCGTGGGGCGGTGGGAGAGGAGTGAGGACGATCGATTGATGAGGGAAAACAGGAAACAGTAGAGTCGTCTAAGGGATAGTGTTTTCTTTCAAGCAGAAAGTCGAGAGGGTGAGTAACAGGCACAAGAAAGGATCCCGAGTGCAGTGCGGTATGAGTGAATGGGGTGGCTGTAGCCCCATAGTGTGCACCTGCGAGTGGGAGATGGCCCACCTGCGAGTGGGAGATGGCCCACTTGCGAGTGGGAGATGGCCCACTTGCGAGTGGGAGATGGCCCACCTGCGAGTGGGAGATGGCCCACCTGCGAGTGGGAGATGGCCCACTTGCGAGTGGGAGATGGCCCACTTGCGAGTGGGAGATGGCCCACCTGCGAGTGGGAGATGGCCCACCTGCGAGTGGGAGATGGCCCACCTGCGAGTGGGAGATGGCCCAATACTCCAAGGCGCCTCCCAGGAAGCCCAGCACGGCCGCCACCAGCCCGTCCCACATGTTGCCTGACAAGGACAGGAGCGGGTGGGAGGGGCATGACTGCATGCAGGAAGCAGGGCGCGTGCAGTGAGTGCACGGAGCACAGTGAGTGCACGGAGCACAGTGAGTGCACGGAGCACAGTGAGTGCACGGAGCACAGTGAGTGCACGGAGCACAGTGAGTGCACGGAGCACAGTGAGTGCACGGAGCACAGTGAGTGCACGGAGCACAGTGAGTGCACGGAGCACAGTGAGTGCACGGAGCACTGAACAAGCAGGAGAGGCGGCAAGAGAAGCCCACGAAGGTGCAGGAGCGACCTTTGAGCAGCCTCAAAGAGTGACCTCCACTGAAGAAGGTCACAGCGGCAGTGGCGGACACCAGGGGCATGGCGAGGAGGTGCACGGGCGCATGAGCAGCAAGGGGTTACATGACACAGCAAGGCGCACGCAGGGTGCATGGAAGGTGCAGGCGGAGAGAGGTGCAGGCGGAGAGAGGTGCAGGCGGAGAGAGGTGCAGGCGGAGAGAGGTGCAGGCGGAGAGAGGTGCACGCGGAGAGAGGTGCAGGCGGAGAGAGGTGCAGGCGGAGAGAGGTGCAGGCGGAGAGAGGTGCAGGTGCACAGGAGCAGCATGGAAGGCCTTGCTAGCACCGAAGAAGAGCACAGCGACACTGGCAGACATGAGCGCCATGGCGAGCAGGTGCACGGCGCACGGGGAGTAAGGGGGCACGGGGAGTAAGGGGGCACAGCAGGCCGCGTGCATGGGAGGTGCATGAGAGGTGTGGGCGGGGTTGCTTATGGAGAGTATGGAACACGCACCGCCAAAGAAGAGCACAGCAGCACTGGCGGACATGAGCGCCATGGCGAGCAGGTGCATGGGCGGGGAGAAGGTGGGGGGTGCGTTGGCGATGGCCCTTAGCTGCCAGTACGCCGCCATGAGGTTGTGCGCCTCCCTCAGCCCCACACTGCGCGCCAATTCATCCACTCGCCCCAGCTTGTCCAGATCCATGTCTGGGGATACGGACAGCATGTGCGTGCGCTGCCTGGGGGGTGCGGAGCGGTGCAGAGGGGTGCAAGGGTTGGAAGAAGGAGAATGAGACGGCTGTACAAGGAAGCGGAGCTGCCAGTAGGCGGTCATGAGGTTGTGTGCTTCCCTCAGCCTCACACTGCACGCCAACTCGTCCACACGGCCTAGTTTGTCCAAATCCATGTCTGGGGAGACTGACAGCATGTGCGTACGCTGCCTGGGGAGGGGTGCAAGGGATGCAGCACACGCTCATACGCTGCACTGCGCGCTCATACGCTGCACTGCGCGCTCATACGCTGCACCGCGGAATGAGATCCGGCAGCACAGCTGGTGCCCGTAGATACATCATACATGTATCCCCACCCACAGCACCACGCGTGCACCACACCTTTCACCGCATCTCACCCAGCAGTATCGTCCCCAACCACGCGGTTGAATGCGAGCAGAATCAAGTCTGGCAGCACCGCCACGCTCACGTCCACACCCAGCCGCCGCCCGGCCCGCTCGATCAGGAACTCGGTGCGGGCGGCAGAACTGCCGTATGCGTGTAGCGCCACAGCTAGCCGCATCAGAAACCGCTGCACGCGCGTCGGGCCGTCGTCGCCGCCCGCTGCCGCCCCGCCTGGGTTGTTTGGGTTGCCGCCGCCGCCCCTGTTGCCGCCCGACCCTGCAGCCCCTGCGCCCGCCTCGAGGAACGCGGCTGCTGCTGCGCCGAAGCTGGCGCTGTGCGGCGCTGCGGCTGGCGCGGACGCGCTGCCCGCGGAGGCCTCGCGGAACACGCTCACTGGGGAAGGGGGGAGGAGGGGGAGGGGAGGGTGAAGAATAGATACGGGAGGCGATGAGGGGGAAGCGAAAGGATCGGTTGCTGAGGCTGTGATGCAGACAGAGGGGGGATGCGCGGAACAAGGGAGGAAGGAAGAGGAAACGAGAAGATAAGCGATTGGGAGGTACAAGCTGTGAATTTTCGTTCCTTTGATAAACCGTGAGCGCGATTCCAAGAGTGGGGAGGGGGGAGGAAAGAGGCTCACAGACTTCTTGCTCCGTCCACTTGCCCTTCTGACCGCTCTGCTGCGCGCCCTGCTGCGCGGTTTGCGGAAGACCGTCGGCCTTCCCCCCGTCATTGTCAGTGTCTGTCGGCACAGTCGCCGTGACCTGTATGTCTGTTGAACCCCCGATACAAGCACATGCACGCGCCACAGGATAATGGCAGAGCGTGCTCGCATTAGGAGAGAAGCGTAACCGCGCGCCGCGGTGGCGTGAATCCACGCGTGCCACGTGTACTAGACACATACCAGCCGCGACACGAGGCGCATTCTCATTTCCGCGGTGCGATACTATCCAACAGTGTTTCTACAGCGACAAACATCGGCGCTCACATGGCGATTCCTGTGAATGGATCTTACGCGCACCTTCCACTTGCGAAAAGCTCGTTCCCGGAGGGTCGCCATTGTTGTGGGGGCGATGGCGGTTCTCGAGCACCGTGGCGTGCACCGTCGATAGGATCTTCTGCCGCAGATCCATCCACGTGGCGGTTATTCAGCCACTATCGACCGTCAATCCAGCGCTGAGTGATACAGGGAGGGAAGTGGAAGTGAACGAGTCACATGGGTGGATATGGCAGCACGTGGGGGAGATTCAGGGTGAGGGAATCCCCCCCACGTGGGAGGGAATGGCTCTGGCAGTGACTGAAAGTCAAGATGCAAGGGTGCCGTAACCGCAGCATTTCGGTTTTGATAGGCATACCACGGTTTCGTTCGGTTTTATACGTTCTTAAGCGTTCGGTACCAAATGCCGGATTCTCCACTATAGCCAGTTTCGCTTCCTCGTCACATTCAATCCCAAAGTGCATTTCCAGTTTCGCCAAAACGCCAAAGGTTCACTTCGCCAGGTCGACCAGCGACCTGCTGCCATTTCATTTCCTTTCCATCCATCCCAACCATTCTCACATACGATAAGCACAATCACCTGCCATCTGAGAGTCCAAGACGGTCTGCTGCAGCTCGTGATCGCTGATTACAAGCAGCCATTGCGACGTTGACGTGATTTGCAACCTGATCGCGACCTGCCGTGGGTCCCATGACGCTCACGCGGGCAGCGCACGCGTGTCAGGCACGCGCGGCTGCTGCGTGCGGACGCACGTCTGATTCGCCCTTGAATAGAACATCCGTTTCGTTGGTCCGCTCCCCAACAATCCCATCGCATCGTCCCTGCGCGGCAAGCAGCGTCGCGAGAGGCATGGTTGCGTACGGGGGAGATGCGCGTTGGAGCATCAGGAGTTGGGGCGACCGCGAGTTTGGACTGTCATTCGCGACGCATGCGATGAGGCATGCGACGACGCACGCGACGAGGCATGCGACGGTGCATGCGACGTGGCATGGCAGGCGACGAGGTCGTGCCGCCATTGTAGCCTGGAAACAACCATCACCCCCTCACTCCCCCTCTTCCTCCTCCTCCTCCTCTCCCTCACACGCTCCTTCCCCCCCTTCCGCTCCACCCCCCGGCCAAACCCCCTCTCCGCCTCCAACTACCGCAGCGCCACCCGCACCTCCGCCCCTGCGCGCAATGTACCCCGCGTGCGCGCACCACGCGGAGGGGTACATCAAAGTGTCCGCCATTCACTCTCTCTACTACCGCATCTATGGCAACCCAGCCGGCAAACCCGCCCTCTGTAAGTGCTCCCTCGCGCCTTCGCCTTCTCCAGAATCCAAAGTCTGGGCTCTCTTCCGCCCTTCCCCCTTTCCCCCCTTTCCTCTTTCTCCCCACCCCTCTTTCTCCCCCCCTTTTTCCCCCATCCTCGTTCCCTTCTCTCCCTCGCTCACGCACGCCCGTCCTCCAGCCACCTTTCTTACCGCTCTCTCGCCCCAGGCCCTCCGGCCCTGCTCTGCACCGCACACAACCCCTCCCTTACCCCCTCTCCCCGTCTCTTCCCCATCCTTCCCACCTCCCGCCCACCAGTCCTGCACGGGGGCCCAGGGGCGGGGTGTTGGCCCAACCATGCGCGCTTCTTCGACCCGGCAGTGTACCGCATTGTGCTGTGTGACCAGCGCGGGGCAGGCAGGTCCACACCTGCGGGGTGCGTGGTGGCGAATCGTACAGAGCTGCTGGTGGGGGACATAGAGGCGCTCAGGGAGCACCTCAAGGTGGACAGGTGAGGGCCGCCTGCCGCTGCCACCTGCAGCAGCTGCGAAACTCGCCGTTGCCATTTGATCGGATGTGAAGCTGTGGCTCCGCGCCTCACTTTCATTCATCCTCCCGCATTTCCTCACAATCATTCCCTCTCTACCACTCCCTGCAACGGCCCCCTCTGGTACCCCCAAGGCAGGTGGGCGGTGGTGATGGGCGGCAGCTGGGGCACCACACTAGCGCTGGCATACGCGCAGGCGCACCCGGGGAGGGTGGCAGGCATGGTGCTGCGAGGGGTGTGCCTGCTGCGGCGCCGAGAGATCGACTGGTTCTACCGCCCGGTAGGGGCTGCCGTGCCTGGTTCTCCCTTGCATGCCTTTGGCTTGAAAGTCGGCTTGTTTTCTGTATTTCGAGCATCTGGTGCTGCGAGTTATTTATTGTGTTTGGCCCATCACGTACCCCCTTCCCTCCCCCCTCACCGTTTCACCCCTCCCTGGCAGGGCGGCGCAGAGGCGCTGTTTCCATTCGCGTGGAGGGACCTCATGGCCGCACTGCCCTCCCCCGCTCCCACACACGCGCATGGAGATGGGGATGAGAATGGGAGTGGAGGTGGGGTTGCAGATGGGAGTGGGGTAACAAGTGGGAGTGTAGTGGCAGCGTTTTACGAGCGACTCATGAGCACCGATGCAGCCGCGAGAGACAGCGCTGTGAGTCCTCTCACATGCGCCACACATCGTGTCACATGCCGCTGCATCCTTTCCTCCTTGTGTAGCCACTCATGCCGCTGAGTCACTCCTCGGCCCCTCCGCCCTTGCTACCCTTTGAGTCGACTCAAAGTCGGCTGCCATCACCATCCCACGTCCGCACCTCCCTCCGCCCTCCCCCTCCAGGCAAGGGCGTGGATGCTGTGGAAGGTGCTACTGAGCCACGTACCCACCCCCTCCACCCCTGCTGGCTTCTGAGTCGACTCAGTTTCTGCTGCCATCACCTCCCTCTTCCTCTCCCCCCCCTGCAGGCGAGGGCATGGATGCGCTGGGAGATGTCTCTCAGCCACTTCCCCAGCCCCTCCTCCCCTGCTGCCCTGCTCGCCTGGGATGGCTCCGCCTACTCCTTCCCCCCCTCGCCCCTCTCCCCCCACCCCTCCCCTTCATCGGCTCCCAACTCAGCATCCCCAACCCCCTCCTCCTCCCCGTCCTCCTCTCCCTCCCCCTCCGTCCCCACATCGTCCTCATCCTCATCCTCCTCTTCCCCAGCCTCCCCTCCCTCACCCGAGCCAGAATCAACAGCAGCACCAGCACCACCAGCAGCACCAGCACCAGCAGCAGCACCAGCACCAGCAGCAGAAGCTGCAGAACCAGCAGCAACCGCAGCAGCAGCAGAGGAGGAGGAGGGATCAACGACAGGGCCCAAACCAGAGGTGGCGAAAGAGGAGGCATCACCTGATGGGAAGGAGAGGAGGGAGGATACGAGCAGCACAGGAGGGAAGGACTTAATGGGTGGGCCGCACATATCAGGAGCAGTGGCGCAGGCACGCATTGAGTGCCACTACTTTGTGAGTTGCTGCACCCAGCACAATCCACGCCTCCATTCTCTCCCTGCAACACACACTCTACCTTGATGCATTCACTCCCAATAGCATACTCTGTTCGCGGCAATGCCGATTGCATCTGTCCCAGTGTGACCTCTCTAATCAGAAACCCTGACCCCCGAATGTGTGTCCATCCCATCCCATGTGTCCATCCTGTGTGTTTCTCTCCGATGGCAGCATCATGATGGCTTCTTGGCCGACAACCAGCTGCTGCGCAACATCGATGCCATCAGGCACATCCCCACGGTCATTGTGCATGGCCGATACGACTTCGTCTGCCCCCTCGTTGTAAGGCTCCTCGCTACAACTGTTGCATTTGCTCCTTACTCGCTTGAAGGTGATTGGTGAAACTTATTTACTTATTTTTTTTCTCCTGATTTTCTTTGTTGTCTGTGCAGAACGCTATTGACCTTCATCATGCGTGGCCAGAAGCCCAGCTTCGAGTTGGTATGTATAGTTGTTTCCTGAATCCTGACATTCCTTTTCAGTCCACCTCAATTATATGCTGTCATATCTACATTTCAATCCCCCTTTTTTTTCCTGCAATTTCCCGGGCATCAGTCCCCAATGCAGGTCATTCCATGTACGAGCCAGGAATCACACATGAGCTTATTGTAGCCTCAGACCACTTCAGGGACGCCTAAATTCTCTATGATTTGTTTTTGTAGCGCACCAGTCTTTAGTGATTTTGTGCCGTGGTTTTGCTGTTCGACGTCTCCGATTGGTTGATATTCACGTTTCATGCGCCTGTCTGGCCACCCTCAGAAAGGAGGTTCAGGGCTTTTGCATCTTCGGCGTTTGCCCCTTGCTACTCAGCCCCGTCCCTCTTCCCTCTCCTCAAATTCTCCCAACTCATCCTCGTACAAGTAGTTGAAGCAACCCAACTCATTTTCTCCCACAGAACGTGTCAACCACACTAGCGCAGGGCGATTTTTGTAGTGTGGGCATTGCTTGGTTGCTTCGGCTACTTGCGCCAACATTTCCGCTAGCCCAACTGCCTGGAGATTTTCCGGCGCTCTGCTCTGCCGTAGACGCTGTTACTGCTTCCCTGCTCGTGGTCTCCTCGGCCCGGCGGAAAAGGGCAGCATTGGTGCCGCAAACTAGAGTCGTATTGATCGGAGCTGATTTTTTAGGCGCCTCAAAAATTGGCGCCGCAAGCTACAGTCATATTGATCGGAAGTGCGCTTTAACCATCTTTTAGCTAGTTGTTAACCCGGCGCGAGCGCGCGTCGCTTTTCATGGAGTCCGATCCAATTCCGGAGGGCGGCAAGGCGGTGGCGCCCGCTGCGCCGCGTCGTCCGCTCAAGCTGCGCCTCAAGGTGGGCGGCGTGGTCGTCGACGTCTCGCGCGCCGCTCCCAGTGCGTCGCGCGCGGGGAACGGGGGAAGCGGGGGGATTAGTGCTGACAGCGGGAGCAGCCGCGAGAAGCGTCGCAAATCCGATGAGCGCAGTGATTCTGATGAGCGTATAAATTCTGACGACGCGGATGTTGCGGATCTCCGTCGCGGTGCGAAGGAGCATAGACACGCTAGAAAGGAAGGTTCGCGCAAGGATTCCAGGAAGGAAGCGGAAGGCGGTTGGGAGCTGCAGACACCGCCGATAGACGATCGGCGGACGGGCGGGGAAGCGAGGACGCGTTTGCTGGAGGGAAAGGAGAGAAGGGAGCGGCAGAAGCTAGAAAAACAGGAGCAGCAGCAGGAGCGGGAGGAGAGGGATATGAAGGCGACGAGAGAGACAAGGGAGGGCGAGCGCGGGCGGGCAGAGTCGGGCAAGCCGAGTGCGGTTGAGCTGGAGCAGGTTGACGATGATCGGACGGTGGAGCGCGCCTCGCGGAGGGAGGGTTTGGACGAGCGCGGTCGGTTGCAGCAGGCGTTGGAGAAGGCGAGGAAGGTGCTGTCACAGAGCAAGGTGAGCGATAATGTCGCAGGGCAAGGTGAGCGATAATGTCGCAGGGCAAGGTGAGCGATAATGTCGCAGGGCAAGGTGAGCTCAGGGCAAGGAGAGCGATAATGATGGCGCAGTGGAAAGTGAGTGAAGTCGAGCGACGGTTCCACAATCCTCGCACATTTGCTCAACCCACTCCCGCCGCCCCACTTCCCTCCCAACAGGAAGCACGTGCGAGCCCCACTTCCTCGTCGCCTGCTTCGTCGCCCTCCTCCCCTGCGACACCTGGCGTCGGCACCACCACTGCACTTGCATCTCCATCCACGCCGTCTGCGCCGCAGGTGGGCAGAGCCGCAAGCTTCAAGCGCCCCGCGCCCCTCCGCAGGGCAGCGCCGGCGCACGGGGGGGACTCGCGGGGCGGGGAGGGCGCGGACAGGGGTCACGCGGAGGGCGCCCGCGAGGGCGATGAGGGGCGGGGCAGGGGGCGGGCGGGGGACGAGGCGGAGGAAGAGGAGGGAGGAGGAAAGAGGAAGAGGCACGGGAGCGAGGAGAGAGGAGCAAGGGAGGGGTGTGAGTATGAGAGGCGGGACGAGAAGCGGCACAAGGGGAGGGATGGGAGCAGAGGCGAGGGAACGGAGAGGGACAGGGAGAGACACAGCGACCATCGCCATGAGTACGATCGCCACTGCCATAGCCAGCGCCACAGTCATGGTCAAAACAGGGATCACCGCAACGAGCAGTCCAGGCAGCAGAGGCAGGGCAGTCGCAACCGAGGCCGGGGCACAGCGCAGGAGAGCAGCAATGCTGGCAGCACAGGCAATGCAGCGGGGCAGCAGCAGCACCGTGTGTTCGTGGGCGACCTGGACCCCGCCACCTCTGCCGCGGAGCTGTCAGAGGCGTTCTCACGGTTCGGAGTGGTGGTGCACGCACGCATGGTGGAGCTGCAGAGCTACGGGTTCGTGGGGTTCAAGCAGCGGGCGGAGGCAGAGGCTGCTATCGCTGCAGGGGAGGACGGCCGCTCGACTATCATTGTCCGGGGCCAGCGGGTGAGATGAAGCTTCTGAAAGATTCGGACTTGCTTTGTGGGAAACATGGGGTTGTGTTCTTCTGTATGGGTAGCTTGATCTGTGGCGCAAGGAGTTCCTGCCCTTGGTTGCCTCTGTACCTGTGTGTGCTGCCAGGGATGTCGTTTGATTGTGCTAGCAGCCCTCAGCAGGTCTCATATGCGTCCTCCTTCCTCTTCATCCTCCCACCGTGCCTCGTGTTTTTCACCAGGTGCGGGTGTCGTGGGCACATGGGTCTTTGCCAGAATGGAAGAAGGGTGTGGGGGGGTTTTCCTTTGCAGAAGGTTCCTCGAAGCTGCAGAATGGGCGCATGAAGATGCTGGCAGCTACAGCAGCAGCCAGCGCTACAGCCATGGCAGTGCTGTCCGGTGCTGCCCCAGTTCCCATGCCCGTGGGACCTGCCCCTATGGGTCGCATGGGTTTTCACCATCAGATGGAGCCACATAGCAATCAGCACTACATGCAGGAAGGTCATGCAGGGCCAGGAGGAAATGCATGGTGCAGTAATTCTGGTGCTGGTGTTGGTGCTGCCGCTAGTGGTGGGTGGCGTTCAATGATTGCTTATGATGACTTATTTTGATATAATTTTCGGTACAGGGAATATGATTTTTGTTTGGAGCTTGAAATGTAGTGAGACCATGTTGTGGTTCAGGGGTTTGAGAAATACCGTGTCGACTATATCGATCAGGATATTTGTTCATGAACCAAGCCAGCGCATAAAGAGGTTGCGCGTCGTTCAACGGTGGAGTCTTCCGCTTTTTCTGTGCCTGCCTTCGCAACACGGTGCGTGCGACCTACGCTAGGCGACCCTTTGCGCTTCGTCAATCCCGCCTATTGTCGGGTTCCACAGTTGGAGGAGCTGCTTCTGTTCCGTCTCGTTCGACTGACACGAGACTCGCAACCGAACCTAGCTTCCTGACGCGTTGCACTGCCAAGCCCAATCACCAGCGTCCAGACTCCAGTCTAGTGTAGAGGCCAAACCGTTTCCTTACCATGCTTGCTTGCCCCCGCTAAATTTGATCGGCTATATCCGCAGCCACCATTCAATTCAAATACATTTTATCTGAATCCTCGACTTCTGGCATTCATTCTCTTGTTTTTCTCGTTTTTGGATTGGACCCATCTCCTTCATTGGGTTGCTTCTATCTCCTTTACCAGCTCAACATTAGTCAAATTTCAGACGCCATGGCTGACGATATCCCTCTCAAAGATCAGCTAGACATCGTCATTCCTACCATTCGCAACCTCGATTTCCTCGAGCAGTGGCGGCCTTTCTTCGAGCCATACCATCTTATCATAGTCCAGGATGGAGATCCAACCAAGGTCATTAAGGTCCCTCCCGGTTTTGACTACGAGCTCTACAACAGAAATGACATTAACCGGATCCTTGGCCCGAGAGCGTCGTGCATCTCGTTTAAGGACAGTGCGTGTAGGTGCTTCGGTTACATGGTGTCGAAGAAGAAGTATATCTACACAATCGACGACGACTGCTTTGTAAGCTACTTAGTTGCGATTTTATCCGTCATTGAATTTCTGGCTGTTACTCTGATTCTTTTTCTTAAAAAATGGTGACTAAATCTTATTCACGTTTCACGGTTTCCCGTGCATGTCCTGTTGTTTACAGGTTGCCAAAGATCCGTCAGGGAAGGACATCAACGCTCTTCAACAGCACATTAAGAACCTGCTGAGCCCGTCCACGCCGTACTTCTTCAACACACTGTACGATCCGTACAGAGAGGGTGCTGACTTCGTCCGAGGTTACCCATTCAGCCTTAGGGAGGGAGTTTCGACCGCGGTGTCGCACGGCTTGTGGCTTAACATCCCCGACTACGATGCACCCACGCAGCTCGTCAAGCCAAGCGAGAGAAACACAAGGTAAGCTCCACACTTGCTTCACTTGATAACATTTAGCTCTCTAAACTGTTTGATTAACTCGTTCACGCTCACGCCTTGCAGATACGTCGACGCGGTGATGACTGTCCCTAAGGGAACCCTCTTTCCGATGTGCGGGATGAATTTGGCGTTCGATCGGGAGCTCATCGGGCCAGCCATGTACTTCGGACTCATGGGCGATGGGCAGCCAATTGGACGCTACGACGACATGTGGGCGGGCTGGTGCATGAAGGTAGGTTATCTGTTTTGAGAGCTCTAGAGGATTATGATGGAACCTGTACGGAATGAAGCCTGAGGCCGTGTGTCGTTCAGAAGGTTTGAATGACCCACGGGTAACACCTGCATTGTCAGTTCCAGAACGAATTGTCAGTTAAACGGCTAACCGTAACTGGAAGGACGAAACCACCCTGAAACACTATGTGCACTTCTCCTCGCTTTTGCCTTTGTTCTCTCGTTTGATCCAACGTGGCAAAACTAAGAGGGAAAGAACGTGGCGGTGCCTGCAAGGAGTAATTGGCAAGAACGTCGACTGCAGTCTTGTTCCGTTCCAACAGTGTGCCCTTGACGTCCTTGCTCGTGGTTGCTTTGGTTAGTCACCGTTTCTAAAATCCTGCTTTTATGCAACCCTTTTCCAGGTGATTTGCGACCATTTGGGTCTTGGAGTGAAGACAGGATTGCCATACATCTGGCACAGCAAAGCCAGCAATCCGTTCGTCAACCTGAAGAAGGAGTATAAGGGTATCTTCTGGCAGGAAGACATCATCCCCTTCTTCCAACAAGTGAAGCTGCCCAAGGAGGCAACAACGGTGCAGCAATGCTACCTGGAACTTGCTAAGCAAGTGAAAGACAAGCTCTCTTCGCTGGACCCGTACTTCACCAAGCTAGCGGATGCTATGGTGACATGGATTGAGGCCTGGACGGAGCTGAACGCTAAGGCTCCTGCCTCCAATGCTTCTCCTGCCAAAGCAAAGCAAGCTGCCAAGTAGACTAGGTCTTTGACTCTTCTTGCAGTGAAAACAGCTGCTCTCTCAACATTTCTCAGTGTTACTGATTATGTTGTTATAAGTCCAGGCATTCAAACATCCAGTCTGGTTAGTTCCAGCGTATGTTCAGTTTCAGAGGAAGGTGTTTACGGAGGACTTGACAGTACTGAGCCAACTGAAAGCCTTGCAAGCTGGTGAGTGTATGATAACTACACTATTGGGTGTTATGTGGGGTTGGGAATCGAGCCCTGGCACGATCCTTAGCTTTATTGCCTTCATCCGATGTTTAGCTAGTCCTTATTGCATTATTTCCTTTCTATAAACTCGAGAACAGTCTGCCTGAAAGTTATTCACTATTCCAACCTCGATAGTGCACTCGTCCCCGTTACACGCATGAAGCAAAGGTGTCGGCGGGAAAGGGCCAACGAGCCGCGAAGTGTTCGCGACAAGCGCGGGAGGTCTCGGTGTGTGCAGCATCCTTCGTGTCTATGAGACTCAGGTTACTGAGCTGAGCCTTTTTCGCCACCACCAATAGTCCTCTCAGCCAATCCCACGTCGTCATTGACACATCTTCGCTAGACTCGATTGTGCCTTCGCCAATCAACCGTCCCAATCACTCGCGTTGCAGCCATTCGTAAACTTATGCCATCTGAAGATGAAAAACCTAGCAGAAGTACCGTATGACACTTTTTTTGAGTGATCGTCATCTTTTCGAGGCAGAGGTCTCTAGAGCCTGAAGTAACGAGAGCCGCGGTTAGGTGGTCGAAGGGCGCGAGCTCGATTAGAACCAGGCGTGGTTGAGGATGCAGTTCTACCTGTGTATTCCGTCAAAATTTAGAGCATAATAACTCTAGTACCTCAGTGTCTTCTTCACGACGAGCGTGATGGCGTCCGCGGCACGAGCCGCGTTAGATTGCGTGCACTCATCAGTAGAGCCGTTACAGATAAAGCATGCTGCCGCCACTTCAAGAACGACTCATGCTCGAACGTCGCGTGTTGCGAGCATCACGAGAGCACGGAATTCTGTCCTCAGCCGCTTTCCGTCCGACTCCTGGCGAAGGTGGGACGATCATCATCGCGTTGTGCTATCAGCTTCGCGTAGCGTCGCGTCGTCTGTCTAGCTTCCGCCTCCGGAGTATCTGGTTGCGCTGAGCTACCCCGCTGCGCTGCCTCACTAGTCCCTGAGCGCGAGACGTTAAGCGCGATGGGGTTTCCTGTTCGCCCTTCTGTTTTCGGACGACAGGGTCTCAAACACAATAGGCTTTCCTGTGGCTCTGGTATTCGTTATTGCGCGATTGGTCGTATTTCCGCAGCTGCTCTTTCCCACACTGAAACGTATATTCGCCTTTTTCCGCCGCTCCTCCTTCGTGCAGACCTGACGTTTCGCGGCTCTCTTCGCCGTACACGCCCTCCCCCGTCCATCTCCAAACGCCATTCCGCCAATCCGTAGCTCGCAGCACCCTCGCCACGTCACCAGGGACGTCAGGCCCGCCAGTAACGGTGCCGGACCTGCCCACCGTGTCGGTAGTGATTCCTCTCTACAACGAGGCTCGGAGCATCCCGATCCTGGTGGAAAGGGTCGGTGACGTGCTGAGCCGCGCGGGGTGGCCGCATGAAGTGATCTGCGTGGATGACGGGTCGTCTGATGGTGAGTGAGAGGTAGCATGGCAACACCGTTGGCAATCATTGGGTCTTTCAGGTGATGCTGTCTGTCGTGCCCTTGCTTCAAGCGCTGCACTCTCTCGCACCTCCTCCGCATGTCCATTCCCCCATCCCCGTCCCCGTAATCCCCGTCCATCAAACTCCAATCCCCACCCCTTACTCTCGCCCTTCCTTCCCCCCCACCCCCCTTCGGTTTTCTCACCCCCCCACTCCCCCGCCCCCCAGGCACGTCGCTGCTGCTGAAGGCGATGGCAGCAGAGAGGCCGGAGGTGAGGGTGGTGGTGCTGCGATGCATCTTCGCCCCCCACCCAACCGCCTCCCTTCCCTTTTCCCCCTCCATTCCCCCTCACTTCCTTCACCCCCACTCCCACCCCCCCGACCCTCCTCATCTCCCGTTTCGTCTCACTTTCTTCCACCCCAGGCACGTCGCTGCTGCTCAAGGCGATGGCAGCAGAGCGGCCGGAGCTGAGGGTGGTGGTGCTGCGCCGCAACTTTGGCCAGACGGCCGCCATGGCTGCTGGCTTCGACTACGCTGCAGGTCGCTGCTGCCCCCTGCCGTTCCCTGCTGCCCCCCTGCTGCACCCTACAAGAAAGCCATGGGTGCTTGCATTGCATGCAGCCTCGTTTCAAGAGTGTCTCTCATATGTAAATGCATTGCCTAGTGATTCAGCTTCTGCGTGTCCATGCTTGTGATCTAACCCTCAATGTCCCCTCCCGTCATGTTTTCCCCCATTTCCCCTCCATCCCTTCTGAACCTTTCCTCCGGTCCCCTCTCCCCCTCCGCCGCATCCTCATCCCTCCACGCCCTCCTCACAGGTGACTTCATAGTGACATTGGATGGCGATTTGCAGAACGACCCGTCAGACATTCCGCGGTTGCTGCGCCTGCTGCTGCTGGGTCGCAAGGGCGCCGTGGGGCAGGAGGCGGGGGCGCGGTGGGTGGCGGGGAGGGAGCGAGACGGCGGGGGGTATGACATGGTGTGTGGGTGGCGGCGCGCGCGAAGAGACGACTTTCTCTCGCGCAATCTGCCCTCTGCTGTGGCGAATCTGCTCATTGGCGCCGTCACAGGGGTATGCTTTTTCACAAAGAACTCGTCTCTCTGCTATGCAAAGAGTTATATTATGTTTGTCGCAAGGGGTGAATGTATCTACCACATGGACTTGTTTCTGCTCCTCTCCAACTGCACCATTCTGTTCTCGTTTTGATCCCTGCCCTGCTCCTCCTCTTGTCCCTCCCACATGCACGCTCTCCCACGGCGGGGTCAGGTGCGGCTGCACGACTATGGGTGCAGTCTGAAGGCGTACCGCGGGTCGCTGGTGCGCTCCATGCGCCTCTACGGCGAGCTGCACCGCTTCCTGCCCGCCCTCGCTGCCATGGAAGGCGCCTCCATCTCCGAGCTTGAGGTACCATGGTTTAGGAGGGGGGAGGGGAGGGGAGAAGGGGGGGGAGGGGGGGGGAGAAGGGGAAGGAATGTGTTTGAAACGAGTGTTGTCAAGGCCTGCCATCCAATCTACATGTTCATGTAGTTGTTTTTGGTTGGGAAAAAGGTTTTCTGCATGTGCCGGTACAAACTCACACCCTCTGCATGTGCCCATGTACCTTGTCTCCTGTCCGTTGCAGGTGCAGCACCATCCACGGCAAGCGGGAGTGTCCAAGTACAGCCTCTCAAGCACGCCCTGTGTTTTTGTGGGTTGGCAGCAAGTCTTCCCACGCGTGGCGGTACAGCAACTCACACCCTGTGTATATGCCCATGTTCCCCTCTTCCTCTCCCCAACCCTCCCACACCCGTGGCAGGTGCAGCACCATCCACGGCAAGTGGGGGTATCAAAGTACAATCTCTCACGCATGCCCCGTGTGCTCGTGGATCTGCTCACAGTCGCCTTCCTCACGCGCTTCCGAGACCGCCCCATGCACTTCTTCGGGCCCCTCGCCGCCCTCACACTCCTCGCTGCTGCTGTCTTTTTTGTCCTCTTCTGTGCCGCGGCGCTCAAGGCGGCTGCGGCGTATGGGGTGGGCATGGCCATGGTGGTGGGGGCAGCTCATCTGGTGGCGTCTCTTGAGTTTGTTGTTGCTGGATTCGTTGTAAGTGCCAGGCTCATCCCCCAGCGCCTTACTCCTCACTGCTGCCCCTCCTTCCGTTCACTGACTTGCCTTCCCAGCTCTTCCCCTCTCTTGCCTTCGCTTTCTGTGGCTTGCCGTGTTTGCGTGTGTGTTGCTGTGCCCTCTCTAGCTGTTGCTCCCGATATATCCTGTACTGTTGTCTTTCCACATCATTCCCGTCTCTTCTGTATACCCATTAATGCTCCCCCTTGCGTCAGCTATTTGGGCTAGGCCTGGTGGCAGAGCTGTGCATGAGGACGTACTACGAGGCACAAGGGAGATCTGTGTACCGAGTGAGAGAGGTTGCCAACTGATAAGGCCTACGAATGAGGGGATGATGACAGGCTTGTGGATAACTCACACAGGGGTGTGGAGGCTGGCATCTGTGTTGCTGACATTGGTTTGCTTCGGTGTAGAAAATACTTCAGGCTGTGCGTTTATACATGGTAAATATCAAGACCTAGTGCTAGCTTCAATCTGACAACACATGACACGCAATACCTTATGTAGAAGCTTCAGTAATGATAGTGATGGCCAGCTCACTGTAATCTTGTATCCGTGACATGTACCGGATAAAAATATGGCTAATTTTATCCTGCAAATATGGAGTTAGTTTCTGGCATCAGCTCCACTTTACCGATTAAAACCGCAGTACCGGTATGGTCATATAAAAGCTTACAAGCAAATGATTTACACTTATGTACAGAGGAAAGACCTCCGTCCCAACTACAGCTTGAGCCAATTTGCAAGGAAGGTTCAGAGCCTCCTTGTAGTGAAGCTAGATGAATGTGGAACTCCCCTTGTCATGTTGGAAAACCCTAGAGAAAGGGATCTCAATAATCCTGTGAAAGAGAATGCAGTCTCCTGAGGTGGCGAAGAGCTGAAGAGTGGAGGGGCCACATTGCGGACTGTCAGTATTGTGGGGCCAATTTCCTGACGAATGGCCTCAATGATGCTGAAATCAACAGGGCGATTGGCGGAGTCAGTGACGTAGAACTCGTTCACTGCTTTTCCCCAGCGTGTACATATATTAGCAGCAGTGATGGAGAGGTTGTGGGTTTGGAATACTCGTGTGACGTCGCACAGCAAGCCAATGCGATCTCCAGTGCAGAGGTCAAGGCACAAACCCTGCCACAGAAGGAGCCCCGCAACACGTCATATCCAAGCCACATGCGGACAGGAACGAAATTCAGTACCCTCGGTTTAAATCTAAGAGCAGAAATAGAGCGGCAGAAATGTAGCTCACCCTTGGGCTGCGTCGCAGTATAGCTGCTTCAAGACATTTGCCAACTCGCTCCCTCTCAGCCTCAGTGTCCAGCATGGACCCATCCATGGTTCTGACGTAGTACTCCTGAGAACAGGCATAGAAGCAATATCATAAGGAACATAGCAGAATGCAGAGAAGTAGCAAGGCATGGTAAGGTGAGGAGTGCTAACCTGATGTGCGATGTCATTCTCAGACTCGATCGTAGCATGGTGAATGATGTACTGCATGTCTGTCAGTGTGCAGACCGTGTCAAACAGAAGTTTCCGTCGGTCCACACAGGTCAGTTTGATGATTGTGTACTGCGACTCTGGAGAGTTCGCCACAGAAACGCTGGGCCGCACTTTTTCCTCAACCACACCTGCAGGGAAAGCATTGATGCCCATCGTTTCATAGTCCCTATCCGCGAATAGTAGCTGATGGAGTCTCCGATCAGTCTGAGCCTCCCCGACAAAAAAGCTGCTCCGAGATTCAATCCTTATGCTATTTGACTCCATCACAGAGCAAAGTCTCTCACGCATTTCAGCCAAGACAGCAGCGTCACTAACAGGTCCTCCGTTACTAGCCTCAGTGACATGTAGGATAAAAGCTACGCGGTTATTGTGTGTCCAAACTTCTGCTCCCACCACGTTGCATCCCAGCTTCGTCAACACCTCTGACACCTCGTAGAGAATCCCTGGGCGGTCATATCCCGTGAGCTCTATGACGGAATGCTCGAAGTCTATTGCATCAGCGACAGGCTTTCCTAGGCAGGTTTTTGCATCTGGAACAGGATGCTCTTTCGAAGCACCCAGCGCCTGCAAACGCGATCGGGGAGCATTTCAGCATGTGAGCAGAGGTCCGTCCGCGAGTACGCTAACCACAGAATGAAGCTTACCTTTTCAATAAAGCGAATGAGGCTTTTGTCAGTTACTTTTTGACCCAATTGGTCCACAACGTGAAACACTGAAAGGGAAAAAAGTGAAAGGGTGTCAAAGCTCCTATAATGAAGAAACGACGCGAATTGTGTGGATCTAAAGGTACGTACCATCCACAAACCAGCCGCCATCTGAGGAAATGTAAGCTTTGGAGATCACGAGATCAAGGTCAGTTAGAAGCTGCACGACTTGAAGAAGGCAGCCTTGCTTATTTGCGCTATCCACTTTGACAAGAGTCGAGACTGGATCAGAATGGTTGTCAAAAACAACCCTGCATGTGACAGCACAATCATCAGTCAACGCCAAAAAGGGACAAGCCTTTGTGTTTGTGTTAATATAAGCGGGTAGGCTTCACCTGGGTGGATTGACACGTAATGCAGCCTCTTCGAAGCCTGCAAAAGGAAACACTCTCACTAAGCCACAGATGGAAACGATACTCTTAACAACGGTGGAAAGACTAGTCACCTGAGGATCTTGCCATTGAAATCTTCGGGTCGAAAGAGATTGGCGATGGAGACAATGCCATGTTATAGCCTGTCCCTTTCGAAAGTAATCCTCTGCCGTGTTGAAGGAACACACCAGGTTACCCTTATCTCACGCGACCAACTTTGTCAAAACCATCTGACGCCCGCAAGTGTGCCCAAGTCTTCAATGAGCACTACGTGAGACATTAACTACAGGATAGTGGTGCCAAAAACGCTAAGCTGCAAATCGAACGCCGGCACTGTACTCTAGACGAGCGGCTAACAGTGATTGGTAATTATGGAACATGTAACGTCGGCAAACTATGCAGCTAGCAGTGTACAGTAGCTGTTAGAGCTGACTTTATCAAGCCTCCTAGGTTGCAGCAGTCACGGAGGATGCTCTACGGGACAGCGAGGGATCCTCCCCGAAACTCCGAGGCACAATTCTGCTTTACGTCGGTCTATGGGTTGGATCCAGCACAGCCACCTCCAACCAAAAGCCGACCAAGCAACAAGGTCGCAAAAGCGACCCCAAACCAAACCCTCGGATACCTCCACCTTTCACTTTCCCCCCTTCGGTGAAGGATGTGCATCGTAGGTGCTTTCGGTGCAGGAGTGCAGCGAGGTTCATAAGGGTTTCAGTTGAAAACACTGAATCTAATAATTCCCTACCATTAATTGCACCAAGTCCCTTCTTCCTGTTCATCTAGGAATGTGAAAACCACATTAGGAAGGTTCCACAAGGTACGGTACTGAAACCCACATCGAAGGGCTATATGTGTAAACAGTACAATTGATGCTCTCTCAGTCACTGCACTTCAGCCAGACATTGGCTAGTCTGGTCTGAGGTTATAGACCTCAGAAATTTCTAGGTGTTTACATGACTGCCTCTCAAGTTACTCAGCACTTACCAGCAGTCCTGATGCCAATAACTTAGGGTGCATTCCTGAATCACGTCACAAAGGCCTCGCGTCTCAAACGAAGAGATGCAGTGCGGTGGAAATGTTCGATTCCTAGGTGTAATGCGGTACAGACTGATACCGTACATTGGTTATACGACGGGATTGACACATGACGTTATATGCTGTTTTTCAGTGTCACAAAGGGATTGAGACACAAGTGTCTCCATAGGAACGTTCCCTAAGAGACACTGGTTGATAGTGGAGCTCCTTTCATGGGGCTTTCCCTGGACAGACTCAAAGAAAGTGAGCGAAGCATTCCAGTGAAAGAGAAGAAAGGCGCCTGAGGTGGAGGCGAGCAGCTAATAATGGGAGGCGCCACATTACGGACAGTCAGCATCTCAGGGCCGATATCCTGGCGAATAGCCTCAATGGTGCTGAAATCGACAGGGCGATTGGACGAATCAGTGACGTAGAACTCGTTCACAGCTTTCCCCCAGCGCGTGCATATGTTTGCAGCAGTAATGGAGAGGTTGTGCGACTGGAAAACCCGAGTGACATCGCACAACAAACCAACCCTATCCCCAGCGCAGAGATCCAGACACACCCCCTGCCACAACAGGAAGTCATGTGACGTGACCAAACAGCCAGCGAAAGCAGTACAGCTTGTTGCTAGTCTCAAATGCAGCAGCAAAATCAACGAACAAGTCGACTTACCTTGGGGGCGCGACGCAGAATAGCTGCTTCAAGACACTTAACCACGCGCTCCCTCTCAGCTTCAGTGTCCAGCATCGAACCGTCCATGGTTCTGATGTAAAGTTCCTGCAGTGGAAGATGGCAGCCAAATGAGAATGCCATACGGACAATGACGCGCTTAAAGCTAAAGACTCAAACTTCATGGAAATAAAACTGTTTACTCACCTGAAACGCCACATCATCTTCTGACTCGATCGTGGCATGGTGAATGATGTACTGCATGTCCGTAAGTGTGCAGACCGTGTCAAACAAAAGTTTTGGCCGGTCCAGGCAGCTCAGCTTGATTATTGTATACTGAGACTCAGGAAGATTTCCCACAGAAACACTGGGACGCAGCTTCTCGCCAGCTGCACCAGCAGGGGAGACATGAATCCCAGCGGCTTCGTAATCCCTGTCAGCAAGCATTAGCTGATGCAGCCTCTGGTCGGTCTGGGCCTCCCCAACAAAAAAGCTGTGCCGAGCCTCAATTCTAATACTGTCTGACTCCATCACCGAACATAACTTGTCATGCATTTCGGCCAGCGCGTCAGGGTTGGTGACAGGTCCGCCGTTGACTGCTTGGGTAATGTGAACGACGATTGCCACACGGTTATTGTGCGTCCAGACCTCCGCTCCCACCACATTGCATCCCAGCTTCGTCAACACCTCCGACACCTCGTAGAGAAGCCCAGGGCGGTCATATCCTGTCAGTTCTATGACGGAGTGTTCAAAATCTATTGCGTCCGCGACAGGCTTTCCTAGGCAGGTCGTTGCATCAGGAGCGAAATCCTCTTTGGTAGCACCCAGGGCCTGCACAGGAAGAGAATAACATTCAGCAAGTGCGCAAACGCTCATTACCAAGCATTTGTTTGTCGCCTCACTCACCTTCTTGATAAACTGAATAAGGCTCTCGTCCGTCACCTTTTGCCCCAGTTGGTCCACGACATGGAAGACTGCAAAGGGAGAACCGAAGGACAATCAAGCTGATGTGATGTGAAGATGCATCTACACTATAAATGTGGCCTGCAAGCTACTCACCATCAACGAACCATCCGCCATCAGAAGAAATGTAAGCTTTGGAGATCACAAGATCAAGGTCAGTCAAAAGCCGTACGACCTGAAGCAGGCAGCCTTGCTTGTTTGCGCTGTCCACTTTAACAAGAGTCGAGACTGGGTCAGATTCGTTGTCGAAAACAACGCTGCAAACAAAAGGACGCTGTCAGCATTTTTTTCTCCGTAAAAAAAACTATATCTTCAGCACATTCTGAATGCAAACGGAGACGGCTGACCTGGGAGGGTTGACTCGCAACGTAGCTTCCTCGAAGCCTGCAGGAAGGAAGTAGCTCGAACTTAGCCCAAAATGGTGACATCGAATTAAACACGCAGTATATAACAGTTGAAGAAATTGCTACCTCGGAACGAGGTAAGAGAAAGCCTCGGCTGAAACGAGAGGACTTGTTTTGATACCGACGCCATTAGAGGAACGCGTGTATCACCCTGCTTGTCACGGAAATTCAACACTTAAATGATTATCGCTTTTCACGGCGACATAAATAAGTCTTAGAAGAAGCATTCTGCCAGGCGTAATGGCGCTGCGGTGCAAGCAAATGGTATGGGTTGCAGCATTGCTTCTGGCAATGCGAGCACTTCATGAATGGCGGAGCAGTGGCAGGAGCCTAACCTTTTCTTCGCTGGAGCAGAACAACAGAAGCAGCTGGCAGCACAGCAACAGGTCACCAAGCGCAGAAATGTTTCAGTGACGCTTTGCCCAACCGCAGCCTCCACTCGCACGGCGACTGGGACTTGAATCTGGGGCGGACAAGCCTCCATTGGCCAGTCACCACTTGTGGCCCTCAATTGCCAATTTCAGGGGCCAATTCCACGCCACGGGAAAGGCAATCAGGCTCTCTGATTGGAGGAAAGACAGTCCTGTAAAGTCCAAAACGGCCCCGAAAGGCCAGGCGAGCCACTAACCTCGTTCGACCCGTCCAGGCGAGCCACTAACCTCGTGCAGGGTGTTAGCACGGTACTCGACACTGCTTTACCTTGTAATATTTGTGTGTTCGTTGCGTTTCTTTTTCCAAAAGAAATGCACGTATCACCTTGAATTGAAGTGATAGAAGTAAGTGCATTTGGGGAAAACAGAAATGTGAGACCCACCAGCACTTACCGTAAATCACATGCAGAAACAAAGGCTTGCATAATGCGTTTAGTAGACGTTTTAGCTTGCATAACCTCTGCCACCTGAGTCACTTGAGTGAGTGAAAAAAGGCAACCCTGTCCCCCCTGCAAGAAGGGTACAGAAAGAGGCAAACTATGTACAGTCGATATGATACATACCGTACTATGCACTGCATAGTATGATACTTCCCGTAAGATAGAGTCAGAAGTAGCAACCAGGGTTCTCGTTATCAGACCAATTTGGTCTGATGGTCTGAGTTTAAGACTTGTTTTTTTGTATTCATCTGCTTCCTAAGAATTTGTTTTTGTGCTCATCTGATCAGTAAGATTAGCGTTTTAGGTTCGTATGATTTTTCCAGACGTGTAGAATTCTTAATCTGAGTACACAGATATCGAGTTCGGTTTCGTCTGAAACCGACATCTTGACCCACTAGGCCATATGCCCAGAGGATAGGACCACCACAGGTACAGCCATTTGCTGCTTTGTAACAGCACGCGCATTCATTACGCGTGTCTTATAGCAGCCCCGCCGAAAGCGGCGATGCGGTAGATACGTGGCATGTGGCCGTTTGTTCCACTCCCTCGCCCCCACACGCTCGTACCCCAACCTCGGATTACAGTAGGTTGACTTTTAACAGGATTTTTTTTTTTCGTCTTAGTTATCAGACTATAAAAAATATTCCAACTTATAATGCAGACTACGGAAGTTTCGTCGTCCGAGCACAAGACGGGGGAAATTTTTTTCAGGGTACTGTCAGACAGCCCCAAAACCTAGCGAGAGCCCTGGTAGCAACGATAATATTATGAAGGGTATTGTTGTGCAGACGATACAGCGCATTGCACATACGGTACCGTACCGATCCAGTACCTCTACTATGGATCAAAGTTAAGACCCTCAAAACATGGGACTGAAAAGGTTGTGAAAGCTTGCCACATGCCATCCACCTTTCTTCCAGCCCTCTTATCCTCGTTTTCACTCCCCATGCAGTCTTCCTTGCATTCCATCAGCTACACTTCCCCCCTGTGGCTGCCAGCGTGCAGATGCCACCATGCCATGCCAAGCAACACCAGGCCATGCCACACAATGCCATGCCATGCTAAGCCACACCATGCGTTGCCAAACCATGCCCCACCGTGCCATTCCAAACCATGGCACACCCCAAAAAAATGCATGCCATCCAACGCGATGGCATCCCCAGCATGCTCTGCCACCACACAATCACATCCTACACCATGGCATCGCATGCCAACAATCTGGAATGCCACACCGTGAGATGCTACAGAATGCAATCCTGGCATAATATGGTGCACCATACAATAAAGGTAAGTGCAGCATGGCATGCCATACCATGCCGGATGACACACATGCATACACAGGATGGCATGCCATGCCATGGTCTACACCATGCCATACAAACAGTAAAACATGCACACTATAACATGCACATTGTACCATGCACACTGTAACATGCCATTGTACCATGCACACTATAACATGACATTGTACCATGCACACTGTAACATGACATTCTACCATGCACACTATAACATGACATTGTACCATGCACACTGTAACATGACATTGTACCATGCACACTATAACATGACATTGTACCATGCACACTATAACATGACATTGTACCATGCACACTATAACATGACATTGTACCATGCACACTGTAACATGACATTGTACCATGCACACTATAACATGACATTGTACCATGCACACTATAACATGACATTGTACCATGCACACTGTAACATGACATTGTACCATGCACACTGTAACATGACATTGCACCATGCACACTATAACATGCACACAGTACCGTGCACACTGTGCCATGCCACTGTACCAACAGGTGGCATCAGTGCCCTAGGGCTCATCCCATGCCACCCAACACATCCCCCTGTCATAGCTACCCCCCAACACATCCCCCTGTCATAGCTACCCCCCAACACATCCCCCTGTCATAGCTACCCCCCAACACGTCCCCCTGTCAAAACCACCCATTCCCAACATATCATCGTCCCCCAATCAAAGCCTCCCAGTCCTCAACCCACACACACACACTCGCTCCCCAAGCAAGGAACTTGGGGCCTTCCATCTGCGAGAAGGACCCAAAGGTCAATCAGCAAAAAAGTGCAACAAGGAATTACGGCCACAGAGACTTCGTACGTACCAGAATGGCAGGAGGGATGCAAAAGAGAAGGGAGATGATGGAAATGTAAGCGTAGAGATTTGTGCTGTCCTTTCCAACCTGCGACATACGGAAAAACAGAATTAGACATCCGTAAGAACGGCGTACACAGAAGAATTCTGTTCAAACAAAAGGCTCACCATTGCTTTCTTGGAGAACACATTTCTGAAAGTGAAGGCAATGTTTGAGGTCATTGCGGTGAGGAAGCCAGTCCAGTTAAAGGACAACTCAGTCACGGATGCCAGGGAAACACCTGAAGTAGGAAATACAAAGCTGTAAGTGTGATGAAGTGGAGCCGAAGGACCAGAAACCTAGGCAGTCACTCACCAAGGACAACAGGGAGGAGAGACAGCCACAGTGGAAGTGACACTGCTGGCCGAGGACAAACTGAGATGCAGCCGCGTTGAAAAACGACTCCAGGGCTGCACGGAAAACAAGCCCGTCTTGTCAAGCTGCTAGCAGAACTACCGAGTCGACTGCCCGGTGCTCCCAAGATAGACAAGCTTACACTTAATCGTGTGCATGAAGGACACAGCCACTGATGCAAAGGACACGTTGGTCATAACATGGCAAAGGGCGTGGCAGAATGCGACTGGTGCGAGGAGCACAAGCATGCCCTTGTCAATTGGTGCAGGCATAAAAAAAAAGTCAATAAAGCAAGGAGTGAACCTTTTAAGAGCAGAACCGACGGTTACTCACAGCACGCTTGGGAAGTCTCAAAGCCCAAGAAATTAAACAATAAACAACTCCAACTGTTAGGTGAACTGCAGACACAAAGCTGACGGGAAAACGAAAACAGGCATACACGTGAAATTACGACAAGAGAAAGATAGAGGTCAACCAAAACCTAGGACCAGTGAAACCACTGCTTTCACGAACAAGATAAGCTCAAAGAGTGTCAACCAGGAAGAACAACATAAAATTAATGAAACCTCTCTTGGCCATCAGGACTGCTGCCCTGATGTTCACCCAAACACCACGATGAGGTGGAGGTTCGACGTTCGGGAAAAATTGTGTAATCATAACATTCAATGTCCACCACTCAATGTCCACACATACCGGAACCACACCGATGGCCATCGGTCACCGACGGCCATCTGTCCCACCTTGCCAGCACAAGGAGGAGCATATTGTCACTGCCTTTCGGGAACAGCACGTCTCGAGTGGATGTATTCTGAGGTGCAAAGAGAGGAAGGGGAAAAGCGCGAGCTGGCACAAGACTCAAATCCACCCCTCGTAGCATGAGCTTGCCCGAACCAGAGCCGGCCGGCTCGGCTCCAGCAGGGCCTATTGTGCTTTAACGCGCAGGTTCGTTACTTGAGCACCGACTGCCGTCGCCGCGCTAGTTCCCCAGCCACCCCCGCACAACAAGCCACAAACCACCCAAGGGTGCTGCCCCTAGGGAAGTGAGCTGCATACTACCTCCCATGCTTTACCTGTTCCCACCACCAACACATACCACCCCAGAACACCTCGACAGCAAAAGGAGAAACACACATGCACCCCCTTTCGGGAACAGCACGTCTCGAGTGGATGTATTTTGAGGTGCAAAGACAGGAAGGGGAAAAGCGCGAACTGGCACAAGACTCAAATCCACCCCCTGGCGTAGCATGAGCTTGCCCGAACCAGAGCCGGCCGGCTCGGCTCCAGCAGGGCCTATTATGCTTTAACGCCAGGTTCGTTACTTGAGCACCGAGGGCCGTCGCCGCGCTAGTTCCCCAGCCACCACCCGCACAACAAGCCACAAACCACCCAAGGGTGCTGCCCTTAGGAAAGCGCACTGCATGCTCGCACCCATGCTTTACCTTTAGCTATCCCACCCTCCCCAACACTCGCAGCCCAACACACGCTCCCAAACACTCCCCACCCCAACACTCGCTCTCCAAAACGCGCTCCCCAAAACTCGCTCCCCAAAACTCGCTCCCCAACACTCGCTCCCCAACACTCGCTCCCACACACTCGCTCCCCAAAACTTGCTCCCCAACACTCGCTCCCCAACACTCGCTCCCCAACACTCGCTCCCCAACACTCGCTCCCCAAATCTCGCTCCCAAACACTCGCTCTCCAACACTCGCTACCCAAAACTCGCTCCCCTACAGTCGCTCTCCAACACTCGCTCCCCAAAATCCCTCCCCAACACTCGCTCCCCAACACTCCCTGACACTCGCTCCCCAACAACCTCTCCCCCACACTCGCTCCCCAACACTCCCTACCCAACACTCGCTTCCAACACTCTCTCCTTAGCACTCGCTTCCAACACTCTCTCCTTAGCACTCGCACCCCATCACAAGCTCCCCAACACTCCCTCCCCAACACTCGCTCCCCAACACTCGCTCCCCAACACTCGCTTCCCAACACTCGCTCCCACACACTTGCTCCCCAACACTCGCTCCCACACACTTGCTCCCCAACACTCGCTCCCCAACACTCGCTCCCTAACACTCCCTCCCCAAACACTCCCTCCCCAACACTCCCTGACACTCGCTCCGCAACAACCTCTCCTCTAACACTCGCTCCCCAACACTAACTCCCCTACACTTGCTCCCCAACACTCGCTCCCCAAAACTCCCTCCCCAACACTCGCTCCCCAACACTCGCTCCCCAACACTCGCTCCCCAACACTCGCTCCCCAACACTCGCTTTCAACACTCTCTCCCCAGCACTCGCACCCCAACACTCGCTCCCCAAAACTCGCTCCCCAACACTCGCTCCCCAACACTCGCTCCCCAACACTCGTTCCCCAACACTCGCTCCCCAACACTAGCTCCCCAACACTCGCTCCCCAACACTCGCTCCCCAACACTCGCTTCCAACACTCTCTCCCACACACTTGCTCCCCAACACTCGCTCCCACACACTTGCTCCCCAACACTCACTCCCCAAACACTCCCTACCCAACAATCCCTGACACTCGCTACCCAACAACCTCTCCCCCAACACTCGCTCCCCAACACTAACTCCCCAACACTTGCTCCCCAACACTCGCTCCCCAAAACTCCCTCCCCAACACTTGCTCCCCAACACTCGCTTCCCAACACTCGCTTTCAACACTCTCTCCCCAACACTCGCTTCCCATCACTCGCTCCCCAACACTCGCTCCCCTACACTTGCTCCCCAGCACTCGCTCCCCAACACTCCCTCGCAACACTTGCTCCCCAACACTCGCTCCCTCACACTCGCTCCCCAACACTCGCTCCCCAACACTCGCTCTCCAACACCCCCTCCCCAATCCGCGCTCCCCAACACTCTCTCCCCAGCACTCGCTCTCCAACACTCGCTCCCCAACAATCGCTCCCACACACTCGCTCCCCAACACTCCCTCCCCAACACTCGCTGCCCAACACTCGCTACCCAGCACTCGCTCCCCAACAATCGCTCCCACAAATCGCTCCCCAACACTCCCTCCCCAACACTCGCTCCCCAACACTCCCTCGCAACACTTGCTCCCCAACACTCGCTCCCCAACACTTGCTCCCCTACACTTGCTCCCCAGCACTCGCTCCCCAACAATCGCTCCCACACACTCGCTCCCCAACACTCCCTCCCCAACACTCGCTCCCCAACACTCGCTCCCCAGCACTCGCTTTCCAACAATCGCTCCAACACACTCGCTCCCCAACACTCCCTCCCAACACTCGCTCCCCAACACTCCCTGCATGGAAAGAATGAAATGCGAGTAAGCTCAGAGAGAGTCGCGACGGCAGTTCAACGAGCAAACCCATCATGAAGGAAACAGACGGATAACGGAACTTGAACGCGAACGTCGAAACGTACCAAAGAGGTTGACACGGTGAAATCGTTCATTCTGAAAGCGAAATTGTTGATTTGGACGGCGAAATTCTTCTGTTGACGACGAGATTCGTCCGACGATTGAAAAACGTTAAAATCGTCTCTTCTGACGACGAATGTCTTCTTGCTGAAGGCGAAATCGTTGAATCTGACGACGGCTGACGGATAGAACCGCTTCTAATGGTCGAAATCGTTGCTGACGGACAAAATCGCTCAGCTTACGGCCGAAAATTAGAAGATCGAGGAATTTGCAAACAAAGATCGAAATAGCTGCTGACCACCGAAGTTGCTGCTACTCCAAAACTCCGGAAGAAACCGTCCTGAATGCTAAAGGAGAAATTGCTGTTGGCTTGCCGTTGTTTGGTCATATAACTCAGCTAACTGGCGATGTCTTAACATTCATGTGGAAAAGAAACGTCGGAGCTCAATCATGAACTGGCGAACGACTGGAAATGACGCGTCGATCTGCTTTTCCTGAACGCAAACTGCTAGGGAAAACTAGGAATGACTCGGAGCTAGTGAGACGGAATACGGGAGTATGCCTGCAGTAAGGAAGTGGAAAGCAGCTTGGGAAAGGTTGTGGTGTTGGAAATGGCTCCTAGGCATTCCTGGGCTGCAATGTCTCGTGATCTTGGTTGAGTTTGGAAAGAAGTTGGAGCGGTTGAGCTAGGTTGGCACGGGCGATTCAAGGTTCAATTGTGTGGTGGTTCATGGTGAGTTGGTCTGATGCACACTGCAGGTTTCTTTCTCAAACAGACGGTTCAGCCCAACCCAGAGCCATGCCAGTCAACCCTGAGGTTGCTTCAGCGGCGGCAGTGGGAATGGTGGTTTTCTGTTTGCGGCCCAAACCAAGCGCAGCACTTGTTTGGGCGCAAGCGCGTGTTGGATTCGCTGAGTGGCGGAGCGACTCCGCTGCTCATGAAATCTACGGCGAAATCACAAGTTGTTTCGTTGTGAACAGAACACCCCCACTAAGTTAGGGCCATGCTCTTTGGCGAAAGCTTATCGTCGCCACACCTTTCGAGAATGACCGTTTTAGTCGCGGGCTTGCGGAAATGTTCCTAAAAAAATCACTGACACATTGCTGGGATCCGCGGCGTCTGGTCGGTTTACGAAATGCCTCCCCAGAGGCTCAGGATTCTAAACCAGCGCAAGGCTGCGGGAAGTGGAATTTGGGGAAGGGAGCAAGCGAGCGCATGTTGTGGGCACAGTACTCGACACTGCTTTACCTAGTAGCATTCTTTGCACTTTGCGTTTCTCCAAAAGAAATGCACGTATCACATTGACGTGATATAAGTGCATTTGTGGAACAAAAATGTGAGACCCACCAACACTTCAAATTACATGCAGAAACGGAGGCTTGCATAATGCGTTTGGTACATGTTTTAGCTTACGACTAACAACACCCATATTTGACCACACACACTGCATGTCTGCTTATGCGGCTTCAACACAAAAAATGCCTCACTTTCGTCTACTTCGCTGCTCCCTTCCTGGACGTAGCAATCCATGTTGATCTTCAAAATCATCAATATGATCTTCCATGTGTGCTGCAGCTCGCCGTGCATGCAAGCTTTCAAATATACTGTCCAGATCCGGAGCAGTCAATTGTGTCACGCCACCTCCACTCCTTCCGGTTGTATCCACACCCCCTTCATCTTCACTGTGTGGCCGTGGGCTTCCAAGAATGTCCCTCAGCCTGCCCATTGTGCTGCTGGATGAGGCATCACGCAGGCGGGATGTGACTGCCTGAGACCAGCGCGACTCCAGCAGTGTTTGCGACCAACGGCTGCTGCTACTGCTGCCAGGGATGGTCCCACCTGACCCGGCACCTGCTGCTGCTCCTCTTTGGCCCGAGATTGGCGGGGACTCTGTAGGAGACATACCCACTGCATGACTGCTCTCTTGCCGGGTGCCCGATTCTTGCTGCTCTCCTGCACCTGCAGCTGTTGCTGCTGTGGCCTGACCGGCCCAGAAGTACCGCTGTGGGGTTGACACCATTGCTGCAGAGCTTAGACCCAGAGCTGAAGAGAGAAGCAAGGGAGGCGAGAGCGGGCGGGTTGGTGTTGCACTGCCAGCAGGAGCAGCAGCTACAGCAGTGGAAAGGTGGTGTGGAGTGGAGTGAGCAGAGGTGCTAATCGGTGGCAGCCTGGCAGTGACAAGGGGAGAGGCAGCTCGAGAGAGCAAGAGGGGACTGCCAGGGACAGAGGCCTGCCTTGACTTCTCCCGACCCAGGGGTAGCAGATCGCCCGCTGAGCTTGACTTGATGCTCGCCTCCAGCCCCGCCCTGGCTGCCACACCTGCTGCTGGGGACGCAGCACCTGATGAAGCACCTGAAGCACCTCCTGCAGGAGGTCGCTGGGGCTTCCTGGCAGTGCCGCCAGCAGATGACCCAGCAGCAGCAGCACCAGTGGCAATGATGCCAGAGTATTTGAGTGAAGCGGAACTGGCGTCTGCTGCTCTGAGCAAGGATGCCGACTCCGGGTCCTTGGTGCTGGCGCTGTCAGCGGCAGGCTTGCCCCCTGCTGGCCTCACCGCAGAGAGGCGCGAGTCAAGCAGTGGGTCGGCGGAGGAGGAGGAGCTGGGGTCCGTGTGAGGCACCTTCTGATCGTCATGGGCGGTGGGACGTGAGGGAGGTATATAGAGGGTTAAGGGAAACGAGTGCTGACGGAAGAGGAGGGAAGAAACCACAAGGGGGAAGTGTGCGAGAAGTAGATCACAGTGAAAAGGGCCAGATTGAGTGACAGGTAAAAGGGAAAGTAGGAACCGAGGGAAAGAGAGCGAGGCGGGCGGGGAGGTTGAGGGAACTTGAAAAGAACGGAGGGTCCAGGAGCAGGTACATACAGTGGGGGTGGAGTAGTGGCCTGAGAGCAGGGAGGAGGCGGAGGAAGTGGCATGGAGGTCCTTGGAGGAGAAGTGACGCGCCAGTGGCACGACGCTGTCGCCCACAGGCAGCCCGCGCTCTATGGTCGCCCGCTCTGGTGGGGCACAGGGTTCAGGGAGGCCCACGCACGGGCACAGGGGTAGCAATCCAATGACGCCTGGTGCAGCACGGGGTGGCAGGGGACTGGAGGAGGAGGGCTGTGAGAGGGTAGAAAAAGACCACCCATGCCATCCTGTTCAACCGCACTGCTACAGCTTGACTCGCAAGCAGGCCCACTGCTACCCCCAGCCCTTCCCTCACTCCCCCCCCCTCTTGCGCACACCTCTTTGCAGTATCATGTGGCCCTTGACCACCACTCTGCGCCCGTCCACACCCACATCGTCGCCCTCATCGTCATCGTCGAAGCGCAGGCGGCGCCAGGTGCGGCTGTAGAGGCCGCGGCAGTGCGAGAGGAGGTGCGTGACGGAGTCAAAGAGGCGGTGGTGCACGTTGAGCGCGATCAGCAGCGACCATGCCACCATGCACAGCGGGTACACGCGGTCAAACGACTTGGGCAGCACCCCCATGCGCTGGTGTGTGGGTGTGCGGGGCGGATGTGTGGGTGCATGGGTGAGAGGGGGCGTGAGGGAAGTGATTAGTGCAAGAACAAGCATTGGGCAGCACAATAGAAGATGGGTACGTGCGGTGCGGTGAACTAATTTGTGAAGAAGTAGCATGGAGATGAATGAAGAGTAAAGCAGCAGAATGCAGGGCATGAGAGGCTTGAGAGTGCACCTTTTCAAAGACAGTTTCAAGGGGCTCAACGGAGCCGGTGGCATAGTTGTAGTGGCGCAGGTGGATGAGGCTGAGGAAGTTGTAGCACATGGGGGCAGCATATCGCGACACCATGCTGTGACAACACAGATGCGTGGGAGAGTTGTGATACCTCGGAATGAAGTTGGATGATGGGGAGGAAGGATGAGGCAGAGTGGATCAACAGACAAATGCACACAATGGTAGGATGGCTTGACAGGCAGCTTCTGAGACGGATCATTTGCACTCGGGCAGGGCAAGCAAGGAGTTGCACACCCAGAGTGCAACGAGAGACATGGGCAGGAGAACACAAGACTGTGAAGGTGGAGCAGTGGGGCTTACGAGCAGTTGATGAGCAGCGAGACGGAGTCGGTGTGTGCGGGGACGAGGTAGTAGAAGGAGAACATGCCGAGCTTGAAGAGCGAGAAGTAGGTGCACACGCACAGGTACACCAGCGGCACAAACACTATCAGCTGCACCGCCTCCCCGTGCAGCGCGGCGGCACGCACAAGCACAGAGAAGAGCGAGAGGTCAACCCATTTTTGGGAGAGCAGGGTGGCTTCAGCGAAGAGGATGGCGAGGGAGATGAGGCCGAGGAGGAGTGCAAAGGCCCTCACCACGTGGCTGCGAATGGCACAGCGCCACCACCACTCTGTGGGGCGGAGTGGGGCAGAAGGGGGGAGATGTGGGAAGGGGAAAGAGAGATGTTGAGATGCCTGCAAGTGTCGGACATGTAGGTGGATGATGCTGCACAGTGTACCCTCTGCTGTGGTACTCATATTGCGAGGAGGGTAGTGGGGTGGAGTGTGGGGATGGGGAGGAGGGAGGAATGTGCGTGCGCATGCAGCGCTCTATCGGAGAGTACGAGGAGAAGGCAATGCGCAGGGACTTGAGAGAAAAACGGCATGCCGAGGTGCACCACATTTCAGAGTCAACACAGGGTGAACCTGAAACGGTCGGCTGAATCACACGACGCACCGGCAACATCGAGGAGTGGAGCAAAGAAGCCCTTTCTGGGCGCGCGCAGGTAGGAGGTGTAGCGGCCCGTGCCCTGGTAGCAGTTATGCAGCGTCTCCTCCAGCTGCAGCGCCTCCCACACCACCGTGCAGTACTCCCTGCCGTCCATGGGAGCGGTGGGGATTGATGCAATGGGGAGTGTGGGGGTTGAGACCATGGCAGTTGTGAAGGGCGAAGTGATGGGGGGCGAGGGGCCAGCCATGAAGGTGTGGGGAGTGTGGCCATGGGGGGTGAGTCCATAGGGGGTTTGACGGGTGAGGCCATGGGAGGTGTGCGATCGTTCCTCTCACTCAACCTCTCCCATCACCAAGCCCCTGTGCCTCCCACCTTCCACAATCCCATCCCCCTCTGAATCTTCCCCCACCACCATATTCAATCCCTTCCCCAGCACCCCCCCTTCTCTACCCCGACCCCCCCTTTCCTCACGTCTTGCAGCGCGAGTAGTTGTCCTGGGCGTTGCGCAGGCGGCGCCTGAGCGCAGCCATGCTCTTGGCGTCAGCATCGTAGTCCATGTCGTTCTCGCCTATCTGCCCACCCGATGGCTTGAACCCCGCATCCTCACTCGCCTGTGCGTGGTACCACACCAAGGCAAAGGGGCATTCATGCGTGTGGGAAGTGGAAGGTTAGACCAAGGCAGAGACAGAGCGGGAACAGGGCGCTCAAAAGCACAGAATGGAGGATGAAAGCAAGAGGGGACGGGGACGCTAATAGAGGATGTCGGATTTTAAGAGCCTCCTCATTGCATGCCACTGCCAGAAATTCTCGATAGGGTGTTATGCCATCTCATTGAAACATCATGCGAGCGCATTGGGATCACATGATCTCACCATGGCATCGATGATCTCCATCATGGGTCGCAGGGGATCATGACGGGGCATCTGCAGCGACGTGGCCTGTGCAATCTGAGGGGCTTGCAGAGTGAGGTGCGGCACAGGAGGAATGGATAACGGGCAAGCAGAGTAAGACAAAGCAGGCAGGGATGATCCCAAGGGGCTGTGGTGCAAACAGACGGAGAAGCAAGACAGTAGTGCCACGGTGAGTATGCCAGCCGCAACTGACCACAATGGCGGTGCTGAGCTCTTGGTGTGCCTGGTCCAGTTTCTGCGCCGCCCGGGCCACGCGCACCGACAGCCACTTGTGGCGCTCCGCCAGGTCCGCGTGGCTCCAGAGACCCCTTGGGATCTCCACCAGCCCGTACCCCAGCAGCAGCGCGCCCGTTATCAGCGCAAACGCGTTAGATGCCCCTATGGCCAGCGACACTATGTTGTCCCTGAAGGCGGGGGACGGTGTTGGGGTGTGGGTAAGGGGGGAGGAGATGAGGGAAGAGGAGCAAGGGAAGGGTTGCATGGACGGGAAGCAAGAAAAGCAAGACAGGGGAGAGCGGGGAGGGAGTTGGACGTCAAGCGAGAGGAAGAAGTGAGCCCGAACAGCACCACGGATCTCCAACCCCTGGCTCTCGGTCAAAGCTCCTCACCCCACGAAACAAAACTTTCCACGCATGGGTGGCACTGACCAGGCCATCTCCTTGGTGGCGAGCAGGATGATGATGCCGACCACGGCCACAGCACCCACGATGCCAATGAGCATGAGGTTCGTCCTCACACTCGTGCGCAGCCGCTCTCTTGCCGTGAAGTCCCCCGCGTCCTCGTACCCCTGCATGATGGGGATGATCACCCTGGGGTGGTGCAAGGAAGAAAGGCAAAAGTTGAAATCAGACTGTTGGGAATCTCACCACTCTGATACCCATGCACTATGGGGGAATGAGCGGCCCTGCAGGTGGTTGGAGGGCGGGTGCTGAAGAGCAAACGAGAATGGGAGGACTCAACGAAGGAGTGGGACAGGTGAGGAATGGCAGCGACAACAGGCAGCACCAGCAGTCAGCAACCATAGCTAGGGAATTTAGGACGTGGTCCATCATCCGTGGGAGTAGCGAGGCAGTGTGACTAAGAGGTAAAGCATGCAGGCTGACCAAGTGAGGAAGTAAGCACTCCAGTAGGAGAAGCTCCACATGAACTGCACGGAGAGCTTGGAGCCGCACACCGCTGCTGACAGCCCCGACGCCACCCCCGTAGGGCCCGCCTCGCCCTCCAGACATATCGCCTGCACGCACCAACCGTCACCGCATCGCACCACACGTCCGTGAAGCACATCCGCAAAGCACATCCGTGAACCACATACATGCATGCAAGGCACGCATACAGGAGAGTCATGCATTCGAGTAACACATGCATCGAAAGGCATGCAACTATACACCCGTTCAACCATGATACCCATACAGCCATGACACCCATGCAGCCATGACATCCATATCGCCGTGAGACATGACCATAGCACACATCGGTCTGTGGAATCCGCATGCGATCCATGCAGCGTAGCATTTGACGTTTCTGCCACGCATGATGCGCATCTACAGACGCAGTGGACTGCGATAACGAATCAAGCTCCCTGGCTCCAGTCGGGTGCTGCTCGCGGATGCGTGCTTGAAGGATGAAGTTCACGAAATTCGAGTGGTGAAATTACGGAATTCACCTGAGTCGACGTAACAACAGAATGACTATCAGGTACGAGCATGCAAACACTGCTGCTTAATCACCAGTACGAACTCACTGTGTCTACGAGCTCTTACCGCTACAAAAGACGATCGCCAAAACACTCACTACCCCGAACTTCATCCGACGAACACCGCGTCCATATTCTTAAAAGCCGCCGCGACACGCACCGTCCAGACGTCGACAGGGACGAGGATGACGATGGAGACGTTGACGAACCACGTGTACGCGACGATGATCCGCACGTGCTGAAGCACGCGTGGCGAGGCGTAGTATATGAGCGTCCATATCACCATGCCTAGTGTGACCGGCAGCGCGATCGCGTAGAACATCCACATGGTAACTACCTTTTTCAAACTAACGACGCTCAACTCTAGATGCCTGTGAATGCCCTACTTCGTATACCTACTTCTTATGCTGCTCGCCTCAGTTGCTACGTTTTCATACTAGGTGAAGCTTTCATCACTCGACGTACACCATGGTGTACTCGTGTCGCACGGTACAAGTGGATGGTTCTTCAGGGTCGTAAATCCTTAACCTAAACAATGCTACCACGATACCACGCCGGGCCCAAAATATACTGAACAGGAAAAAATAAAGGCCTACAGTACCTACTAATTGCATTCGTCTTGGTGCTTCTATTGTCACTGGACTGGAGTTGCCGTGCTCCTGTCAATCTGCGATTACAGTACCTCCAGCCTCCCCTTCCTGGTCACCAACCTCGTTCGCCAATGCAACCTCGCAAAACCACAGAATTACCAGTTTCGCTCGGATCGCTGTCGCTCCGTATGTGGGGTGTTGGTGCGTTTCGGGAATTCAAGTCGCACAGGGCATGTAGGACGGTTGGGCGACCTGAACGGCGTTCTTGAGGCGACAGCAGTGCAGCCTCGAGGTGCAACATCATTGGTGGGGTCCCAGTTGAGTCAGGGTGGTTTCCAGGAGAAGTTGCGCCGCGTCAGGTCAAATGTGATTGGGCATCACGATTGTCCTAGAGAAAGTGATTGCACCGAAATAGCACACAAGCAAACCAGGATGTTGATTTTATTATGTGAATCTTACATGCTCATCCATTTTTTCTAGACTAAAAATCCGGTTGTTGGTCTGGTTGCATCAACATCGAATTACTTTGTAGAAGCTGTGCTTCCAAATCGGCCTTGTAGCCCTGTAATTTACAAATTGAACATAGTTGATGTTAGAAAGCCACAAATATGCATCTGAATGCTGGTCCAAATTAAATTACCACCGTACCTTCATGTAGCCAATGTACTCGGATGTTGCATTTAGCAATGTGCACAAGTCAGCCTTTTGAGTAAATCCCCTTGTCTTCTGAATGTGGCTGCTTAGGAACTCCCTAGGTATGACTTCTCGCAAATTTGCAAATCCCTGACTGCCATAAGCAACAAACAGATAAACCCAGATGTCAGATTTTCTGCGTGGCATGTATGAAGAACTACATGACAAAACAGGATAACATACCTGACACGAGCTCTCCTGTTCTTTTCAGTAAAACTCTTCTTTGTAATGCCACCGCCTCCAGCCCTCGAATGAACGCAGTGGCTCTGCTTTTGAGACTTCACCGGGCTCAAGGTGCTGCGGCCTGCGGTGTCTGACAGACCACGGAACAATATTCTGTCCCTCCGCATTTCAGGAGCTTCAGGTGGATTTTGTAGAGCCTGACTCAGCTTTCCACCCTGCTGTCTTCCCACTAAGTCACAGGCGGCCAATGCCGCTGCAGTGGCATTTGCTGTGGGGGAGCATGCAGTAGGGTCGGCTGTGGGGGCTGCAGCGCAACCAGCCAGAAACCCAGGTTCCAAACGGTGCCGCTGGGACAACGAAGTGGCTGGCTCAGCCATGGAACAAAGAACCACAGAAGTTGTTGATGGGGAGCCGGCCACTTCGTTTGCTGGCGCAGAAAAGCTTCTACCGTGAAATGACCCAGCTCCCCGCCCCATGGTCCTGGCCTGCGGGCAGTTTCGCCCTTGCGCCTCGCCAACTTGCGTGAAATTGGTGCTTTCATTCAGTCTGCCATTGAAGGGAGCAACAGGCACCAGCACCGGCTCTGCCGACGAAGCTCTGTTCCGTACGTCGGAAGCTCGCAATGACCTTTGATGCCCAGGCTGAGCGGCGGCTGCGGCAGGGAGGTCCAGATCAAGCAGCTCGTTCCCCAATAGGTAGGTTAAGTAGGCGAGTTCCTGATCGTTGCATTCCAAATGCGCCATCTTGGTGCAGCAGTGGAGGAAAGTTTTGGATGAGTTGGAACGAGATAACTCATACAGTGCTTGAAATAAAGTGCTTCTCACTGCGTGGAGCGCTCCAAAAGCCAAAGCCTGAGACACCAGGGATAGGGAAAATGCCTGTGTGGAGAGCCCGCAAATAATATTCACTTCAAGCTTTCCCTGTATGTGGGCGTAGGCAATAGAGAGGCCGAAAGTGAACTCGCCCACGGTCCATGACGGCTGCATATTTGGCTCGTCGTGGTTCTCAAGGGCTACAGCCCTTTGCATGCTTGAACGGCTAGTCGGCCAGATTGTCAACACGCATCGGATGACAAATGCGGCGAGACGATAGTAACTGACAATATCGCCACGAGATCTGGAAAACATTGGAATGCCTGGCGACCGCAGAAACTTGGCAGGTTAGGGGCCTCAGCGAGTCAGGCCACGAAGAAGGTCATAAGAGCGTGTCCATGTGTTCGTCGACACCTCTCAACAAAGCTGAGAATGTCGACGAATGTCAATCGTCCGATCTCAAAAATCAACAATCTGAGGGCTAAAATTCATCGACATCCCTCAACTATTGTCGAGGGATGTCGACGAACACTTTGTAGAAGCTCTAATCGGACCAAACATTCGTAGGTATCATTTATATTCGCCCCCCCCTCCTCCCCCCCCCCCGGCAGGAGTCACCAGAACACCACCAATATGTTGTTAAATTTGTGACAGTCAGGCAGGTCCATCAACTCGAACGACTCGCCGAGCCTGGAATGTTCGCCAAGAGCAACAGGCACGTCACGCTTGCCCAGCTCAGCACCAGCAACGTTGAATAAGCGGCAAAGGCGGCGGCATCTGAAGGGGAGTTATGACACAGTATGGCGGTCCTCCTCATGCCAAGGCTGATTTTATTCAACTGAACTGACTCATTTCAGTCGCATTGGATACCGTATGGTGCAGAAAACACTCTTGGCATTTTTGTGCGGTTCAAAAAGTTTCTGTCCAGCCATCAACTCTGCTGCATGTCATTCACCCTGTGCTGGAAGGAAGGAAGGGATGGATGAGGGCGACAATGTAGATCTGCCACCCCAACACCAGATTGCAGCGCCTGGGCAGCCATTTAGTCCGTCAGATTCTACCAACGAACCAATCGTATCGCCGCATTTGCCACACCTCGACACTGGCAGGTGAATGCTGACATGGTGAAGAACATGAATCTGGAGCGGCAACACATGTTGAATATTGAAAACAATATGCTGCAACAAAGCTTCATTACATATTAGAACTGCATTAACAGCACAATTTGACAAGCCAGTCAACCCTAACCAAAACCTCTTGGAACCATTGCAACGTTGCCTTGCGTGGGTGCATGTAGCGCTCGCAGCTGAACCAATAACTCTCTAAACGCATCACGTGCAATCTTTGCATCTCCTCTCTGCAGGTACGGATGCAACGAAACACAACACAGGGAAACATCAACACAAATTTCAACACAGACAGCAAAGAGAGGACGTCAATGGAATTGTCTGTATGTAAAGAGAAGAGGAAAATAAAACATACCAGCATCAAATTTAGAAAGATTGCTTTCTTGTTATCAAATTGGCATCGTTCTCATTTCAACTGGGAAAAAACTGACAACATTGGGGCTGCACACACCTGGAGCTGGGTACAAAAGTTGGCAGCTAATGTGGGAGGGCAGTTGAGGGAGGGCAGCAGGGAGGAGAGGAGGCCGTCGGAGAGCAGCTGGCCACACGTGTGGTGCAGCGCCAGCAGGGCTAGAGAGATGTCAATCACCAGCAGAGCCTGATATGCACATAGGGGTGGGTTGGGGAGGCAGCAGGAAGCAGCGAGGAGCATGAGGGTGGGGACAAAACAGACGAGCAGAATAAGAGCAGGGAGCGGAACAAGAGTGGGGCGAGAAGAGAGTGGCAGTGGCTCACAGAGTTGGCATCCTGCAGGGAGAAGGACGGCTGCAGGCACGGCAGCAGGCACGCTGTGGGCAGAAACTGCTCCAGCAGAAACGCTCTGAAGCCCGGCGCCTGGAAAGAAGATGCATGGGGGCGGGGGCTTGGGAAGAGACTGAGAAAAGCACATGGGGGAGAAGTGGAGGAAGGGGAAGCAAGCAACAGGTCCGTAACAGTGTAAACCATGGCATCTCTACCCCGGACAAAACCTCGATGCACCGTGCTGACTAGCATACCTCTTTAAGCTGCTTGAACAGGGGACACTACCTTCTCAGGGTCGCAGGAACACCAGTCGGAGGCGAAGCGGATGAAGCAGGCGACTGCCACCTTGCGCAGAGCTACGTCAGCATGCAGGGCGGCGGTGTCGAGCAGGAGAGTGATGATGCGTGGGAGCACTTGCGAGGTGTTGGCAGGGGAGAGGAAGGTGGCGTGCAGGTCCGCCATCGTGATGCCGTGCAGCAGCATCACCACCGCCCTCAACACCTCCCTCTGCTCCCTCACCTCCTGCCATGGCCCGGTGGTGCAGATGGGAACAAGAGGGGGAGTGAACGGATGAGCGCAACGAGGAGATGGGCTTGAGAGGGAAAGTGCCAATGGACAATGATTCTTGCCAAGGAAAGGGCCTCCGAGTGCCCCTGAACAGTACCTTGGCTTGGGAGCAAAGTGAGTCTCCATCCAAGGTTGTTATTTGCTTTGCCAGCAGCGAACGACACTCTCATGCACAAGCACACCCGCATGCACCCTTCCTCCCCCTTCCAAGCATCCCCACTCTCACGCACACACGCACCTCGGGGGTGCCAGAGGCGTGAGAGGCAGTGTTGGGGGGTCCCATAAGCGAGGGGAGCGAGGAGGGGAGCAGGATGGAGAGGCGGGTGAAGAGGGGCGCGAGCAGGGCGTCGACGATGGGCGCCATGTGTGTGCGGTGCTTGGCTGTGAGCAGTGAGATCAGCTGCAGACACTCCACCATGTCCCTCGCCTGCAGGGCCCAGGGTGGAGAGAGAAGGGAAAAGGGGTGTACTGTAGGGTATGGAGCGGTGAAGACTTTGAGACGGCAGAGGGGCACATGTGGAGATGATGGGATGGGAGCAAGGTGGATACACCAAACAAGCAAGCAAGCACTTGGCGTATGTTTTGCAAGCACAGGTGTACCTCACAGTTGGCGAGGAGGAGTGGCAGTGCTTGTGGCAGGAAGGGGATGATGTGCGGCCCCAGGCAGTCCGCCATGCGGTGCAGAAACGATGTCACCTGCCGGGGGGTGGGGGGTGGGGGCGGAGGGGCGGGTGGAGGCGAATGGGAATAGATCCGTTGAAGCAAGGAGATTGGAAGGCGAGTGATGGATGGATGGATGGGCAACATGGTTTGGTTTGATGTGATGTGCTCTGCACGTATGAAAGCACTCATGGCGGCCTGGACGCCTGGCCGCAACATGCACGCAGCCCTGCTCCATGCACCTCCTGTCCTAGCCCTGCCTGCCCTGGCTCTGCCTGCCCTGGCTCTGCCTGACCTGGCTCTCCACGTTCCCTGTGAGGGTGATGGGATGGACGTACCTTGGAGCGGGTGGGGCGGCTGCGGGGCAGGGCGTGCAGCACGCGCAGCACACACTCCACTGCGCCCTTGAACAGCCGCGCCAGCTCTGGCCGCGTGGTGGTTACCATGTGCGCCGCGAAGCCCTTGGACAGGTAACTCATGGCCATGATCACCTGCTGCAGCGCTGCCACCATGCCTGCTGCTGCCTCCGCTCCCCCCCCTGCTGCTTCTGCCGCCTGTGCTTCTTGTGCCAACGCATCTGCCTGGAAGGAACGGGCAGCAGGTGAAGGCAGAAATGAGCAGGTGTGAAGATAAGTGACACGCAGGGGTCAAAGGCGAGAGACGGGCGTGACGCATAACCAGGCAGCAACGGAACGAGGCACTTCTCCTCTAGATGCGCAGTCGTGCTGCCAGTCCGTCCGTTGGAGGAGCCGCGCCTCCCTGTTTGCCTGCATCAACCCAAACCCGAAATTCCCGTGGAGGCATGCCCACTCACCCGTGCGATAAGTGGTGTGAGCAGCGCCGATAAGCACGCTGCCTGCTGCTGAGCTGGCACCTCCTCCTGCGCCAACAGCAGCCCCACTGCCTGTGAGAGCGTGAGCGGGGAAGAGGGAGCAGTGCAGGAACGAGAGAGGTAAAGATTCAGTGACTGGCTGCAGTGCTGCTGGAAGGGCTATAGGTTGAGCTGCTGATGAGTGGTTGGCATGAAAGTGATAGCACGTGCAACAGCACAGCACACCCTCCCGCACAGCGTGCTCACCTCGTACGCATATATGCGGTCGTCAAAGGCGCCTTCTCCCCGCCCAAACGGCCCCCCTGCTCTGCCCTGCCCTCCCGCCGCCTTGCCTGCTGCTGCTGCTGGTGCGGAGGTGATGGCCTCTAACATGCGCTGCAGCCCCTGGCAGCACCAAGAGTGGGGGCGGGGGGTTGGAGAGGGGGGATAGGGGAGGGGGTGTGGTGGAGGAGAGGCGTGAGATGAGGTCATGCGGGCAACAAACATGCAGGCATGGCACGGGAAACGTGCATCACACTTTCCAGAGGAAAGAAATGAGCATTCCAATGGCACCGCCTGCTGAGCATCCCCATTACAACCCCTCCCCTCTCCATGCCACACCATCAGCCCCCCACACATGCGAGCATACACCACCACACCGTGCCACACCACGCCATACCATGAGGATGGAGTCGAGCAGTGGCAGCAGCTGCTGTCTGAGCACCTTCACCACGCGCATCAGCAGGTAAGCCGCCCGCCCCGCCACCGCACTGTTACCGTGCCCCACGCCCCACGGGCCCAGGAACGCATCAAGCGCAGCAGGGATGTAGTGCGGGTGCTGCTGCACGAACCGCACATACCGCACGATCACCTCTAACCACGCCACCGCCACCAGCCGGTGCCCCCTGTACCTCAACCCCCCTCCCGCTGCCCCTGCTCCCGCCCCACCTGCTCCCTGCTGCTGGGAGGCCGCGGAGGAGGCAGAGGAGGGGGAGGAGGAGAGGAGAAGCGCGGTCATCTCCCCCAGCGCGCCGCTGCCGGGCTTGAGCGCCTCCTCTGTGACGCCCTCGCCTAGCTGATAGAACAGCTGCACTGCCGCCTCCGTCTCTGCAAACGTCGCGTGCGGCCCGCGTGCGAGCGCTGCCGCTAGGGTTTCGTGCACGAAGGCGCGGACGACGGCAGGGTTGACCTTGGCGGCGGAGCGCAGCAGCACGAAGAGGTCCTTGCGCTGCTCGCCCACCCGCTCCTCCTCCTCCTCGCCCTCCTTGGTTGGTAGGTCTAGCGCCTCACAACTGCTCTCAGGGTACCGCATGCGCTCCCCTACTACCAGCAGCACCTGCCGCAGCTGCTGCTCCTGCCGCTCTCTCACTGCTGCCGCCGCCGCGTCTGCTGCTCCGGCGGCTGCTGCGGTGGCGGTGAGCGCGGCGGCGCCTCGGCTGCTGGCGCCACCGACGCGGCGCATGTCAGCGACGAAGAAGAGGAGGAACTGGAAGCAGTTGGCCGACACGTCCTCGTCGGGGTGCCTCTGCGCCAGGAAGAATATGGCGGGTAGAATGGCATCCAGCATGCCCTGCGCCGCCGCCGTCGCCGCCACTGCTACTGATTCCGACGCCTCCCCGCCTCCCCCTTCCCCCGATCCCGCGCCCTTCCCGTCTTCCATCCCAAACCCCTGCGGAACCCCCTCCGCGCGTCCGCCTGCGCCGCCCCCGCCCCCCCCCGCCTCGAGTTTCTTGATGCACTCCATGATTTCGGTGGCGGCGCCCGTGAGCAGCTCCGCCAGGCGCAGCGTGAGCCCCTCGTCCGCGCGCGCGATCTCCTCCACCACGCGCACGCCCGCCACCTGCGCGATCTGCACGCGCTGCAGCAGCGCCACCTTGCTTACCGCGTCCATGCGCTTGTTCACTATAGCGAGGATGCACCCGCACGCCGCGGATCGCAGGCGCACGTCGCTGGTATGCGCGGCTAGCAGGCCGAAAAGGAGGGGCAGCCAGCGCGAGTCCGCGACGAGCCCAATGTCTATCCACGCCACGTACGGCTGTAGCGTTTCCAGCAGCGCCGCTACAGATGCCGCTGCGTCGTCCCTGCTAACCGGACTCCCCCTCCCGTCCCGCAACACCACCTCTCCCCCTTCCCCGCCCACGCAATTACTTCCCGGCATCCCGCCCAGCTGCGCCCCCGCACCCGCTGCTCCCCCCGCCCCCAGCGCCGCTAGCAGCGCGACGGCGGCGCAGTACCAGGCCTGCACGAGCGGCGCGATACAGCCCTCGCGCATGCCGTCCTTGACGCGCATGGCGGCAGCGGACTCCTCCGCAGTGCGCGCGTACTCAATGCTCAGCACCTCCTGGTCCAGTGCCGCCAGCACGCGGCACGCCATGTCCAGACTCACTAGACTCCAAGTGCCCGCGCCGTCTCCGCCACCCGCTTGCGCCATGCCGCCGGTGGTGCCAGCGGCGGCGGAGGTTTGGGGGTTGGCCGCTGCGCCGACCGCCATGAGCGCGGAGACGATGGGGTCGAATGCGGTGTGCCACGGTGTGGGGTAGTGGAGGCGGATGAGCAGCACGATGACCTGCGCCACCTTGTTGCGGATGAACGCCGGCCATGACGCGCACAGCGGCACCCCCGCGCCCGCTGCCCCCCCCGCCTGCGCATCACCTGCCCCTGGCATCAGCCCTGATCCCACGGGACACCTGAAGGCTACCGCCATTAGGGTTTCGCGGAGCTCCGCCAGCGCCTCGGGCGGAAGAAACTCACCCTCTGCCCCTGCGCCAGCGCCGCCGTCGCCAGGCGCGGAAGATGCTCCCCCCACGGGCTGAGGCTGGCCGTCCGCGCGCAGTCGCTGGCGCAGCAGGAGCTCTTCGAGCGCCTGCAGGCACCAGAACTGCACCTCGGGGTAGCGCGACGAGATGAGCCGCTCCAAGCACACGCGCCATAGCTGCGGGGAGCGCCGCGCCTCCGCGCAGAACGCGTGCGCGCGTGCGCGGAGCGAGACGTCAACGGCTCCTGATTGATCAAAGCTGAAGAGAATGGCCCGCTCGAGATCATCCATGCCCACTTGGTGGTAACCCGATCGTGTCTACCTGGTATGGTGCTCCCTGTGCCTCTGCTGCCGTTTACTGTTTGCTGCCTTTTCCCCCGTCTGCACGCTTCACTTCCCCTCCCTCCCTCCCTCCCCCACTGTCGCTGCTGCACCCCTCTGGCCCTGGTTCCAGCCAAGGGACGACAGAGTGAGCTACCCCATACGAGGCGCTGTGGAGAAAACCCAGAGGAAGAGTGGAAAGCAAATGTCACAAGAGACCTATCGGCGACATCTGCGAAGGCAAAACCCCTGCGGAGGTACGGAACGTTTTGAGAAGGTTTTGCGACCTGATGTGGTGGACAAGGGCAATCGGGGAGGAGATGACAGAAGGAAATTGTTGCGCGAAACTGTCAGCAGATCTGCTATCACGGGGTAGTAGACCTTGGATCTGCTCCCCTGTGCGTCACTGCTCGTCCACTTCTGCGTGCACAAGGACCGGGTGTGGTCGGGTCCGGGTCGCGATCCAGTTTCAGCAGCGAGTATCAGTTATTGAACCACCCTGAATACTGATCGAATGCTGTAACACCTTTCGTTGAATCTATCCTGTGAGTCGACTGGACACGATTTTCCAACAGAAACAGCCACCTCGCCCTGATCGTTTCTTGTCCAATTCTGACCACGTCACGGGCAGACCATATGTGTAAGACAACTCGAGAAGATGCTTCACAGAGTGGAAGAAGAAGGCTGATTTAGTCTTTCGCTCCTAAATATGGGACCCGGGCTGCACAGACTTGAGTCAGGTGTTGCTGACTTGAGAATGATCAGGCAGAATTCGAGAACCCTGGGAGTTACATGGTCAGGCTGGGTCCAAGAATTACGACTTGAACCTGCTGCCACCATCCCTGACAGAGGAGATAGGCGGGGAACTCGCGTTGGTCGACAGAAGAATCAGCCCAGTGAAATATTTCGCAAATTGTTCGCGAACGGCGACAATGGTGCAGCACAGAAATCTATGCGAGTGGCGAGCCTCGCGAATGTGGATACAGTCGCACATATCCAATGTTCGATGAAAGCTGACTCGAATATAACTAAGAGCTATACAGACCACGAGGATTCGACATTTCATCCATAAAAGGTGGAAGTTTTGTGAACCATTTACGTCACGGAAGCTAAACACGAATAACTTAGAATATAGATGGTGTAGGACTCATTGTTCTGCATTGGTCGACTTCAACGCCTTCAGCAGATATCGCGTACGGATGTACGACGCTGGATCAACCAGACACTGCAGCTGCGAAATACTGATGCGATAGGCACCAGCTTTGCTGGCGGTCGCATGCCATCCCTCCGAGACAGCGATTCGGCGCGTGTCGCGAGGTTGTGATCCAAAGGTGACCAACCGTGCCTGTGGATTGTGCCGAGGGGAGATCGCCGCCACCAACAAAAGATGGATTATCGCTGTGCGAACAATTCGCAGAAGTTCCGTCTGTCGCCGAGGAATTAGCTGGCAAGGCGGATTTGCAGCATATTCCCCAACCAAGTTTGGTGCTAGCGGGCTGGCTTTCCGCTGCTGGAGACCTCGAGAGTCGAGATGTACATCACTCTCATTTGGGTAAAAGTCAGTGCCACTTTCTTGCCTCGGGAACTCCACCTCCCTTGGCTGCTGCTCATGTTCATAAAGTCAGTGGTCCGGCTCCAGTAATTTGCTTAGTGGCTGTTTGATCGTGAGAGGTGCAGGAGGTGTGGCGAGACGCCAAATGAGATAGACATCAGTAGCTTTTAGTGGCGACGGTATCGCGCTTCTAAGCTGGTGCGGCTGTATCCAATCAGTGACTTTTTAATCAGCTGCGTCTTGTTATTAGTCGTTGATCCGTGATCATTTCATCATAACCTGACTTCTCCAGTAACAGCTATGATGTTATTATGATTTCTTTGACAAGTCCTGTAGTGTAGAGAATGTCCTAACTCTGGGCTCTTTGTCAATCAGCGGCGGTAGCTCTCTGGAAATGGGTGATTGCACGGTTCCGCTAGCGAGGGGTTGCATGAAGGACGAATGTAATACCCGGGGTAATCTGGCCGTAGCTGCACAAACGAGTGTATCGGCGCCTGAACAAGCCGGGGAGGGCTGGCCGCTGCTGCAGTCAGAGTCGTACAAGCGCGCGTGCCGGGTCGAGTTGGCTGACAGCCGTGCGATTGCTCTTCAGGATAATCATGCTACTAGGTCAACGGACTCCGTTGAGATTACAATCGACGGTCCAGAGAGCAGCATCAGCGAGACGACATATGGCAAGGAGAGCAGCAGCAGCACTGGGTGGGGCATGGGCTTTATTGCAGGAGATGCCAGCACTACCACCACTACGGGCAACACGAGGGCTGAATGTGACGACAACGAGGTAAACAGTCCTCTTCCACCTGGTCCGTCGCAGCGCGATAGAGTTGCTATTCAGGTGCGTGATGGCGAAACGAAGGCTTCGTTATCAACCGCCTCGTTTCCCGTCGTCGAGCACCCTGTTTCAAGTCCTAGTGGTCTGCCGGTCACACTACCACCCTCAGCGGCTGACGTCATCCTGGACGAGTCGTCGCCGTCGCTACGCGACATCGATCGCCATCCACTGTCGCCCCCTCCGTGCAGCGCTTGCACGTGCATCGGAGGATTTTCCAGGGGAAATGTTACAGGAGTCGCCGGTAGCAGCCAGGAATGTGAAACCCCGGCGGAAGATGAACGGCTGGAAAGCGCAGGCAATCCATTGTTCGAAACGGAAACGGCTTTAGCGGGGGAGTCGAGTCCTGGAGCGGGCACGGCGGAGGGTGGCCACGGTCTAATGCGCGCGTGCGGACTGATAAGGGGAGGCGTGGGTTCCACTCAGCAGGGCAATTCCGCGTCTCAAGGCCCGAGGGGGAGAGGCGGTAGGAGTAGGCGGAGGGCAGATGTGGCAAGAGAAGCAGAGGAGAGTGTGATGGAAGGTGAAAGCGGCGAAGCGGAAGCGGAAGGTCCCGAAAGCCGTCGTCCACTGTCCGTGGTGATTCACGGTCCCGGCGCGTCGTTCTTTGTGGGCACGGAGCTAATCGCCGCTGGCGGGCGCGCGCGCGCAGAGGGTGCGAGGGGAAGCGCGGGGGCACAGGGCGACCGCGGGGCTCCTGGGGGATCAAGGCGGGGAGCTGAGAGCGCGCAGGTGGATGGTGCAGACAGCGGAGACGATATTCACAGTATCGGGTATGGCGATAGCGAGTACGACAGCAGTGAATTGGATCAGGAGGAAGAGGGGGCGAGGAGGAGGAGAGGGAGGAGGAGAATAGAGGTGTTGATGGATCGGTGCAGAGGCGGGGTGGATGCAGTGGTGAGGTGGGGACGCCGCAGGCGACAGCACCTGCGAGGGACCAGAGGGTTGCCTCGTGGTGGCGCGGGCACGTCAGCAGCAAGGAGTGGGGATACTTCTGAGTCTGGCGATGCTGATGGCCACAGTGACTATGACGAACGTGATTTAGAGGATAGAGAAAGGTGCTGGGCGCCTTATGACGAGTATGACGAAAACGAGGGGTATTGCATGGAATGCCAGAGGGGCGGTGATGGGGAGCGAGGAGAGGCGGGGGAGCAGGAGCACGACAGACAGCACGGGTGCGGAAATGGGAGTGTGGGGGGGGATGGGGAAAGGGATGAGCAGGAAGACGGGGGGGAGAGCGACAGCAGCACTGTGAGCTGCAGCAGCGGGTACAGCCAGAGCAGTGCGGGGGAGAGCAAGGCGAGTGCAGACAACGAGGGCGATGGTGCAGAGGCAGCGCTGCTGGACTTCCAATTCGGTAAGCCTGCTCTGACCTCTGAGGGCCGTGCTGCCGTCTCACCACCTGCTTCCAAACAACTATCGTCAACTCTCTAGGTGTGCTGTCCGTCCCTCACACCCTTTGCTTGCTGCTCCCGCATCCCGCCTCTTATAGCCCGCCTTTGTGCCCTCCTTCCCTCCTCCTCCTCCTCCTCATCACCCCCCCCCCCTCCATTCCCTGCGTCAGCGCCGCTGAGGGAGGCATCAGGGCAGGCGGAGGGCGAGATGTGGGTGGAGGCGGTGCACGTGGTGCTGCCCCCTCCGCCCGCGAGTGCGCGGGGCGGGTGGGAGGGGGTGGACGTGGCGGGCATGGAGGCGATATTCGACCCGCGCTGTGTGAAGTGGTTCCAGCGCGTGAAGCGCCTGTTCATCGCGCTGCTGCTGCTCGGCTCCATCTTCTACATCGTCTCCTTCATCGGTCCGTGCCTTGCCCCCGCCTTGCTTGCCCCCCTGCCTCACCACCTCGCTTGCTTTCAAGCGTTGCCTGCTGGAGAGTGGAGACCCTGCCATGCATGTCGTTCTTTGTTCACCACTTGCAACTGGCTTCGTCTAATAATAATAATGATAGAAAAGTATTGCGCCACATTTCCCTGCCTGTGTGACGCAATGCATACTCAACAGCACTGCTGCTGTTCCATGCCATGCGTTGCCCTCGGCAGTTGCGCCAGTGTTTGCAGCTGCCTTGCTGGCAGCAAACTGTTGAGGTAGGATGGAACAAGCATATCGTACCATGGCGCACAAGCCACCACCCCTCATCCGCCTGCGCACCTCCCTGCACCCTCCTTCATGTACCCCGTGTCAACGGCAGCGGGCGTGATGGCGAACCGGGGCAAGAGTGTGGAGGTGGTGCCGGTGGACGCGGGTGTGGCGGGGCAGGGGCAGGCGGCTGCGCAGGGGAGCACGGGGCTGGACACCAACTTTGACTATGTGTCGCACGCCATGCTCACCTCCTCCAACATCTGGGTCGCCATGGCCTACCTGTCAGTCACACTTCTCTTCCTCTTCCCCTCCCCCCCCCCCTCCCCCCCCCACCTTCTTTCTCTTATCACCACCTCGTTCTGCGTACTTGATTCACTACCTGATCCCCCACTCCAGCTGTGTGTCTCATTTTGCTGCATGATCCCATCCATCCAACCACAACATATCTTCACCTTCCTCTCTCCCGTTCGTTTTCCCCCCTCGATTCCCTCCCGCCTCCGCTTCCTCTCCCACCCGTCCCCTGCTCGTCGCCCACAGCGTGCTGTACCTCTCACTGGACATGATTGGCTTCGCAGGAGCCATCCTCGAGAACGTGGTGAGCGCAGTGCACCACTCATCCAGTCCGCGCCCTCTACCATTTGCGTGATTCACACGCTACGCTCTACCCCTGCCCTAGTTCTGCCTGCCCAACCCCGCGCACCGCCTCTTGTGCACCCCTGCCAATGCGATGCCAACAACATGACCTCCATTTCCCACACGCATTTCCTTCCCTCCCTCCCCCATTCCCCTCTCCCCCCTCCCTGCCTCGCAGAGTCTTTTGACGCTGTACATAGTGGTGGAGCTGATCATCACCTTCATCTCGGCCCTTGAGGCGCTGCGCCCCTTCCTGCTCTTCCGCCTGCTCGTCATCCTGCTCGCCCTGCGCCTGCGCTACTGCGCCCTCAAGGTGCGTGCACTGCCCCTCGCTCACGCTCACGGTCAGCCCTCCTCTGACCTCCAACAGCCCAGCGCTGCTCATCTGCCTGCCTGCTCATCCCCATCCCTGTACCCTCCGTTCACTTCTCTTGCCCTCCGCCCTCCTCGCCCCTCCCTTACTCCCCAGCCCCTCCACCAATCCTCTCGTCCATGCGTCGCCCCGTCAACTGGCAACTGGTTGTGCTCTGTGCCCCCCTGCGCGCCACCAGGTGGAGGATGCGGAGAGGCGTCTCTTTTCGCGCCTCATGGGCCGCCCCATGCCTCCCCCCAACCGACGCACCTGGCTCGCTGTAAGCCCTACGCTCCACTCCATCTGCTCCCCCCGTTTCCTAACCCTGCTCCCATTCCCCTCTCTTCTACCCACAATTTCTTATTCGCCCCCTCTCTTCCCCCCACACTTCCTTATCCCCCCCTCACATGCATGTGTGCGCACTGGGAACATCTCTCCCTCCCTGACCCCCTCTGTGTTCCCGCGGTGCCCCTCGCCGGTTCTCCCTGCCCTCCTCTCCCTCCATCCCCAGCGTCTGGGCATATTCCCGGGCACGCTGTCAGCCATGTTCCGCCACGCCCCTTTGAGCCGCTTCCAGCTGCGCGGGCGGCCGTGGTACGCGGAGCTCGTGCGCCTGCACGCCCTGCGCCTGCAGCACCTGCAGCAGCAGCAGCGCCTCGCACAGGAGCGGGCTCAGCGGCAGCAGCTGCTGAGGGAGGTGCAGCGCGAGCGACGGCGGCGGCAAGAGGTGCGCTCGCAGCGACGGCTGCAGCGGCAGCAGCGGCAGGAGTGGCAGGAGCAGGCAGCAGAGCAGAGGCAGCAGAATGGGCAGGTGGATGCGAGAGGTGGTGGTGTGGAGGAGTGCGTGGAGAGGGCAGGGGCTGTGGTGGTTCAGGAGGGGAGGCAGCAGCAGCAGGTGGCGGTGGTAGTGGAGAGTGGTGGTAGTGGACTGCAGGTAGGTGGGAATCAGGGAGATAGAGATGTTCTCCTGCACCACCACCATCACCCCCACCACCACCATCCCCACCACCACCCTCACCAGCACCACCATCACGTCCACCATCACCATTGCCATGAGCATGAGAAGCAGGAGCACGAGCATGGTCAGCAGCTGCAGCAGCAGCAGCAGCAGCAGCAGCAGCAGCAGCAGCAGCACTGCCACCACCACCACACGCAGCAGCCGTACAGCCTGCCCTCCTCCTCCCAACCTAATAGTGAGCAGCCGCCGCCGCAGCCGCAGCAGCAGCAGCAGCTTCAGAGGGGGGAGGCAGCAGGGGTTGGTGTAGGTATCGATGTGAACGGGCAGAAGCAGGACTGTGAGTCACAAGAGGTGGTGCAGCAGCGGCAGGAGGAGGAGGATGCAGCAGTGGCAACGAAGGGTTCACCCAGCCAGCCAGCTGTTGACAGCACTTGCACTCCCTGCCTGCATCTTGCTGCTTGCAGTGCTCCTGTGCTGCTACTGCCAACTGCAGCAGCAGGCACTGGTGCAGGTGCAGGAGCAGCAGGAGCAGCAGCAGCAGGAGCAGCAGCAGGAGCAGGAGCAGGAGCAGGAGCAGGAGCAGGAGCAGGAGCAGGGGAGGCGGTGGAAGCAGGCGAGACTCCCCTGGGCAGCCCAGGCGCGTCCGACCACTTGAGCATCGACATCACTGACACGCCTCTCAGTGCTCCCACCGCGGCTCAGCCAGAGCGAGCAGCAGAAGCAGCGGAGGAGGAAGGGGAGAGTGACGCTGCCCTGGCAGCACAGCTGCTGCTGCCGCCCCCATTCCCCCTTGTGCCGCATCTCCCCGTCCCCCGCACACCCTCCTCCCTCCCCCCCTCTCGCTCCGTCTCCCTCACCCATCAACAGCAATCCGCAGATGCAGACCTGCCTGTCTCTCCCTCTGCCGCGCTCCCTCCTGCTACCTCCTTCACCCTCCTCTCCTCACCCCTTCCATCTCTCCCCTCCGCTTCCACTTAACGTGCCCTATTTATCCCCCCCGTCCTCTAGGCGCTTCCCCTTGCCTCAACTGATGTGTGGCATGCAGTGTGACAATGACAGATGACCACTGTGCTGGGTGATGAAGGCTCTCATCATCATCGCAACAGGCTTGTGCAGCCCTTCCAATGTGGTACCACCAGCCCATATTGTACCCTCGTACATGCAGCCTACTGCTGCTGACTAGTCTTGTTGACTGCTATGCAATTGACATATGGTCAAACGAGTTTGACTAATTGCTTTGTCTTGTTCATTGTGCCTTCACCAATATCGTGTCTGACACTTTACATTCTCATATGTGTTATCTAAATGCCTTGGGTCGACGAGCAATAATAGGGAAACGTACAGTATCACTGCATGCAGGGCGCAGTGGTCCCGTGTTCTCTACCCAACACAAGCGCGCCTGCCTGCTCGAGGATGTGCCAGTGTGCCATAAGGGTGGTCAGGACAGCGTTTGGCAGCAGGGCAGGTAGCAGGGGTGGTGTGAGGCGTGAGGAGAGGAGTCAGGAGAGGCAGGGCGGGCGGGGTGGCAGCACCTTGCCCGGGTTGAGGATGCCGTGGGGGTCCAGCGCGTCCTTCACTGCCTGCATCGCTGCCACCGCCCCCAAGCCCACTTCTTTCTCCAGGTACTGTGTCTTGCCCACGCCCACCCCGTGCTCCCCTGTGCACGTGCCTGTTAGCAGTGAGGGCATGGGTGTGGGATGGGTAGGGCCGTGAGGAGGGGGGGGGGGGGGGGGGGTGTGTGCGGTTGGGGTAATAAGGGCGGGGTGTGATAAGTGACGCAGAGACACGATGCTGTGAGTGGTACTGGCACATTTCGGAATGATAGGCGAGGCAGAGCGAGACACTCGGGGACAGGCTTGCTGTTCGCCTCCACTCACAGCCACGCCTTGCCACCCCACACCATGCGCTGGTTCGCTGCGCTGCTGCTACCCCTCTGCCCATACCACCAGGCCCTCTCCTCCTCCTCCCCATCATACGCACCGTCCATGGCGAGTGCCCTGAGAGTGATGGCAGCAGAGAGCGCCTTGGCCTCAGCGGTCTCCTCGGGGCTGGAGGGGTCGAAGAAGATGCACACGTGGAAGTTGCCGTCGCCCGCGTGCGCCAGCATGGGGCACGGCAGGGCGGAGCGCTGCACGTCGGCCTTTGTGGCGTCCATGCACTCTGCCAGGCGCGACAAGGGCACACACACGTCCTGCTCGCACACACACAAGGGGGGCAACGGAAGAGGGGAGAAAAGTGAAACAGGGGGGTTATTAGGAAGGAGGAGTGGGAAGGGAAGCGACAATGAGGAGGGAGGGGGGATAGCAGCATGGGTACATCACATGCTTCGTTGCAGAGGATGTGGCAGGGATGACAGTAACACCACACTAATGGCTCATGGGGTGCTGTCACTCGTTGGCTCGCACAAGCACACAGACCACAGCAGGCACGCACAGTGATGAGTGGTTCGGTGCCGGGGCGCAGGGAGTAGGCGGCCCACAGCGCCTCCTTCCTGGCGCGCCACAGCTCGCGCTTCTCCTCCTCGCCCTCCGCGAATCGCATCTCCTCTGCCCCTTGCCGCTCTGCCACCGCCCTCACCGCCGCCAGCTGCTGCTCCAGGTGCTGCGGGGTGTCGGCTGTGACCTCCACCATGAGCGTGGGGCGGTGGGGGTACGAGTAACCATTGGCGCTGTTGAAGGCGCCCACCATCACCTCGTCCAGCATCTCTAAGCGTGATGCCTGGGGTGGAGGGGTGAGCGGTGAGCAGCAGATGTAGGACGGAGCGGGACGGAAGGTTGCAACGTGGTGAGAGATGGTGGGGAAGCAGCAAGCTTGCGACCACCCCACTACGCACCTCCCCACTGCAATGTTCCCTCATCCTAATGGCCTCCTCCCTCAAACAGCCCCTTCGTCCCTCGCATCATCACCCCCTCCCTTCCCTCATCCCGCTTTCTCCCTCACCTTGTCCCCTGCTGCCCCACCTTCTCCCCTCCTCCCCCACATTGTCCCCTGCTGCCCCACCTTCTCCCCTCCTCCCCCACCTTGTCCCCTGCTGCCCCACCTTCTCCCCTCCTCCCCCACCTTGTCCCCTGCTGCCCCACCTGCACGCCGCTGTGAACGGTGGCGATGGCGGCGTCAGCAGCAGCGCGGATGGAGGGGAAGGGGCACATGGCCACGGCGGAGAGCGGTGGGATGCGGTGCAGGCGCACGGTGAGCTCCGTGATGACCCCCAGCGTGCCCTCGGATCCCACCAGCAGCCGCGTCAGGTCGTACCCCGCTGCACTCTTGCGCGTCCGCGCTGCTGTTCGCACTACCTCGCCGTTCGCCAGCACTGCCTGTTGGAAGGGGGGAGGGTGAGCGTGGGGAAGGGAAGAAGCGGGGAGCGAGGTGTGGTGGCGGTGGTGGGTAGAGGCGGTGGTGGGTAGAGGCGGTGGGAGCAGTGGAAGTGGAAGTGGGGCAACCGCGCAAGGCAGGGCAGAGTGGTGGTGACGGCAGAGCAAAGTCACATTGTATGAGGTGAGAGATGAGAGAGCTATCAGGCGCAGTGCGAGAGGCCTCTCTTCACCTGCAGCGCAATGACGTTGTCCCGCATGGTGCCATACCGCACGGCCAGTGACCCACTGCAGCGCGTGGCAGCCATGCCGCCCAGCGTGGCACCGGGGCCAGGGTCGAGCGGGAAGAAGAGGCCCAGTGGGGCGAGGCGCGCGTTGAGGTCGCCCCACGTGATGCCCGGCTGCACCACCGCGTCCATGTCCCCCTCGTGCACCGCTAGCACTTGCTGGGGGGAAGGGGGTGAGACACGGCGTGGCAGCAGGCACAAGGGGTGAGTGGGATGGTGGTGGGCGCATATTGGGCGCCTCAAAAGTGTGGACCGGCAATGGCGTGGCGATGGCATGAAAGGTGGTTGGGTTCTTGGCGTGATGCAGTGAGGCAATGGGGATGCCACGTGAGCACTCACATTCATGCGAGTCATGTTGATGCTCACGTTCATGCGAGTCATGTTGATGCTCACGTTCATGCGAGTCATGTTGATGCTCACGTTCATGCGAGTCATGTTGATGCTGACCCCCCCCATGGGCGTGGTGGTGTGCCCCTCCAGCGACGTGCCTCCGCCATACGCCACCACCGGCACGCCATGCTGCGCACACACCCTCACCACCGCTGCCACCTGCTCCGTGCTCCTGATGCCATGCCATGCCATGCCATGCCATGCAATGCCATTGCACATGCCATTCCAAATGCCAGGAGGATTTAAGGAAGTGAGGGCGTGCAGGGCATGAGGGGGGGCGTGAAGGGGGCAAGCGGGGCAGCGGGGCAGCGGGGCATGGAAGAATCACCTGGGGAAGACAACAGCGGCGGGCAGGGCGCTGACTTGGTGGTAGCTGTTCCACGGCTTGGCGTGGCTCTGCCTCTCCTCCTCGCCCTCCTCCACACCCTCCTCCCCCACTGCCGCCATCAGCCCCGCGCGCAACTCCGCGCTCAGCGCGCTCACCACCGCCCCCCGCCCTGCCACCCCCTCCCCCTTAGCCAGCCCCGTCTCCGCTTCCTCCCCTCTCTCCGCGGGCACCGCCTCCTGCTCTTCCCCCTCCTCGTTTCCGCCCTTCCCCCTCTCTGCAGCCTCGCATTCCGTGAGCGCCGGTGATCCCTCCCCCGCCATTACCGCGGCGGCCATAGCCGCCGCAGCGGCGGAAAGCACTGCGCCAGCATGCGTCAGGGGGGAATTCCCCCCGGCTGTGCCCCTGAGTGCGGGAAACGCGCTGATGCGGAAGGAATGCGCGGGAGTAGCAGCCAAGGGGGCGGGAAGCGGCGGCGCGGAGAGGTCAATTAGCGCAGGCGTGCGCGCACTGCCTGGGGGGATGTCGCTGCGCGCATTTGCGACTGCTGTGACGAATCGGCGTGCGACGGCGAGTGTGCTGCGATGATGCGCGCGAGGCATGCTGGCGATCGGCGCGAAGAAGACGGAGAGCGAGCGAGGAGAATTAATAAACGCGGCCAGGTCACCGCGGGGAGAGGCGGGTGGCGGAATTCATCCGCGGAAAGGGCGGCGCGCGCAACTGACGGTCGCTGCGCGCGTTGCTGCAGGTTGCGCACACGCGGATGGATGAGATTGGAATGTGGGGGTTGCGGCTGGAGGGGACGAGGGAAGGAGGGAGACGGGCTGCCAAACACGCGGACAGTAACAGATTCGCTATCGCGATTGCATCCACAAATACACACAGGCGGCTAGTGAATTTTCATTTCGAAATCCAGCATCCACCACACCATTCTACAACCCTCCCAGCGCCTGCACTGCCTCGCTGTGTGTCTGCTCTGACACGTATCGCATCCCCCACCCCATACACCACCGCCTCCCAATCACCTCCCGAGCCGCACACGCGCCGTAGCGCTCCGGTCTCTCCAATCGCATTCACAAGGCCGGCAGTGCGACGCGATCTCAACGAGCGTAGTCCGCCGTCGTCGCCGTCACTGTCGCCAGCGTAGCGCCATTCGCCATGGTCGCTCCTCGCCTGTTCCCCGCGTCTCCACTGCTTCCGCGCCACCGTAACCTCTTCCCCGCGCCTTCCACTCGCGCCCGTCCCGCATCTCCTGCGCTCTCCACCTGATGCCTCCGCGCACTACTCACTACCGCACGCGCCACCCCTCCACCTCCCTCCCATTCCGCCGCTTCTTCCGCCCATGGCGCTCGCGCCACCGCCGCCCGCCAACAGCACGTGCGGGGGCGGCGATGGGGGCGGGGCGGGCGGGGCGGGCGCGGCGTGGGGGCTGCAGTACCTGTGGAACGTGAGCGCGCCGGCCGGCGTGTGCTGCGTGGCGCTCTTCGCCGCCGTCAAGCTGCGCGCCGATCACCGCCTGCCGTCCGCGCGCCACGCGTGGCGGAAACTGCGCGCAGTGTGGCACGTGACGGACGCGCAGATCGTCACGCTGTGCGGCGCGGACGCCGCCGACTACCTCATCCTGCTCGTGCGCCCACCGCCCGCACTCGCTCTTTCTTCCCCTTTCTTCCCCGCTGTCGCCGCCCTCCTTCCGCTTCCGTGTCCTAAACCTGTGTCCGCCGCCCTCCCCCCTTTCCCTTCCCCTTCCGTCTCTTTCCCCGCTCCCCCACTCCCCCCAACCCATCCGCCAGCGCTGCACGTGCGCGCTCATCGCGGCGCTGCTGGTGCCGGCGATGGCGCTTCTGCTCCCCGCCAACCTGCGCGGAGCGGACTCCGCGGTGTGCGACTATCTGGCGGCCGCCACCATCGCGCACGTCGCGCCCGCCGCGCCCGCGCTCTGGATGCACGCGCTCTTCGCGCTGCTGCTGCCCCCCGCCGTGCACCTTGCCATCCGCGCCTTCCGCCGCCAGCGCGTGCGCGCCAGGGCGGTGGCGCAGGGCAGGGACGGGGACGCAGGGAGCGCAGGGGGTGCGGGGTGGGGGTGGGGTTGGGGGACAAGCGGGGGGCAGAGCAGCAGAGATGGGGAGAGTCCGCGGGAAGGGTATGCTGTCCTGCACTGTGTTGCCCGCCATGGCACTGCTGCTGCTGCTGGCGCCAATGGCACTGATGGTGATGGGGGTGCTGATGGTGCTGATGATGGTGTTGATGGCGATGATGACGTGGACATGATAGCGCATGACGTGGCAGAGTACACGATTCTCATTCGCGGAGTGCCTAGAGGCCTGTCAGCCTGCCCTCAGGTGCCCTCTTGCTGCCCTCAGGTGCCCTCTTGCTGCCACTAGCTCAACGCATGCTATCCCTCTCACTCACTCACTCACTCGCCCACTCACCCACTCACTCTCTCAGTCCCTCATTCACTGAATCACTCGATCGCTCACACACACCTGCCTGTCTCCCATCCTCACCCCATCCCACCTCCCCTGCCTGCTCTGCAACCAAACCACCTCCCCTCCGCGCAGCTACTGTTGGAGTATTGGGACCGCCTGTACCCGGGGAGGGTGGCGAGGGTGCTGCAGCCGCCAGACGTGGCGGCAGCGCTGGCAGCCAGGCGGCGCGTGGCGGCCCTCACAGCGCGCCTCGCCCAGGCGCATGCCAGGGCTGCGCTGCAGGGCACCGTGGGCGCGGAGACAGGTGCGGGCGCGGGGGGCCGAGCACACATGCGAGGTGATGATGATGCTGCTGCTGGCGGTGCTGATGTGGCGTCTGCGTCTGTGCACGAGCCGCTCATCGCTTGGAGTGGCCGGCAGGGCCCAGCTGGCATGCAGGGGATGGGAGGAGGGGAGATGGAGGAAGGGGAAGAGGAGGAGGGAGGGAGGAGGGGGCAAGGCAGTGGCACAAGTGGGCCAGTGGCGTCTTCTCTCCTCGCCTGCCTCCGTCTCTTCCTGCCACCCCAAGCAGCCCGCTCTGCCATGCGCTGCCTCTGCAGCCTCCCGCTCGCCGCCCTGCACTCGCTCTCGCTTTCCCTCTCGCACCTCCTTGCCCCCCTGCGTGCTCTCCTCCCCCCCACGTCCCCCGCCTGGCTGTGGGGCATGGGGGTGCGCGACTGGGGGGGGGAGGCGCGGAGGCTGGAGGAGCAGGTGCGCCAGGCGGAGCGGGAGGCGCAGCTGCTGCGGAGGGGCAGGGGGGGCGGGGCGGGGGTGGCGCTGGTGGTCTTTCGCGATGCCTACACAGCGACCCGGGCTTTAAGAGACGCCCTGTGGGCCTCCCCCAGGTGGCGCCTCGCCCCCCTCGCCACTGCCTCCTGGCGCGTCGAGCGTGCGCCGCCCGCCGCCAGCATCATCTGGTGCAACGTGGGTGGCAGCCGGGCGGCGAGACGTGTCCGCACGTGGGTGGTGAATGTGGTCGTGGTGGTTGCGCTGTGTGCGTGGTCGTGCCCGCTCGCCTTGCTCTCGGCTGTCTCCTCCGCCGCCCACACTGCTGATACTGCTGCCCTCTCCCACCTCAACGCCTGGCTCATTTGGGCGCGCGTGAGTTGAGGGAAGGGGGGTTGGGGGGAAAGGGGGATTTGGGGCAGAGAGGATGGCGGAGCAGTAGAGCAGGGGGGGGGGGGCGGGGTGGAGGGGGATGGAATGGCATGCAGCGCAGCGCAGGCGAGTGAAGGAGGTGGATGGAGAGTTCATGTTGTGAGGTGCTGTTGTGAGTTCAGCGCTTCTCATTCCCTCTCCTTGCTTCTCATTCCCTCTCCTTGCTTCTCATTCCCTCTCCTTGCTTCTCATTCCCTCTCCTTGCTTCTCATTCCCTCTCCTTGCTTCTCATTCCCTCTCCTTGCTTCTCATTCCCTCTCCTTGCTTCTCATTCCCTCTCCTTGCTTCTCATTCCCTCTCCTTGCTTCTCATTCCCTCTCCTTGCTTCTCATTCCCTCTCCTTGCTTCTCATTCCCTCTCCTTGCTTCTCATTCCCTCTCCTTGCTTCTCATTCCCTCTCCTTGCTTCTCATTCCCTCTCCTTGCTTCTCATTCCCTCTCCTTGCTTCTCATTCCCTCTCCTTGCTTCTCATTCCCTCTCCTTGCTTCTCATTCCCTCTCCTTGCTTCTCATTCCCTCTCCTTGCTTCTCATTCCCTCTCCTTGCTTCTCATTCCCTCTCCTTGCTTCTCATTCCCTCTCCTTGCTTCTCATTCCCTCTCCTTGCTTCTCATTCCCTCTCCTTGCTTCTCATTCCCTCTCCTTGCTTCTCATTCCCTCTCCTTGCTTCTCATTCCCTCTCCTTGCTTCTCATTCCCTCTCCTTGCTTCTCATTCCCTCTCCTTGCTTCTCATTCCCTCTCCTTGCTTCTCATTCCCTCTCCTTGCTTCTCATTCCCTCTCCTTGCTTCTCATTCCCTCTCCCTGCTTCTCATTCCCTCTCCTTGCTTCTCATTCCCTCTCCTTGCTTCTCATTCCCTCTCCTTGCTTCTCATTCCCTCTCCTTGCTTCTCATTCCTTCCCCACATCCATGTCCCCTCCCCATGCGCCTTGGGACACAGAACAACAGCGGCACGGCAGCAGTGGCGCTGCAGTTCCTCCCCAACGTGCTGTCGTTCACCGCCATGTACGGTGTCATGCCAGCAGCGCTGCACCGCCTCGTGCTGTTTGAGGGCCACATCACCACGTCGCGCCAGCAGGCGGCGCTGCTGCTGAAGCTCACGGCGCTGTACCTCTTCAACCTCTACGTGCTCAAGGTGCGGTGCCGCGCTCCTCTGCCCACTGCTGCCTCTACTCGCTCTGCTTCTCATCTCACACTGTCTCCCCACAATGTGCAAGTGTGCAGCAGAATGTAAGATCGTTCCTTCCCTGGTGTGCCCCCTGCACTGGCTTCCACGACAATGTTTACAACCCGCTTCTATCCTCCTCTCCATTCCTTGACACCCCTCCTCTCCACCCTCCCTCTCTCCTACACCAGGCGCTGCTGGAGGCGTTGCTGCAGGCGGCACTACTACATGCGGAGCGCTGCTCGCTGCTGTCCCCGCACTGCCCCTCCGTGCTGCACTGGCTCAACGCCTCGCTCATCCCGGCCTCATCGCTCTCAGCGCTCTGCTTCCTCCTCACCTCCGCGCTGCTGGGCGTCTCCTTTGACCTCCTGGCGCCCCTCGCTTGGCTTGCCCCCCGCCTGCATCGCCTGCGCCTCTCCCTGCGCCGCCTCTCACTGCACCGCATGTGCCTATCCTCTCAACGCTGCTGCCACCGCCTCTCACAGCGATGGCGCGCCATCGCAAGGGCCGGCAGTGCCATGAGCGGGGCAGCGGCAGGCGGAGAGGGTGTGGGGGTGGGGAATGTGGGCAGTGGATTCGGGGTGGTGGACGGCTGGGTGGGAGCACTGGTGGCCAGGAGGGCGCATGTGGGAGGAGTTGGAGCGGTGCAGGGCGGTGCTTATGTGCCTCTGCCAGGGGATGCTGTTGAGGGTCGTTGTGGGAATGGTGATGCTGAGACACGTGGCAGACAGCCATTGGATGACATGGCTCAAGGTGGTGATGGGGAGAGTGACACTGAGGAGGGAGGAAGTGAGGGAGAGAGTGTGTGCAGCAGTGAGAGTGACCTTGGGTTGCTGTCGCTGCTGGAAGAGGCAGAAGCAGAGACAGCCACACACTCTCACCTCCTCTCCCCTTCCTCTCGCACCGCTCTCCTTTCACCCGCCTCCCACACCGCAACACAAATATCCCTCCCCCCACACTCCTCCCACCCACCCCCCGGCACGCCCCTCGGCGCCTTCCCTCCGCCTGCTGCTGCGTGCATACCAGAGCCCACACCAGCAGCAGCGCAACCAGGTGGCAGCACAGTAGCGCAGCAGCCGTCAGCATGCGCATACCCCACACCAGACGCACCAGCAGCAGGGGGGGCAGAAGCACTAGAGCATTCCAGGAAGCGGCGGGGCGAGTTGCAGTTTGACTACGCGCAGTACTACGCGTACAACACCACGGCGCTGTGCCTGATGCTCTTCCACGCGCCCCTCGCCCCCCTGGTGCTGCCGGCGGGGCTGCTCTTCTTCTCCTACCGCCTCATCGTCGACAAGTACAATTTCCTCTTCCTCTACCGCCCCCGCCCTCACCACCACTCCCACCACCACCACCCAGCACCGCACTCAACCGCATCGCTGTCGTCCCAGCCAGTTTCTCTGGTGCCCCCCTCAGGCCCACAGATGGTATCAGATGGGCGGCTGGTGAGGGCAGCAGTGGGGGTGCTGCGCATGAGTGTGTGCGCCACCCTTGCTGCTCTTGCTGCACTCCTTGCCTTCAAAGGAGACCTCGATAGGCTGCAGGCCGTGCTGTTGGGGTCGGTATCGGTTGTCCTTTCTGTCATGTATGGCGTAGAGTCTCTAGTGAGAGTGCCAGGGAAGGCACGAGTGGTGGGCGGTGCGCATAGGCATGGTGGTAACCATGTGTTGCCAGAGAGACTGGTGAATAGGCCAACTGCTTATGAGGTGTGCTGGCAGCAAGTATTGAACGAAGAGCTGTGATCATGCATGGCATGGCGTGTAGATTCATAGAGATGTGCTGTGCTTGTATTGATGGCAGGCGCATCTGCCATAGTCGTGCCTTACGGCCCGGGCAGCCGAGTACGCAGTGTGGGTGAATGAGGATGACATGAAACATGGGCTCTGCACGTCGTGCCAGTGAGCACGCCATGCTACCTGTGCTGCAACCTTCAGCGCTGGGAGGGAGAGCTTTGGAGGACAGAAAGCAGGTTCCAACACAACACTAGGCAGGCACGGCCTTGGTTGGCTCTTCTGATCATGCGAGCTTGCCACTGCAACTTGAGGCAACACATCACTAACAAGGAGGTTCTTTACAAACCAAAAAGAGACAAGAGGCATGGTGGCATGGCCACATGCACCACGCCCATGCCTCACAACAACACAACTACGGCCCACACGCAGCAAGAGGTGAGCGCCGGCATGCCGCAGTGATGCTAATGACCTGCTCTCTGGGACCAAGCCATGGCGCCATGCTACGGTGGTGGGGGTTGTGGAGGCAGCATGAACGGAGGGAATAGGCCCCGTGGCACGGCCGTGCTGGCGCCCGTGGGGGGCAGCGGCAGGGAAGCACCAGCAGCGGCAGTGGCAGCGGCAGTGGCAGCGGCAGTGGCAGCGGCAGTGGCAGTGGCAGCGGCAGTGGCAGTGGCAGTGGCAGTGGCAGTGGTAGGTGGTGCAGCAGCAAGCGCAGAAGGCAGTGCAATGGAGGAGGGCGTGGAGGAGAGGAGTATGTGCTCGAGCCCACTGCAGTCATCCTGCTTGTTGGCAGGTGGGGGGGAAGAGGGCAGGGCGGGAAGTGAGGAGAGGTCAGCGGACAGGGCAGCAGAACACGGAGGCGGATCCCAAGCAGATGCGAGCTGCGGTAGAAGAATGTGTACGTGAGAGAGCAGCAGGCAACAGGGACCTGATGGCTTCCCCTCATGCACCTGCCTCGCTTGCACCTGCCTCGCTTGCACCTGCCTCGCTTGCACCTGCCTCGCTTGCACCTGTCTCACATACACCTGCCTTGCATGCCTGTCTGCACCTGTGCGCACCTGTGTCATGGGGAGGCGCACCTGCAGCTGGCGGATGTATGAGACAACGTTGTCAAGCATGGAGGCGGTCTCCTCGTTGCCTGGCGCGTACGGTATGCTCTGCTGCAGCTGCTGCAGCCCCTCCCTGCCCGTTCACAGACCATGGCGCATGGGGGGGATGAGGACGGATGCAGGAGGATCGGGGCGGATGGAGGGGATTAGGGAGGATTTGGGGGGAAATACAGACGGGCGGGGACGAATAGGAACGGATGCAATGTAAGAGGGCGGAAGATTAATAGAAAGGGATTAGATCAAGACGAAGTAGTACTTGAAGAGAGGGAAGGAAGGAAGGAAGGAGAGAGCTAAGGAGGGGAGCGGGAAGGAGGGAAGGAGGAAAGGAAGGGGAAAGGCAAGGAGGGAGAGAGGGAAGGAGGGAAAGGGGGAGAGGGGGAGTGAGGGAGAGAGGGATGGATGGGTAGAGGGAATGGGGGAGAGAGGGAAGGATGGGGAGAGGGAAGGATGGGGAGAGGGAAGGAAGCAGAGAGGGAAGGAGGGAGAGAGGGGGGATTGGGAACGAACAAGGGAGATAGGGAGGGAAAGATGGAGGAAGGGAAACAGGGCGAGAGGGAGAAAGTGAGAGAAGAAGAGAGGGAATGGAAGGAGGAGAAATGCAAGGAAGGAGAGAGGAAACGAGGGATTGAAGGAGGGAGACAGGGACGAAGGGAGAACAAGCAAGGGAGAGGAGGTCGAAGGGAGGGAAGGATGGAGGAAGGGAAACAGGGCGAGAGGGAGAAAGTGAGAGAAGAATAGAGGGAATGGAAGGAGGAGAAATGTAAGGAAGGAGAGAGGAAACGAGGGATTGAAGGAGGGAGACAGGGACGAAGGGAGAACAAGCAAGGGAGAGGAGGTCGAAGGGAGGGAAGGATGGAGGAAGGGAAACAGGGCGAGAGGGAGAAAGTGAGAGAAGAATAGAGGGAATGGAAGGAGGAGAAATGCAAGGAAGGAGAGAGGAAACGAGGGATTGAAGGAGGGAGACAGGGACGAAGGGAGAACAAGCAAGGGAGAGGAGGTCGAAGGGAGGGAAGGATGGAGGAAGGGAAACAGGGCGAGAGGGAGAAAGTGAGAGAAGAATAGAGGGAATGGAAGGAGGAGAAATGTAAGGAAGGAGAGAGGAAACGAGGGATTGAAGGAGGGAGACAGGGACGAAGGGAGAACAAGCAAGGGAGAGGAGGTCGAAGGGAGGGAAGGATGGAGGAAGGGAAACAGGGCGAGAGGGAGAAAGTGAGAGAAGAATAGAGGGAATGGAAGGAGGAGAAATGCAAGGAAGGAGAGAGGAAACGAGGGATTGAAGGAGGGAGACAGGGACGAAGGGAGAACAAGCAAGGGAGAGGAGGTCGAAGGGAGGGAAGGATGGAGGAAGGGAAACAGGGCGAGAGGGAGAAAGTGAGAGAAGAATAGAGGGAATGGAAGGAGGAGAAATGTAAGGAAGGAGAGAGGAAACGAGGGATTGAAGGAGGGAGACAGGGACGAAGGGAGAACAAGCAAGGGAGAGGAGGTCGAAGGGAGGGAAGGATGGAGGAAGGGAAACAGGGCGAGAGGGAGAAAGTGAGAGAAGAAGAGAGGGAAAGGAAGGAGGAGAAATGCAAGGAAGGAGAGAGGAAACGAGGGATTGAAGGAGGGAGACAGGGACGAAGGGAGAACAAGCAAGGGAGAGGAGGTCGAAGGGAGGGAAGGATGGAGGAAGGGAAACAGGGCGAGAGGGAGAAAGTGAGAGAAGAAGAGAGGGAAAGGAAGGAGGAGAAATGCAAGGAAGGAGAGAGGAAACGAGGGATTGAAGGAGGGAGACAGGGACGAAGGGAGAACAAGCAAGGGAGAGGAGGTCGAAGGGAGGGAAGGATGGAGGAAGGGTAAGAGGGACAGAAGGAGAAAGAGAGGGAAGACGAGAGGGAAGGAGGGAAGGAAAAAGGAAGGGAAGGAGGGAGAAAGGGAAGGAAGAAGAGAGGGAAAGAGATCGGAAGGGAAGGATGGAGAGGAAAGGAGGGAGCAAAGGATGGAGAGAGGGAGGAAAGGAGAGGGAGAAAACAAAGGACGGTGGGATGGAGCGACGGAGGGAGGGACCGAAGGAGAGAGGAAAGGAGTGATGGAGGGTAAGGGATGGGAGGAGGGGACGGAAGGAGGGAGGGGAAAGAAGGGAGTGAGAGAAGGCGGGATACTGAACGGGGGTGCGAGGGAAGGAATGACCGAAGGAGGGAGAGAGGAAAGGAGGGCAACAGGAGGGAGGAAAGGAGGGAGGGAAGGAGGGAGGGAGCGAGGGAGTTGGGAGTGAGGGAGCGTGAGACGAGGGCAGCGAGAGCGGATGTGCGGATGAGAGACAAGAGACTGCCATGGGTGGTGGCAGCAGAGGCGAAGCAGCGAGTCACAGGGGGGTGGGCGGTGGAGGCACCTGACTCGCTGTCGCCTCACTCGCTCCACCTGCACTCGCCTCCGCATTCTCTGTCGTGAATCCCCGCCTTCTTCCCGCCCCTCTCCTTCACCCTCCCCCCCTTCTTCCCCACCATCACCCATCCCCTCATCTTCCCCATCCCTTCCCTCGTCGTCCATCCCCCCCGCCCCATCCGCGTCTGTCCCCGGAGCATCATTCCCCCCAGCCTCCGCGGGGTGCGCATGTTGTGCGGGTGGCTGGGCGCGCGACTGCTGTGGTGAGTGGGCGGGGTCAGGGCGGGCAAGGGGGGGAGGCTGCAGGCCAGACAAGGCCGCATGCGGTGCCACAGCGCGCACTGGGCGTCCTGTTGTTGATTGATGCCCAGCTATCACCGGATGTCCAGCTATTATCTGATTTCCAGCTGTCATCTGATGTCCAGCTGTGGTGTGATGTCCAGCTGTCATTGCCTGTCCAATTGTCATTTGCTGGTCAGCTGTCGTTTGCAGTCCAGCTCTCATTTGATGTCCAGCTGTCATTCGATTTCCAGCTGTCATTTGGTGTCCAACTGGCATCAGATGCCCAACTGTCATTTGATGTTGAGCTGTCATTGGGTGTCCAGCTGGCATCTGAAGTCCAGCTGTCATATGTCGCAGCATCAGGGCCTGTTCATGCTGAGCCACTTCATTCCGTGAACGCAATACATGCTGCCGCCACTGCTGCTGCTGCTGCTGCTGTTGCCGCTGCTGCAAAAGAAAGAGCTGCTGCTCTATCGTTCTTTCCTGCTGCTCTTGCTCTTGCTGCCACTGCAGCCGCTGGTGCTGCTGCTGCCACACTTGCCGCTGTGCCAGGAGCATTTGGTTGAACAGCTCATCGCCACTTCCACTCGCCGCGTTGTGCGGAATCAGCCCAGGAGAACTTGCCAGGCGGCCCATCACGCCTCTTTCCATGCTTTCTCCGATACGACGGTCAGTACCACTCCTGCTAATCACACTCGCTTGCTCGGCGGAGTGCGGTGCAGCACGCAACGTTTCGTGGCCAGTGCGGCGTTCAGGCTGGGAATGCTGCGGATCTACCACTACCTGCCTGCCTTGCTCCAAAAGCAACGGCGCTTGCAAATCAATGTCCGAAGCGACAGCGATAGAGTCTATCGCTGCACCACGCGCGCCCATCGAAGCGGCGGCCATTATTTCCGTGAATCGCGCGGCGGCGACGGACTGTTGGAGCAGGGCGGCGTCGGGGAGGCGCGAGAGGGCGTCCTCCGACGAGTCGTGGCGCAGCTGCGAGACCATGGCGTCCATGTTCATCGCTATCTGCACTCGCAGCGGCGGTGCACTCTCCTCGTCGCCCGAAGATGGCGGACGGGCTGCCATTTATTGTGCCAAGGAAAGAAAACCTTCTAAGTTCGACGTCTCTGCTGGGGTTCATTCAAATAAGTGGTTCAGAAAACGCTTAGGCGGCAGTGGTCTCAAAGTTTTAGTGAGCAATCGTTAGCTTCCCTTCCAGTTTCTTGACGTTACCACCATCAACCCAAGTTACTGTAGCACTGAGTAGCTCTATTCAGGTTCCACTGCGCCTCAGGTCAGGAACCCTCGTTCACACCTATGGCACAGCTCCACCACAACCATCAATGGTGCTGGAAAAAATTACTGTACCGATGATTCTGAAGCTCATCCACATCACATCTCATCCACACCCACACCAAAATCTGGACTTGAAGATGCGTGTACACTTGCCCCGCGATATCTTCTCCAACCTGACCATTTCTGTCCATGGGCATCGCTCCCCTAGATTCTGCAGACTCAACCGAGATTTTTTTTTGGAGGATGCTTTTATAGGAAGTGATTAACTGAAGACTCGACCGAGATGCCTCAATGGAAGTCCCTGTGTACCTGGATTCGAAACCCAGCAAAAAATCGAGACTCAAATCTCAGAAACGCAACGTCAGTGTGGTCGCACCCCTGGAAACCCGAACTCCCCACGCATAGGAATCCCACCACGAATATCGCGGAAAGGGAGAGAGATGATTCCTGAACTCCATCTTGGGTCTCACACGATCAGATCAATTCAGGCGCATTTCACTGTAAGAGGGCAGTTTCACACTCGCTTTGGGTGCATCTGCTTACAGGCGGAAGCTGTGCTGCGCTGTGATCTCCAAGCCATGTTGCGGACCACAGTTGTGCCTGCGCAAACGAGACACCCCTCCAAAATTCTTTCTGACCCGAAGTACACAGCAACCGACGACCCCAACCATTATTGACGCGGTTACAAATCTCAACTTGCCAACAAGTTGGATTTATGGGGAGAACCCCTATCGAAGCCTCGTTTCTCGCCCGAGACGTCACGCCAGTCGGGGTGTCTGGGAATCTCTGAAAACATTCCCTTCTGCTGCACCGTCCTCCTCTGTGCGGGGTCCGGCGCTATGATTCGCGGAGGGTCGGTGGGGCAAACCCGAGTTGATCTGACTGAGCCCTGCCGATTGCTGCAAAGGATTGCAGCGGAGGGCTGCGAACATCATCGTCCGCCGCAGAGGGAGGGATCGCAGCGGAGGACCATCATCACTGCCACATCAACTTCCACATCACATCTCCGTGCTCGCAACGCAACCCCACCGCGCATCCAGCCACTCCCTTTTTCCTACTCCACCTGCAGAAGCACACAAACAAGCCCAGCCAATCCAAACCAGCCCGCTTGTTGCAGGCGCTTTTGGCCCTAGCTCCGACCAATCGAAAAACGCGTCGTTCGATGCAAGCTGTCATTGACAAAAAGCTTCGCACAAGCACTGTTTGAGCCGCCTAGCAGCCAACCAGCGAAGACCAGTGCTTGGGGGGATGCATCACTGAACGTTTTTTGTGTACAGTACAGTCCAATCCAATCCCATTGCACTCTTGGGAAGGGCAGAACAGCAAGTACTCATCACACACTTGTCTTGAGGCCTCAGGCCTACGAGGACTGTCTAGGCTAAAACCGTTTTTGTAACACCAATAACCAATTGGCGCTTGCATGGTGTGGATATGATTCCAGCCTGGAAATTCCCTTGCTTGAGTTCAAAGTGATTTGAAAACAGGTTCAGATGCAACTTAGGCAGCAGAAACACTCTTAATCTACTCAAGGCGCTCACACATTATACCAACATAACTTTCAACTATGCAGCCAATGACAAATCGAATGAGAACCGAAAGGTAGGGGACAGGATGAGGCATATGTGGAGGCGATTGTGCCGATGGTGGTGGCTCTGACAATACACTAGGTGTGTGCGAGCGAGCGCATGACAGGACACCATTTCCCCAAGCGCCCCTTGGTGCCATGGCTGGGGATGACAGCACAGCAAGACTCGAGCTGCCTGACGGCATGATAGCAGCGTGTGACCCTGACAGACAGACAGACGGACAGACAGAGACAGACAGACAGACGGACGGAAGACGGACAGACGGCACGTGGGCAATGGATAGACAGACAGACGACAAGACCAAGGACACGGCTGTCAGGATGAGGTGAAGCAGTGAAACACATCAGCAATGGCAGCGCAGGCTTGGGGCATGGAAAAATGACTGGACTTACCAACAAGCGTGAAACAGGTGCTGCTGTGCCGCCTGGCAGCTCAATGACAACAGAAATAGGCTGATATGAGGAGTCATACTCACATTCTCTGCTCTTCTTGAGTTCGCCTAATGCTGTCGGCGTCACTGCAAGAATGAATAAAAGTTGGAACAATGGAACGTTCCCATGGCAGCAAAAAGAAAGCTTAAATCTCCTGCTTCAATAGAGACGATGCCTACACGACAGCCCCAAGGAGTGTGAGAGAGGTCCCAAATGCAGAGAGGCGGCGCACAGTACGAGTCAGATCAAACCAGAAAAAACACAAGAGGCAGTTTAGAGGCATGGCTGGGCTTGACCTCTGGCCAGTCACGGCAAGGAGGGTGCAACAGTTAACGGAAGCTATTACGAGTGGAAGAGCGGAAACCCCTCACATCACCTCGTGAAAAGACTTCAGTTTCTAGATCCCAGGGCCGTACCTCCTGTTTAGCAGCTGCCAAGGGGGCAGCAGGGGCGTCTCCCCCTCCGGCAGCAGCACCAGTGTCGTGGGTGGGCCGTGGGCGGCCGCAGTGGCGGCGGTTGCAGTGCGAGCGGAAGGGGTAGTTCACGTTGCCGCACTCACTGCACTCCCAGCTGCCCTCCGGTGCTGCCGCCTGCGCGCCTGCCCCCTCCCAGCCACGCAGATGGGACGGGGGGTGTTGGGGGTGGAGGGGAGCGCAGGAGGTGAGGGGGATGGGTGCGAGGGTGGAGAGAGAAGGCATGGCCGCTGCGAGGTGCGAGGGGGGCAAGCAAGAGGAAGGGCAAGCAAGAGGAAGGGCAAGCAAGAGGAAGGGCAAGCAAGAGGAAGGGCAAGCAAGAGGAAGGGCAAGCAAGAGGAAGGGCAAGCAAGAGGAAGGGCAAGCAAGAGGAAGGGCAAGCAAGAGGAAGGGCACAGCAGGGGACTCACGCGGTGGCTGAGCGGGCAGAGGCGCAGGAGCAACAGGGTGCAGCTGTGGGCATGGCAGCGGGCAGAGCACAGCGCCGGCAGGTTGGAGGGGGGAGGGGTGCAGTTGGTGGCAGGGGAGCGCAGGGGAGGTGAGGGGAAGGGAGGGGAGGGAGTGCAGGGGTGGAGAGGGAGTGCAGGGGTGGAGAGGGAGTGCAGGGGTGGAGAGGGAGTGCAGGGGTGGAGAGGGAGTGCAGGGGTGGAGAGGGAGTGCAGGGGTGGAGAGGGAGTGCAGGGGTGGAGAGGGAGTGCAGGGGTGGAGAGGGAGTGCAGGGGTGGAGAGGGAGTGCAGGGGTGGAGAGGGAGTGCAGGGGTGGAGAGGGAGTGCAGGGGTGGAGAGGGAGTGCAGGGGTGGAGAGGGAGTGCAGGGGTGGAGAGGGAGTGCAGGGGTGGAGAAGTATTATTAAAGGGAGGGCGTGGCGAAGTTGTTTTTACACAATGAGCATAACAATACGGATGGGCTTGCTTGCTGCGAGGCATGGACGAGTGGAGGGGATGAGAGGAGGAGGGAAGAGGAGGAGAGAAAGAGGGAAAGAGACGAGAAGAGGAGAGGAGGGGAGGAGGGGAGGGGAGGAGAGGCGGGGGGCGCACATAGATAGGAGGAGGCAGGGGCGTGGCGGGGGGGCGGGGCTCGTTGCATTTGCGCATGTTGCAGTGCGTGCGGAAGGAGAAGTTGGTGTTGCCGCACTTGACGCACACCCAGTCCCCCTCCCCACTCCCCTCCGGCCCCCCCCTCCGCTTCCGCCCGTCCGCCCCCTCCCCCTGCCGCTGCTGCATGCCCGGCTGCCAGGGTTGGAGGGGGAGAGGGCGGAAGAGGGGGGGGGAGGGGAAATGGGGAGAAGGTACATGCAGAGGGGAAATGGGCAATGCAGAGGGGTTACAGGGAGCAATGCAGAGGGGTTACAGGGAGCAATGCAGAGGGGTTACAGGGAGCAATGCAGAGGGGTTACAGGGAGCAATGCAGAGGGGTTACAGGGAGCAATGCAGAGGGGTTACAGGGAGCAATGCAGAGGGGTTACAGGGAGCAATGCAGAGGGGTTACAGGGAGCAATGCAGAGGGGTTACAGGGAGCAATGCAGAGGGGTTACAGGGAGCAATGCAGAGGGGTTACAGGGAGCAATGCAGAGGGGTTACAGGGAGCAATGCAGAGGGGTTACAGGGAGCAATGCAGAGGGGTTACAGGGAGCAATGCAGAGGGGTTACAGGGAGCAATGCAGAGGGGTTACAGGGAGCAATGCAGAGGGGTTACAGGGAGCAATGCAGAGGGGTTACAGGGAGCAATGCAGAGGGGTTACAGGGAGCAATGCAGTGGGGCTACAGGGAGCAATGCAGTGGGGTTACAGGGAGCAATGCAGTGGGGTTACAGGGAGCAATGCAGAGGGGTTACAGGGAGCAATGCAGAGGGGTTACAGGGAGCAATGCAGAGGGGTTACAGGGAGCAATGCAGAGGGGTTACAGGGAGCAATGCAGTGGGGCTACAGGGAGCAATGCAGTGGGGTTACAGGGAGCAATGCAGTGGGGCTACAGGGAGCAATGCAGTGGGGTTACAGGGAGCAATGCAGAGGGGTTACAGGGAGCAATGCAGTGGGGCTACAGGGAGCAATGCAGTGGGGTTACAGGGAGCAATGCAGAGGGGTTACAGGGAGCAATGCAGAGGGGTTACAGGGAGCAATGCAGAGGGGTTACAGGGAGCAATGCAGAGGGGTTACAGGGAGCAATGCAGAGGGGTTACAGGGAGCAATGCAGAGGGGTTACAGGGAGCAATGCTGTGGGGTTACAGGGAGAAATGCAGTGGGGTTACAGGGAGCAATGCAGAGGGGTTACAGGGAGCAATGCAGAGGGGTTACAGGGAGCAATGCAGAGGGGTTACAGGGAGCAATGCAGAGGGGTTACAGGGAGCAATGCAGAGGGGTTACAGGGAGCAATGCAGAGGGGTTACAGGGAGCAATGCAGAGGGGTTACAGGGAGCAATGCAGAGGGGTTACAGGGAGCAATGCAGAGGGGTTACAGGGAGCAATGCAGAGGGGTTACAGGGAGCAATGCAGAGGGGTTACAGGGAGCAATGCAGAGGGGTTACAGGGAGCAATGCAGAGGGGTTACAGGGAGCAATGCAGAGGGGTTACAGGGAGCAATGCAGAGGGGTTACAGGGAGCAATGCAGAGGGGTTACAGGGAGCAATGCAGAGGGGTTACAGGGAGCAATGCAGAGGGGTTACAGGGAGCAATGCAGAGGGGTTACAGGGAGCAATGCAGAGGGGTTACAGGGAGCAATGCAGAGGGGTTACAGGGAGCAATGCAGAGGGGTTACAGGGAGCAATGCAGAGGGGTTACAGGGAGCAATGCAGAGGGGTTACAGGGAGCAATGCAGAGGGGTTACAGGGAGCAATGCAGAGGGGTTACAGGGAGCAATGCAGAGGGGTTACAGGGAGCAATGCAGAGGGGTTACAGGGAGCAATGCAGAGGGGTTACAGGGAGCAATGCAGAGGGGTTACAGGGAGCAATGCAGAGGGGTTACAGGGAGCAATGCAGAGGGGTTACAGGGAGCAATGCAGAGGGGTTACAGGGAGCAATGCAGAGGGGTTACAGGGAGCAATGCAGAGGGGTTACAGGGAGCAATGCAGAGGGGTTACAGGGAGCAATGCAGAGGGGTTACAGGGAGCAATGCAGAGGGGTTACAGGGAGCAATGCAGAGGGGTTACAGGGAGCAATGCAGAGGGGTTACAGGGAGCAATGCAGAGGGGTTACAGGGAGCAATGCAGTGGGGCTACAGGGAGCAATGCAGTGGGGTTACAGGGAGCAATGCAGTGGGGTTACAGGGAGCAATGCAGAGGGGTTACAGGGAGCAATGCAGAGGGGTTACAGGGAGCAATGCAGAGGGGTTACAGGGAGCAATGCAGAGGGGTTACAGGGAGCAATGCAGTGGGGCTACAGGGAGCAATGCAGTGGGGTTACAGGGAGCAATGCAGTGGGGCTACAGGGAGCAATGCAGTGGGGTTACAGGGAGCAATGCAGAGGGGTTACAGGGAGCAATGCAGTGGGGCTACAGGGAGCAATGCAGTGGGGTTACAGGGAGCAATGCAGAGGGGTTACAGGGAGCAATGCAGAGGGGTTACAGGGAGCAATGCAGAGGGGTTACAGGGAGCAATGCAGAGGGGTTACAGGGAGCAATGCAGAGGGGTTACAGGGAGCAATGCAGAGGGGTTACAGGGAGCAATGCTGTGGGGTTACAGGGAGAAATGCAGTGGGGTTACAGGGAGCAATGCAGAGGGGTTACAGGGAGCAATGCAGAGGGGTTACAGGGAGCAATGCAGAGGGGTTACAGGGAGCAATGCAGAGGGGTTACAGGGAGCAATGCAGAGGGGTTACAGGGAGCAATGCAGAGGGGTTACAGGGAGCAATGCAGAGGGGTTACAGGGAGCAATGCAGAGGGGTTACAGGGAGCAATGCAGAGGGGTTACAGGGAGCAATGCAGAGGGGTTACAGGGAGCAATGCAGAGGGGTTACAGGGAGCAATGCAGAGGGGTTACAGGGAGCAATGCAGAGGGGTTACAGGGAGCAATGCAGAGGGGTTACAGGGAGCAATGCAGAGGGGTTACAGGGAGCAATGCAGAGGGGTTACAGGGAGCAATGCAGAGGGGTTACAGGGAGCAATGCAGAGGGGTTACAGGGAGCAATGCAGAGGGGTTACAGGGAGCAATGCAGAGGGGTTACAGGGAGCAATGCAGAGGGGTTACAGGGAGCAATGCAGAGGGGTTACAGGGAGCAATGCAGAGGGGTTACAGGGAGCAATGCAGAGGGGTTACAGGGAGCAATGCAGAGGGGTTACAGGGAGCAATGCAGAGGGGTTACAGGGAGCAATGCAGAGGGGTTACAGGGAGCAATGCAGAGGGGTTACAGGGAGCAATGCAGAGGGGTTACAGGGAGCAATGCAGAGGGGTTACAGGGAGCAATGCAGAGGGGTTACAGGGAGCAATGCAGAGGGGTTACAGGGAGCAATGCAGCGGGGTTACAGGGAGCAATGCAGAGGGGTTACAGGGAGCAATGCAGAGGGGTTACAGGGAGCAATGCAGAGGGGTTACAGGGAGCAATGCAGAGGGGTTACAGGGAGCAATGCAGAGGGGTTACAGGGAGCAATGCAGAGGGGTTACAGGGAGCAATGCAGAGGGGTTACAGGGAGCAATGCAGAGGGGTTACAGGGAGCAATGCAGAGGGGTTACAGGGAGCAATGCAGAGGGGTTACAGGGAGCAATGCAGAGGGGTTACAGGGAGCAATGCAGAGGGGTTACAGGGAGCAATGCAGAGGGGTTACAGGGAGCAATGCAGAGGGGTTACAGGGAGCAATGCAGAGGGGTTACAGGGAGCAATGCAGAGGGGTTACAGGGAGCAATGCAGAGGGGTTACAGGGAGCAATGCAGAGGGGTTACAGGGAGCAATGCAGAGGGGTTACAGGGAGCAATGCAGAGGGGTTACAGGGAGCAATGCAGAGGGGTTACAGGGAGCAATGCAGAGGGGTTACAGGGAGCAATGCAGAGGGGTTACAGGGAGCAATGCAGAGGGGTTACAGGGAGCAATGCAGAGGGGTTACAGGGAGCAATGCAGAGGGGTTACAGGGAGCAATGCAGAGGGGTTACAGGGAGCAATGCAGAGGGGTTACAGGGAGCAATGCAGAGGGGTTACAGGGAGCAATGCAGAGGGGTTACAGGGAGCAATGCAGAGGGGTTACAGGGAGCAATGCAGAGGGGTTACAGGGAGCAATGCAGAGGGGCTTCAGGGAGCAATGCAGAGGGGTTACAGGGAGCAATGCAGAGGGGTTACAGGGAGCAATGCAGAGGGGTTACAGGGAGCAATGCAGAGGGGTTACAGGGAGCAATGCAGAGGGGTTACAGGGAGCAATGCAGAGGGGTTACAGGGAGCAATGCAGAGGGGTTACAGGGAGCAATGCAGAGGGGTTACAGGGAGCAATGCAGAGGGGTTACAGGGAGCAATGCAGAGGGGTTACAGGGAGCAATGCAGAGGGGTTACAGGGAGCAATGCAGAGGGGTTACAGGGAGCAATGCAGAGGGGTTACAGGGAGCAATGCAGAGGGGTTACAGGGAGCAATGCAGAGGGGTTACAGGGAGCTATACATGGGCAAACAACGAGTCGAGTAAAACTTGACTCGTTTTGGCGAATTTTTTGTTGCAATCGAGTCGAGTCGAGTTTTAATTGTCGAGTTTTTTTGGCCAAAAAACAAACTCGAAACTCGCCCATAGTCACGAGCTTTTAAAAAGCTCGTTCGAGTTTGCCAAAAACTCGTTCGAGTCAAGTAAAACTCGACTCGATGTTAACCAGCACCCACAGACACCACTTTTGCCACACAAAACCAGCCAGAAGGTGCACATGAATAAGCCCCATCCACGCCCACTCAACATAGCAGCAACATTTTCGACAGTGACATCCCTCAACACCCACCAGCATTCCATCCCTACAACACCCCAACACTTTCACTCCCCAACCGTGCTGCACAACGCCTGCTGCAATAGTGTCCTGACAGGGTTTTGTTGGAACAACTCCAGCAGCCCACTCCCTCAGATAAAAGCCACGCACGCATTCAACCTGCTAAAACCCCTAAAAAAACGTGATTTTGTTGAAGAAGAACACGTAGGTTGTTGAGCGGGCGTTTCTAGGTATGGTAGACCACCTAGAAACTATCCTACGAAATGGTGGTTCCTTTCAGATCTTGGAAACCAGATCTGAAAACTAAACATTTTTTACATTTGTATCCAACCAACTGACGCGCAAGTTTTTTAAAGGCTCGAAACTGGTTAAAAAAACTCGCGAGTCTAAAACACTCGCGAGTTCTGAAAAAGCTCGCCATAAAAACGAGTTTTTCACGAGTTTTTTTTAACTCGCGAGTAAAACTCGACTCGGGGATCCGAGTTTTTACAGCAAAAAGACGAACTCGAAACTCGAGCTTTTCGAGTCCCTCGAACGAGGCGAGGAAAAACTAGACTCGTTTGCCCATGTATGCAGGGAGCAATGCAGAGGGGTTACAGGGAGCAATGCAGAGGGGTTACAGGGAGCAATGCAGAGGGGTTACAGGGAGCAATGCAGAGGGGTTACAGGGAGCAATGCAGAGGGGTTACAGGGAGCAATGCAGAGGGGTTACAGGGAGCAATGCAGAGGGGTTACAGGGAGCAATGCAGAGGGGTTACAGGGAGCAATGCAGAGGGGTTACAGGGAGCAATGCAGAGGGGTTACAGGGAGCAATGCAGAGGGGTTACAGGGAGCAATGCAGTGGGGCTACAGGGAGCAATGCAGTGGGGTTACAGGGAGCAATGCAGTGGGGCTACAGGGAGCAATGCAGTGGGGTTACAGGGAGCAATGCAGAGGGGTTACAGGGAGCAATGCAGTGGGGCTACAGGGAGCAATGCAGTGGGGTTACAGGGAGCAATGCAGAGGGGTTACAGGGAGCAATGCAGAGGGGTTACAGGGAGCAATGCAGAGGGGTTACAGGGAGCAATGCAGAGGGGTTACAGGGAGCAATGCAGAGGGGTTACAGGGAGCAATGCAGAGGGGTTACAGGGAGCAATGCAGAGGGGTTACAGGGAGCAATGCAGAGGGGTTACAGGGAGCAATGCAGAGGGGTTACAGGGAGCAATGCAGAGGGGTTACAGGGAGCAATGCAGAGGGGTTACAGGGAGCAATGCAGAGGGGTTACAGGGAGCAATGCAGAGGGGTTACAGGGAGCAATGCAGAGGGGTTACAGGGAGCAATGCAGAGGGGTTACAGGGAGCAATGCAGAGGGGTTACAGGGAGCAATGCAGAGGGGTTACAGGGAGCAATGCAGTGGGGTTACAGGGAGCAATGCAGTGGGGTTACAGGGAGCAATGCAGAGGGGTTACAGGGAGCAATGCAGAGGGGTTACAGGGAGCAATGCAGAGGGGTTACAGGGAGCAATGCAGAGGGGTTACAGGGAGCAATGCAGAGGGGTTACAGGGAGCAATGCAGAGGGGTTACAGGGAGCAATGCAGAGGGGTTACAGGGAGCAATGCAGCGGGGTTACAGGGAGCAATGCAGAGGGGTTACAGGGAGCAATGCAGAGGGGTTACAGGGAGCAATGCAGAGGGGTTACAGGGAGCAATGCAGAGGGGTTACAGGGAGCAATGCAGAGGGGTTACAGGGAGCAATGCAGAGGGGTTACAGGGAGCAATGCAGAGGGGTTACAGGGAGCAATGCAGAGGGGTTACAGGGAGCAATGCAGAGGGGTTACAGGGAGCAATGCAGAGGGGTTACAGGGAGCAATGCAGAGGGGTTACAGGGAGCAATGCAGAGGGGTTACAGGGAGCAATGCAGAGGGGTTACAGGGAGCAATGCAGAGGGGTTACAGGGAGCAATGCAGAGGGGTTACAGGGAGCAATGCAGAGGGGTTACAGGGAGCAATGCAGAGGGGTTACAGGGAGCAATGCAGAGGGGTTACAGGGAGCAATGCAGAGGGGTTACAGGGAGCAATGCAGAGGGGTTACAGGGAGCAATGCAGAGGGGTTACAGGGAGCAATGCAGAGGGGTTACAGGGAGCAATGCAGAGGGGTTACAGGGAGCAATGCAGAGGGGTTACAGGGAGCAATGCAGAGGGGTTACAGGGAGCAATGCAGAGGGGTTACAGGGAGCAATGCAGAGGGGTTACAGGGAGCAATGCAGAGGGGTTACAGGGAGCAATGCAGAGGGGTTACAGGGAGCAATGCAGAGGGGTTACAGGGAGCAATGCAGAGGGGTTACAGGGAGCAATGCAGAGGGGTTACAGGGAGCAATGCAGAGGGGTTACAGGGAGCAATGCAGAGGGGTTACAGGGAGCAATGCAGAGGGGTTACAGGGAGCAATGCAGAGGGGTTACAGGGAGCAATGCAGAGGGGTTACAGGGAGCAATGCAGAGGGGTTACAGGGAGCAATGCAGAGGGGTTACAGGGAGCAATGCAGAGGGGTTACAGGGAGCAATGCAGAGGGGTTACAGGGAGCAATGCAGAGGGGTTACAGGGAGCAATGCAGAGGGGTTACAGGGAGCAATGCAGAGGGGTTACAGGGAGCAATGCAGAGGGGTTACAGGGAGCTATACATGGGCAAACAACGAGTCGAGTAAAACTTGACTCGTTTTGGCGAATTTTTTGTTGCAATCGAGTCGAGTCGAGTTTTAATTGTCGAGTTTTTTTGGCCAAAAAACAAACTCGAAACTCGCCCATAGTCACGAGCTTTTAAAAAGCTCGTTCGAGTTTGCCAAAAACTCGTTCGAGTCAAGTAAAACTCGACTCGATGTTAACCAGCACCCACAGACACCACTTTTGCCACACAAAACCAGCCAGAAGGTGCACATGAATAAGCCCCATCCACGCCCACTCAACATAGCAGCAACATTTTCGACAGTGACATCCCTCAACACCCACCAGCATTCCATCCCTACAACACCCCAACACTTTCACTCCCCAACCGTGCTGCACAACGCCTGCTGCAATAGTGTCCTGACAGGGTTTTGTTGGAACAACTCCAGCAGCCCACTCCCTCAGATAAAAGCCACGCACGCATTCAACCTGCTAAAACCCCTAAAAAAACGTGATTTTGTTGAAGAAGAACACGTAGGTTGTTGAGCGGGCGTTTCTAGGTATGGTAGACCACCTAGAAACTATCCTACGAAATGGTGGTTCCTTTCAGATCTTGGAAACCAGATCTGAAAACTAAACATTTTTTACATTTGTATCCAACCAACTGACGCGCAAGTTTTTTAAAGGCTCGAAACTGGTTAAAAAAACTCGCGAGTCTAAAACACTCGCGAGTTCTGAAAAAGCTCGCCATAAAAACGAGTTTTTCACGAGTTTTTTTTAACTCGCGAGTAAAACTCGACTCGGGGATCCGAGTTTTTACAGCAAAAAGACGAACTCGAAACTCGAGCTTTTCGAGTCCCTCGAACGAGGCGAGGAAAAACTAGACTCGTTTGCCCATGTATGCAGGGAGCAATGCAGAGGGGTTACAGGGAGCAATGCAGAGGGGTTACAGGGAGCAATGCAGAGGGGTTACAGGGAGCAATGCAGAGGGGTTACAGGGAGCAATGCAGTGGGGCTACAGGGAGCAATGCAGAGGGGTTACAGGGAGCAATGCAGTGGGGCTACAGGGAGCAATGCAGTGGGGTTACAGGGAGCAATGCAGAGGGGTTACAGGGAGCAATGCAGTGGGGCTACAGGGAGCAATGCAGTGGGGTTACAGGGAGCAATGCAGAGGGGTTACAGGGAGCAATGCAGAGGGGTTACAGGGAGCAATGCAGAGGGGTTACAGGGAGCAATGCAGAGGGGTTACAGGGAGCAATGCAGAGGGGTTACAGGGAGCAATGCAGAGGGGTTACAGGGAGCAATGCTGTGGGGTTACAGGGAGAAATGCAGTGGGGTTACAGGGAGCAATGCAGAGGGGTTACAGGGAGCAATGCAGAGGGGTTACAGGGAGCAATGCAGAGGGGTTACAGGGAGCAATGCAGAGGGGTTACAGGGAGCAATGCAGTGGGGCTACAGGGAGCAATGCAGTGGGGTTACAGGGAGCAATGCAGAGGGGTTACAGGGAGCAATGCAGAGGGGTTACAGGGAGCAATGCAGAGGGGTTACAGGGAGCAATGCAGAGGGGTTACAGGGAGCAATGCAGAGGGGTTACAGGGAGCAATGCAGAGGGGTTACAGGGAGCAATGCAGAGGGGTTACAGGGAGCAATGCAGAGGGGTTACAGGGAGCAATGCAGAGGGGTTACAGGGAGCAATGCAGAGGGGTTACAGGGAGCAATGCAGAGGGGTTACAGGGAGCAATGCATGTGGACAGCACGCAGAGCAAGTGCACGGCGTACAGGACACGGGGCGGCCGAGGGAGAGGGCAGAGAGGGAGGGCAGAGAGGGCAGAGAGGGCAGAGAGGGCAGAGAGGGCAGAGAGGGCAGAGAGGGCAGAGAGGGCAGAGAGGGCAGAGAGGGCAGAGAGGGCAGAGAGGTCAGAGAGGGCAGAGAGGGCAGAGGGGGCCAAGGAAAGACGAGAGCGGGGCTCGGGCGGCTCACAGGCGGCATGGGGCGGTAGGCGTCCATGGGGAAGGGCGTGAACGCGTGCGCTGGGGGCACCGGGGGCAGAGGGGGTGGGGGGGGAAGAGGGGGGATAGGGGAAGAGAGGTGTGAGACAGGGGAAGTGGAAGAGAGGGGGTGTGAGACAGGGGAAGTGGAAGAGAGGGGGTGTGAGACAGGGGAAGTGGAAGAGAGGGACAGGGGGAACGACGAGGCGCGGCAAGAGCAAGGAGAGAGGCAACGGCAGGGCGGGGAGCGGGGGGTGGTACCTGGCGCCATGGGCATGTGGTGGGGCATGGCGGGCGGCATGTAGGGCGGAGCGAGGTGCGCGGAGGGGTCGTAGGGGGGAGGCATGGCGGGGCCCCCATACATGGGCGAGGGGGAGGGCATGGGGGGGTACGGGGCGTAGTGCGCGGGGGGCATGGCGGGCATGTAGGGCGCGCCGAGCGGCTGCATAGGCGGCATCGCGTGCATGGCGTGCATGGGCGCGCCCACATCCCCCGGCATGGCGGGCGCCGCCCCCGACGGCGCGTGCTGTGGGGGAGAGGGGGGGGGAGGGGAAGAGGGCGGGGACACAGAGAGGGCGGGGGAAGGGTCTGAGAGGGACGATAGGGCAAGGAGGGCGGGGGAAGAGCTTGAGCGGGAGCACGCGGCGGAGGGACAGCGCGCGGCGAGGGGAATGAGGGGCACGCGGTTCAGGGCGGCGTGGGTGCGCGGAGCACGCACTCGGGAACAAGGAAGGCGGGCGGATCACGGGGGGGCTCACCGAGTACTGCGGTAGCGGCTGCATTAGCGACGGGCCGGGCGCGGGTTTGGGCGCGCCGCACTTGCGCATGTTGCAGGACGTGCGGAAGGAGAAGTTGACGTTGCCGCACGCCGGGCACGTCCAGTCGCCGTCGCCGCTCGCGGCGTCTGCGCAGTCACGCGCGCGGAACACGCGACAGGCGGAGGAGGGTGAGCAGGGAAAAGCACGCGAGGGCAATGGACCTGTGCGGGACGCGCGGAAGCGGAGCGGCGAGGAAAAGCAGCGCGACAGCGGACCGACCTGTGCGGGGCCGTTTGGTGCTCATGCTGCCGGCCGGGGGTTGCGCGGTCATGCGCGGACGGATGCGGTGATCCGCGTTGAAGGGATGCGCGGAGACGAGCAGTGGAGACAGGAGGCGGCGGGGCGGATGGATACGGGCGCGCAGGCCAGGCCAGGGGCAGGCAGTCGCGCGCTCGCCGCAGCACACACAGGGGGCGGGATAAGGGCACGAACGATTAGGGTGCAGTGGCCGGGAGAGCGGGAAGAGCACGACTAATAACGCGGATTACTCTAAACCTTTGTGCAAGTTGGTGCTGCGAGTTGTTCAAATGATGCGAGTGTGCCTTGGACCACCTGGTCACATTTGTGCATAACCCTCAACCCCCCTGTATCTACTTGAGTTTCTTTTCAAAACGCACATGCAGGCGTAGAATCGACTCGCGCAACGGTTCCTCTTACCATCCATCCACCCTCGCTCATCGCTCCTCTCTTATTCGACGCGTCTCGTTTTCTCTCGCCCCCCATCCCATCCTCGCGCCCGCATTCCCCGCGCCTCGCCCGTCGCGGCCCGCAATGGACACTGCAGCGCTCAGGGCGCGCCTAGTGCGCCACTCCCTCAGCCCCGCGCACCTCCCGCGCGAGCCCCTCGGTCGTACCCACGCGGCCTCCCGCCGCGCGCATCGTCTTCCGCCACTCCGCGCGCGCGCATCGGGCAGCGGCGGCGGCTTCCCCAAGGGGCAGGGCCTCATCGGCCTCAACGGCCAGCCGCTCTCCTCCTCCAGCCCCGGCGGTACCGGCGGCGGCGGCGGCGGGATGTACCTGCCGTTTCTAAAGCCGGCGGAGCGCGCGGCGGAGGAGGGGCTGGGGTCGGTAGAGGAGCTGCTAGAGATCGTGCGCGAGCGGCGCGGGCTGTGGTACGAGTATGCGCCCGCCATCGGCGCGCTGGGGCGGCAGGGGCTGTCGCCGGCGGCGATCGCTGAGGCGACGGGCATGACGGGCGTGGAGCAGAGCGCCGTCACGACGGCGGCGCAGGTGCGCGCCACGCTAAGCGCGGCGCACATGGACCCCGCGCTGCTCGCGTTCTTCGACGTGGGCGGCGCGGAGGCGCTCTACGAGCTGCGCGTGCTGGCGGGCGCGCAGCGGAAGGAGGCGGCGGAGTACGTTGCGCGCGAGGGGCTGGACGGGAAGGGCGCGCGCGAGGTGGCGCGCGCCATCAAGGAGTACGAGCGGCGCAAGCGGGAGGCGGACCGCAGCCACTTCAGGTAGGCAGGCCGTGCTTCCCCCAACCCTTAAGCCGTTCTTCCGCACGCCTTCCTTGACCTCGTCCTTTCCCGACCCCCTTCAACCACCCCTCTCCCAACACACCGGCCCTCTCCCCTCCCATTCTCCCTTGCCCTTTCCCCCTCTCCAACCGCCCTTTCCCCCCTCCCCCCCCCCCACCTCTCTCATTCCCTCGCCACAGTGCGGAGCCGGGGGACTGTCTGGCGTTCGCCGCATACCGCCAGAGCGGGGAGGCGAGGAGCCGAGCGGAGCAAGAGGCGGCGCTGGTCAGGGCGGAGCAGGTCGCCACATCCGACGCCGCCCGCGCCTTCCTCGCCACCGCTCTGCACCGCTGCCGCAACCCCGACGCCACGCCCCCCGCCGACACCACTGGCGCCGGTGCCACTGCCCCGGCCGCTCCCTCCCTGCCAGTGGTGCGGCTGCGCAGCAGTGAGACCCAGGCCACGCCCATGCCCGTGGTCACCTGCGCCGCGGACCTCCTGCACCTGCCCGCGCTGCCCCCCCCCCAGGGCCCCTTCCGCCTCTTCTCCCCCACGCCCGGGCTGCCGTGGGTGGCGCTGCCCTCGTGGCCCGCCCTGAGGGACGTCCCCGCGCTGCTGGCGCTGCTGCTGCCCTCGCCCTCCCTGCTGCCGCCCCTGCAGGCGCGGCAGGGGGATGGGGCCGTGCTGGTGGTGGTGCAGGGCGCGTGGGGGGAGGGCAGTGCGGTGGAGGGCGGGCACTACTATGTGGTGAGGGATGCGGAGAGGGGTGGGGAGAGGGGGCTGGTGGTGGTGGCGGGGGGGGAGGTGGCGGAGCGGTATGGGTCGGGGGCGGGGGAGGCTGTGGTGGGGCGAGTGGTGCTGGCGCTGCTGCCACCTGACTGCGAGGTGGAGGACGAAGAGATTGACGTGGCCGACTGGGTGTGACGGGGGGCTGTGAGAGGAGGTGCAGGTGCAGGTGCAGGTGCAGGTGGAAAGAGGGCACTGGGGCAGGGCAGGGGACGGGTGGGGCAGGCAGAACACAGCGGCTGCTGTGGCAGTAAGAGGCAGAGTGCATGTGTGCAATAGCGGTAGCAGACAAGCTTCATTGAGAATAGTGCGGAGGGTGCTTCTGTATGAGTAATGGTGAACACTTGTTAGGCCACTACCGTACTTTTGCTAGGATACTCTGTTGAAAACATGAAAGCATGGCCATGCTTGCACATGAGAGTTCACGAAAGCAAGCAGAAAGCAACGAACTGTGGCATATCCTTTACCACACAGGCGCACTGATTGTATGGAATGCATGGTGCCATGTGCGGCCCATGACATGCAGCAGCATGCAGCAGCCACGGCACGATGCCTCAGTCACTGTCATCCGCACAGCTGTCCCCTCTCAGCCGAGCACACACATCCAGCACGCGCTCCCGCATCTCATGCACCTCCTCCCCCTCCACCCCCCACGCCGCCACCACCTGCCTGCCCGCGCCTCCTCGAGGGCCCCCCACCCACTCCAGAGCACCGGCAAGCACCTCTGCATGCCGCGCCCCACCCCACCCCGCTGCTGCCCGCGCCACCACTGGCGCCCACTCCACATCTGGACCCATTCCCACACCACTCCCGCTTCCCCCTCCCCCTCCCCCTCCCCTGCTGCTGCTGCTGCTGCTGCCCTGCCCGCCAGGGAAGCAACGCGGCTGGCAGGGTGCCGGGAGGGCGGCAGGATGAGGCCGTATTTGCTGACGTCAGCGGAGAAGAAGCGGGGGAAGGGCAGGGGGATGGCGAGGGGCTGCTGGGCGGCGGCGATGTGGGCGAAGCAGGGCGGGGCGGCACGAGAGCGGGCGGCGAGGAGGGCCCGGCGGATGGCTGCTGCTGCAGTGGCTGGTGGTAGCGGTTTGGGGGGGTTGCTGGTGGGACCTGCAGGCACATGGGCGAGGGGGGGGAGGGAATGGAAGGCGGGATCCGCAGTGAATGACGGGAGAGGTGCAGTGAATGACGGGAGAGGTGCAGTGAATGACGGGAGAGGTGCAGTGAATGACGGGAGAGGTGCAGTGAATGACGGGAGAGGTGCAGTGAATGACGGGAGAGGTGCAGTGAGCGAGAGATGCACAGTGCACTCATGCGGCCTGCCCATACACCACCCACACTTGCACTCACCCCCCCTCCCCCCACGGTTCTTCATTCTTCTCTCGCTGCTAACCTCTCCTCGCTGCTAACCTCTCCTCGCTGCTAACCTCTCCTCGCTGCTAACCTCTCCTCGCTGCTAACCTCTCCTCGCTGCTAACCTCTCCTCGCTGCTAACCTCTCCTCGCTGCTAACCTCTCCTCGCTGCTAACCTCTCCTCGCTGCTAACCTCTCCTCGCTGCTAACCTCTCCTCGCTGCTAACCTCTCCTCGCTGCTAACCTCTCCTCGCTGCTAACCTCTCCTCGCTGCTAACCTCTCCTCGCTGCTAACCTCTCCTCGCTGCTAACCTCTCCTCGCTGCTAACCTCTCCTCGCTGCTAACCTCTCCTCGCTGCTAACCTCTCCTCGCTGCTAACCTCTCCTCGCTGCTAACCTCTCCTCGCTGCTAACCTCTCCTCGCTGCTAACCTCTCCTCGCTGCTAACCTCTCCTCGCTGCTAACCTCTCCTCGCTGCTAACCTCTCCTCGCTGCTAACCTCTCCTCATTTCCGCCAACCCATCACCCACCCTCACCAGCCCTCCTTCTCCTACCCTCTCTCCCTCACATGCCCCACTCTCCCACCCACCCACCCACCCACCCACCGCACCTGCTGCTTGCTGCCCCACAGCACCGCGTGCCACCACCACCTGGGCGCGAATGCCGCCTTCCAAATCCTCCTCACCCTCCTCCTCCCCCTGCCCCTGCTGCCCACCTGCCCCTCGCTGACCTCCCCTGCTGCCACCTCCCCTCCCTCCTCGCCCCTCTCTGCTGCTGCTGCACACATCTGACGTCAGCACAGCCATGCCACATGGCTGGCTTCCACTCGCCGCCTCCTGCTCCCCTGCCTCGTGCAGCGGCTGAGCTGGCAGGGCCAAAGAAGCGAATGCGAGGGCGCCATGTGGCGAGGAGAGGGAGAGCAGCGAGCAGTAGTCCCTCAGGGACACGGCGCCCACAGGGGAGGAGGCGCAGGAGGGGGGCCGGGGGGCGAGGCGGAAGGGCGTGGAGAGGGTGTCGATGGCAGTGGCGAGCAGAGCAGAGGAGTGGAAGAGAGCGGTGTCGCTGGGATGCACGTGGGGCAGCACACCTGGTGGGGGGGTGGAGGGATGGGGCAGGGCGCAGGGTTGAGTGCTCTACACAGGTGGGCAGGTGGTGGTTGCAGAGGTGTGGCAGCATGATCAGAGCACAAGGACACGTGGAATCTCACACAGAAAGTACAGCATGTGAGTGCGGAGCAAGTGTTGGGGGGGGGATTGACTTATGCGTGCGGGAATAAGTGCGAGCAGCAGCAGCGCTCAGCAGACACAAGCTAACCGGCATGGCAGCAGGGCAGCAGGGGTACGTACCAGAGAGGGAGGGCAGGCCGAGGGGCAGAATGAGGGAGGTGAGTGGCAGCAGCGAGGCGAGGGAGACGGCAGAGGAGAGGTGGTGCAGGGAGGGCGTGCCGGGCAGGGCGTGGGGGCCGGGGGCGGGAGTGGCGGGTGGGAGGAGGGCGTCGGGGGGGCGCAGGGAGAAGAGCAGCTTGGGCGCCCTTGGGAACTCCGCAGCCAGGTGCAGGGCTGTGCGTGTGGCGAGGGATGCAAAGGGCGAGGCGGCGTGCAGCAGCAGGGAGAAGCCCTGCAGCGCGTCACACTCCTCCACCACCCGCCTCACCCCCTCCTCCACCTCCTCCTCGCCCTCCCGCCCGCCCCCCACCTCGCGCCAGTTGCCATAACCCCCCGCGTCCAGGGGGGAGAGAGCGCCCTGCCACCACCCGCCCGACAGCTGCAGCACAGTGGCAGGGCGCACGTGCGCCTTGAGGTACTCCGTCCAGTACCCCACTCCGCACTCCAACCCCCGCACCACCTCCGCCTCCTCCTCTTCCCCCCCTTCCGCCTCCCCTTCCGCCTCCTCTGCTGCCTCCCCCTCACCGTACCTGCCTGCGGCCTCGTGGCGTTCCTCCCCCCTGGCCTGGGAGCCAGGCACGGAGGAGGCGGTGTGAGCGGTGGGTGGGGGCGGGTGCAGCAGGCGGCGCAGGAAGGGGTTGAGGGGGAGAGGCGCGGCCGATGAGACATGGGAGGGGCCAGACCTGTTGAAAGGAAGGAAACGGGGGAGCGAGGGTTGTGGGGTGAGGAGAGTTGGTGGCAGCAGAGGTGTGGGAATGGGGAGTGAGAAAGAGAGGGACAGAGAGAAGCGATGGTGCGAGAGAAGCAGGCGGTGGATGGAGGTGGGTGGGGGCGTGTGGTTGCAGGCGGCATGACCGTCATGCACGTGCATGGGGGACGAGCAGCACAGCACACGGCGACGCACGCGCGCATGGCATGGCAGGGGGCTCACCATGTGGGCAGGGGGCTCACCATGTGGGCAGGGCAGAAGGTGCAGGGGCGACGCCCCCCAGTGGCGATTCGAGGGACACGGGGCCAAGGCAGCCTGCAGCACACCGCAGAGAAGCGGAGCGGAGGAGGAGAGCGTTGGGTGGGACAGGGTGGGTGGTGTGAGGAGGGGGTATGACAGGTGGAAAGGGATAGACACAAACGAGAAGCGGAGCAGACGAGGGATATGTGGGAGGATGGAAGGAAGAATGATGGGAAGAAGGATGGGCATGGCAGTGAGTGAGAAAATGGGCATGGCAGTGAGTGAGAAAATGGGCATGGCAGTGAGTGAGAAAATGGGCATGGCAGTGAGTGAGAAAATGGGCATGGCAGTGTGCAAGACGACGAATGGAGCACACCTTTATAGTCGATGGCGAGCAGGCGAGGCGTGCAGTATGGCGTGGACTGCGGGGGAGGGGCGAGGGAGGGGTGGATGGAGTGAGGCAGCATGAGAGCGAGGCGAAAGAGTGAAGGCGAGCGAGCGGCATGGAAAATCAGAGAGTGAAAAAGGAGAGAGAGAGAGAGAGAGAGAGAGAGAGAGAGAGAGAGAGAGAGAGAGAGAGAGAGAGAGAGAGAGAGAGAGAGAGAGAGAGGGGCGCAGACAGAAAAGCGCCTTGGCAACCCCCTACGCCATCATATGCCCCTCTGCCTATCCACACCCCCGCCATCCATTCCTCCCACCATGGCACCGCCCTCCCTTCCCGCCACCCCACAGCCCGCCCGCCCTGGCGAGACCCCCCTGCGCCCCACCCACGGCGTACGGCAGGCCCTGGCGTCTCCCGCCACTGCATCACCACGCTCTCCTCCACGCCCGCCCCCGCCTGCTCCGCGCCCCCCTCGCCCTGGCGCCCCACCGCCTCATCCTGCAAGGAGGGGGGAAGAAAGTGGTACGGAAACGAGAGGAGCGGATACTTACTTCACGCTCGGGTGCGACGCAAGGCGTGGGGGGGGGGGAGGAAAGGGGAGGAGGAGTGGGGAGGAAAGGTGAGGAGGAGGGGGGAGGGGGAGGGGGGACGGTGCGCTTGCTTCTCCAAGGACACTAGCGCATGGCGGCGCTGGTAGCCGGGATGTAGGCAGGGGGGGAAGGGGTCGGCGGGTGCGAAATAGGGAGGTTGGACGACGATGCTCGCGCGGATACGGCGCACACGGGGAGGTTGAGCGAGAGGCGCGCGAGGAAGGGGAATTGGGGAAAAGAGGGCCTGGGCGGGGCTTGAAGGAAGAGTGAAAAGAGGAGGAAACGACGGAGGGACGCAGGGACGGCGTGAAGATGGGCAGACGGCGCTATTTCAGCAAATCGGGGAGGCGCAATCGGGGAGGCACGGGCGCAATCAAGAAGGCATGGCGCATGGTGAAGGCGCACCTGCATGGTGAAGGCGCACCTGCAGGTTCCAGAAGTGAGCGCCGACGAAGTTGGCGTAGCTGCCAAACTGAAGAGTCACTACTTCCCGCATCGCGCGCGGCTACCGTCGCAGCTGTTGGTGTTTACGCGCCTTCAAGATTTGTTCCATCTGCTTGTCCACAGCAGTATTGCGTATAAGGGTGGCTACTAACAGTTCCCACTTGAGTTATACTCGATAACATCCACAAGGATGTGAGAACAATTTGTTCACATAAGTAGATGAGTTCTCTCAACTGCTCAGCGAATTAGGTTTGCCTGATAGATTGTTTCGTCCAAGAGGTGATCTTGCTGAAACGGGCGTGGTTACCTCCCCTAGGCTTGCGCGAAGCAGAGCAGCCTTCAGATTATCGTCGTCGATGTCGTCAAATGTGGGGATTGGATTCGCGACGAGTATAATCCATGTTGGCGATAGACCGCCAAAAATCACCCAACAACCAATGACTCTCGAGGGCGAGGAGCAGTTCTGTGCACAGCTGGTGGGCTTCAAAGACCCCGTTCCAAGCACATCAAGTTCGGGTTTGCCAAGTGCGGCGAAAGGTGCTGTAAATAAGTGACCGAATGCGTGTAGCGACGGTGACGACTTGCAGGTTTGGTGTAACATTGTGCAGACGTCCCTCGCTTTGATGGTCCACACCTCATCCGCTTCGCACCTTGAAATTGTGGCCGAAGGGGAACTACGGGCACTCCTGCCCTGCCCTCAGTTTCAGGGGAGGGGAAAATGTTTTTGCGGCGGTGTATTGCGCCACTTTTCCCTTTGCCCGAGACACACCTCACGGGTCGGCTGCCCATCGCATATGATTGGCTGAATTATTATAGTGCACTGCCACGCGTTGCTTTCTGCGGCCTTGCTCTAACCTCAGATTCCATCCAAGGGACCAACCGGCGCCGTTTCCTAGTCAGCACTGCCAAATCAGCGTCACGTGGTTAGTCGGTGAGTATGGAAGTCCCCCAAACCCGCGCATTTCCCCCCCCCACACACACCCATCACAGTCGCCCCTCCCACAAAAGAAAATTGAACCTCCCACCATTGCTGAAAGCAACTCAAGGAAAATCAGTTGCTTGTGGTGTGATCACGACGCACATCGTATTCCTTCCGTCTTGTTTTGCGATCCCTGCAGCATTTTAGGGCGCGCAGCGTGCGAGTACCTTTACTCGCCCTCGTCTTCCGATCCTCCTCGCTGCTCGATCCGATCCGCGCCATGGCGGCCGTCAGACTAAGTGCGCTGCGCGTGGCGCAGCCGGGCCTCGCGCCCGTCACCAGGGCGGGGGACGCCATCAAGGCCAGTGAATGTGGCGGCAAGCAGGCGGCGCTGGGGTGGTGCGCCTCCGCGCAGCTGGGGCAGTCCCTGGGGGTCGCCGCCAAATCGAAGAGCGTCGCAGCGCCATCCAAGCGCGCGGCTTCAGCGACCGTCGTTCGCGCCAGCGCTGGTGAGTCGCTGCGATCCACGACAACCCGCCATTTGCACCCCATCTCCGCCAGCAGCAGTAACTAATCGTTCGCTGCTTCTTGCTTGTCGCACCTTCAGCCACCTAATCGTAAGTGGCGCGCGCGCCTAAAGATCGCGCCCGCATTGTTGGCCGACCTTCGCGAAGGGGCATGACAGCCATCCTCGATGCGCGCTGCTATGTCCGACGATGCGACCGCGGTTCCCAAGATGCTCCCTTCCCCGCGAGCGTCATCACCTTCCCCACCGCCATTCGACCTCCTCTCCACCTGCACCCGAGCTCACCTCCCCCCACCCCACTCCCCCTTCCCCCCTGCGCGCGGATCAGCGGCGGACGTGGAGCGGCCGTGGCGGGCGGCCGACGCGCGGCTGGCGCTGGAGGACGGGTCGGTGTGGAAGGGGTCGTCGTTCGGCGCGCGCGGGACGCAGGCGGCGGAGGTGGTGTTCAACACGTCGCTGACGGGGTACCAGGAGATCATCACGGACCCCAGCTACGCCGGGCAGATCGTGCTCATGACGTGCCCGCACATCGGCAACACCGGCATCAACGAAGGTCCGCCCGCTCCCCGCGTCCCCCACCCGCTTTTCTGCTCCTGCTCCCCCACCCGTCCCTGTTTGTCTACATTTCTCTCTGCCTCTCGCTCCGTCCGTGTCGTCACTGCGCCCACGATCATCGTGCACATCCCGCGTCCCGCCCGCTTACCCTCTCCTACTCCTCTCCCCCCGTTTACCCCCCTTCTTCCCTCCTCGCCGCGGCGGCGCAGAGGACGAGGAGTCGCGCACGTGCTTCACGTCAGGGCTTGTGGTGCGCAGCATCAGCAACTGGTGAGCCGCCATCGCCCTGCCGCGCCGTCGCCGCTGTGCTGTGTGGGGGTGGGGAAGGGGGAGGGGGAGGGGGGGGAATGTGGTTGTGTGTGTGTGGGTGTGGGTTTGTGTGTGCGCGCGTGTTTGAAGCTACGCAATTCCAATGCAGTGCACTCCCACAGTCACATTCCCACAGTCACACGCCGACAGGCGAATTCCCACAGGCGCGCTCTCACATGCAGTCTTAAGGGAACAGCCTCACCATCGCACGCCCACAGTCGCATTCGCCGCTGTGCCGCCCAATTCAGCGGACCAACGCCTTGTGCTCCCGTCCCGCAACCCCTGTCCCACCTGCCCCTCCCCACTCTCGTCCCCCGGCACCCCCCAGCGTGTCGAACTGGCGGTCGTCGCAGACTCTGCCCGACTACCTGCGACAACACAACATGATGGGCATCTGTAAGTGATGGCGAGGGGCGGGCAGTGAGTGAGGGAGAGGACAGTGAGGGAGGAAGAGGGGTGTGAGAAGAGGGGAGTGAGGAAGAGGGGAGTGAGGAAGAGGGGAGTGGGAGAGGAAGGAAGAGGGGAGTGAGGGAGGAAGAGGGGAGGAAGGAAGTGGGGAGGTAGGGGCAGCACAGCACCCGCCATCTCGTGTCTCTTACCCACGCTCACGCCTCACCTTCCGCCGTCGTTCATCCCCACGCCCCCCAAGCACCATATTCAACCCCATCCCCCAATTCCCTAACCCCACCCCCAACCGTCCACCCCCTGGTGCAGCGGACATCGACACGCGCGCCATCACCAAGCGACTGCGCGACAAGGGCAGCTTGAACGGTGAGAGGGGCAGCTTGAACGGTGAGAGGGGCAGCTTGAACGGTGAGAGGGGCAGCTTGAACGGTGAGAGGGGCAGCTTGAACGGTGAGGGGGGCAGCTTGAACGGTGAGAGGGGCAGCTTGAACGGTGAGAGGGGCAGCTTGAACGGTGAGAGGGGCAGCTTGAACGGTGAGAGGGGCAGCTTGAACGGTGAGAGGGGCAGCCTGCAGTGTGAGAGGGGGCATGATGGAGGGTTATTGGTGCATGATGCACTATCTGCAAGACTGCAACACATGCATGGTGTGGTGCGTGTTGCATGGTTCCTGGTGCATGGTGGTGCTGTGTGCACGATGCGCATGTTTACATTGTGGTGCCGTACCTTTTGTGACCATGCGCCCTCCATGTGCGGGTCACTGATATGTGTGCGTGGTGACTGATATGTGTGCGTGGTGACCCTGGCAGGTGTGATTTCAACGGATCGCAAGAAGTCAGACGAGGAGCTGGTGGAGATGGCTCGCGCCTACAGCATCGTTGGTGAGTCGCCCGTGCTGGTTTTGGCAGCATGCACTCATGGCAGCATGCACTCATGGCAGCAGGCCCTCATGTTCAAGGTATATAAAGCATTCAACTTTCTCATGGAACAGCTGAGTGCAATGTGCTCCCTCTGCTTCGGTGTGTGCATGTGTGCATGGGCTGACAGGCAAGGACCTGATAACGGGGGTGACGTGTGAGAAGCCGTACGTGTGGGTGGACCCAACGGGCGAGTGGGAGTTCAGCAGCGACGCCAAGGAGGTCTCCATGGCCAACGCATTCCATGTGAGTCAACGCATTCCATGTGAGTCAACGCATTCCATGTGAGTCAACGCATTCCATGTGAGTCAACGCATTCCATGTGAGTCAACGCATTCCATGTGAGTCAACGCATTCCATGTGAGTCAACGCATTCCATGTGAGTCAACGCATTCCATGTGAGTCAACGCATTCCATGTGAGTCAACGCATTCCATGTGAGTCAACGCATTCCATGTGAGTCAACGCATTCCATGTGAGTCAACGCATTCCATGTGAGTCAACGCATTCCATGTGAGTCAACGCATTCCATGTGAGTCAACGCAGTCCATGTGAGTCAACGCATTCCATGTGAGTCAACGCAGTCCATGTGAGTCAGGTCATTCCCGTTATGCATCTCACCCCTCATACCCCCTTCAAACCCCCCCCAGGTGGTGGCGTACGACTTTGGCATAAAGCACAACATTCTGCGGCGCCTGGCGTCGTACGGTTGTCGCATAACAGTCGTGCCCTCCACCTACCCGCCTGAGGACCTCGCCAAGCTCAACCCCGACGGCGTCCTCTTCAGGTGCGTTGCTTCAGGTGTATCGGCTTCACTGCTTCAGGTGTATCGGCTTCACTGCTTCAGGTGTATCGGCTTCACTGCTTCAGGTGTATCGGCTTCACTGCTTCAGGTGTATCGGCTTCACTGCTTCAGGTGTATTGGCTTCACTGCTTCAGGTGTATCGGCTTCACTGCTTCAGGTGTATCGGCTTCACTGCTTCAGGTGCGCTCCCTGCTTTCCCCACCACCTGCCTCTCGCGCTCTCCCTCGTATCCGTGCCCTTGGTCTCCCTCGTATCCGTGCCCTTGGTCTCCCTCGTATCCGTGCCCTTGGTCTCCCTCGTATCCGTGCCCTTGGTCTCCCTCGTATCCGTGCCCTTGGTCTCCCTCGTATCCGTGCCCTTGGTCTCCCTCGTATCCGTGCCCGTGGTCGCCCGCCTGCCGTCGCGTCCTAATCCGCACCCACGTGCACGCGTCCTCACCCACGTGCACGCGTCCTCACCCACGTGCACGCGTCCTCACCCACGTGCACGCGTCCTCACCCACGTGCACGCGTCCTCACCCACGTGCACGCGTCCTCACCCACGTGCACGCGTCCTCACCCACGTGCACGCGTCCTCACCCACGTGCACGCGTCCTCACTCTCACCACCACCCCCCTCCA